GCAGGAGCAGCAACAAAGTTGTCGCAAGTTAAAAGCTCGCAGCACTGATAGTATTGATTAGAATTTTTCCGCCAGTCCTCTTCGCTTCACTTTTCGTTTTGTGGCAGCGAGTGTGTATGTGCCGCAGTTTGTGGCAGTGCCAGCAATTTTCCGCAGAAGAGGCACAAAATATTTAATCATTGTATGTACCTGTACAGTGGAGCAGAGAACCAAACACAGCTTGAATAAATTTTGAAGAATATTTCATATGAAGCGTAGGAATTTTCTTTTGTTTTTTTTTAGGAAATAAATTGAAATACTAGTACAAAGCTCAGAGAACCACTAAACATATTATTATCAAGAAGTAAGAGCAAATATGTTAATACAAATATTAAACATTTTAAAACCCATTTTATGAGTCAAATATCTTAGATCAAATTTGATCAAAATTAAGTGAATTGATCTTAAGCTGGTTATAATAGATTTTCTTGTTCTTTTAAAAGCCAAGTCATAGGAATTGTATTGACAAAATTCTGTACAGCACCCATGGTTCCCTACTCCCTGAAATTGTGCAACTGTTGCACATGTGCAACTGTTGCTGTTGCTGTTGCCGCAGCTATTTTGATAAAGCGCGTAATCGTAAAAACGCTAATGATACGATTTTTGCAGCAATGTGATGATTAAATGTTGCAACCGCCGCAGGCCAGCCCCTCCCCTTTTCCCCCTCCCCTTTCCACCCGCCTTTCCCCTTGGCCACCTGACCACCCTCTTCCTGCAATTGCCAGCCCATCTTCATCTTTTCAGATGGCAATCGCTGGGGCCTTGGCCTCTTCCTAGGAGAAGATAAAACTCTGCGACTTGCAGAGAGACTGGGTCCAAGTCGCAGCTTAATTAGCGTAGAAAAGGGCGCAGCCAGAGACATGCATCAAACGACAAACAACAACAACAACAACGAGGAGAAGGAGAAGGAGAATGTGGAGAGAAGGAGGAGGAGTTGCAGCAGGTTTAGTGATCTGTCATTGCCGGCAAAAGGCAACAACTAAAAATAGTTACACACGTGCATGAATTTCGGACTATTAGACGTAATAGCTGAATGCATCATAATTTACCTTGACATTTAGACCAATGTCTGCGCATGCCAAAGTTAATTGCCAGCGCGCAACATGCAACAGCAGCAACAGCAACATCAGCAGCATAACAACGACAACAGCAACATCCACATCAACAACTATGCAAATGGTTTGCTTACACGCCTGCATTTTGATTAGGTTAACTATTTATAGCCATGCGATGCGGCATCAACGCCGGCAACATTCCAAGCCAGCACAATTCCACCAACAGATGAGTCACACCAGCAACATGCAACAAGCAGCAGCAGCAACAGCAACACTTGCCGCTGCGACATGTGGGGATAATCATATTGATATGCCTAATTAGCTGGAACAGCGACCACTGGCTGGGTTGTTGGTGATAATCCTCTTGCACTGGGCAAACAGGTGCCACCTGAAGGTCAGCAACTTTTCCAATGCACAGCAGCAGCAATATTGCCGGTTACTAGTTGCTGGTTTACTTCTAGCTGCAACACTGTTTTGATTTCGGATTGATTGGCGCCCAAAAAAAATGCTTAACATTCTGACAAAACAGATATGAGTTTGCGTTTTATATTCTTTAGTTTTTTTTTTTTTTTTTTTGGATGGCCTGCAATTTAAAAACGAAAATGAAAACTGAACGCATGCGCCAAAGTCGCCGACGCACCATTCAAGGCAGCCGCTGGGCAAATGTTTTTGGTTTTCGGTTTTGGTTTATGTTTCGTTCGAACTGGTCCGCTCCGCTTTAAGCCCAAAAACTCCGACTCCGACTCCAACTCCGTCTGCGTTTCGGTTTCTGTTTCTTTTTTTTTTTTTTTTGGTTTCGGCCCGGCCAACTTGGCAACCTTTAAAAGAATGCGGACTTGCCAGTAGTAGACACACTCACTCTCGCACACACAAAACTCACACACACACACATGCACACTGGGATACGTAGGCGCACGGTAGATAGGCCATATCGAAAATATATATATATACGTGTGCTTCTATATGTAAGGCATGCACAGAGAAAATAACTCAAAAAGTTTGTGGCAACAAAAGGTAACAACTCTCGGGCTGCCCGATGATAAAGCCAGCCAGTGGGGTGGTCAATAAGTTTATGGGATAAGAACCAAGGTTCTAGAGTTTGAAATCAGTTTAATATTAAAAAAAAAACCATATCTACGTGTTTGCATACTCAGTACCAATATTATCTAAAAAAGTATTACTTTAGAATGTTATTTTAAATAAACTCTTCTTTTAAAGTTTAAGAACTTGATCTTTTCAAAAGTATAAATAAACAGTTACTTTATTCAATAAAAAAATGATATCATCCAGTATTGTAAATTATAAAAATAATAATCAATTAATAAATTGAGATGCTAAATATTTTAATTGAAATCCCCTATTTCCTCAACTCTCTCAATTAATTCTTCTGACAACCCGTGGAGCCAATTCATTGCCGCAATTGTTGGCGGGATCATCTGAATCAGTGTGCGTTGTCCATTGTGTGTGTGTGTGAGTGTGTGTTGCCAGTTGCAGTTGCCACATGCCGCATGCCACAGCTGTGGCAGCCCGGCTTGTTTACAGGAATTTTACAACTATGCAGCAGCGATTGGCGGGGCAGCCGGCTCCTCCAGCAAAACTCGGCTCAAAAGGATGAGGGGAAAAATGTTGTTATTACTTATTAAGAAAAAAGCTAAGCACACACGAAGCGAGGGCAAATTAAAATAAAATTAAGTGCTGAGAAATATGGCGTATGCGGGGAGTCAAAGGGGGAGTTGGGGGAAGCCGAGGGGGTGGTGCGGTTGATGGGGAAAGGCCATCGGCTTAGCCTTGTCCTTGTCCGACTGAAAGGCAGTTTAAAAAATAGTTTAGCAATCGTCAGCCCCGCGGACAGAGTCACGTTCGCTCTGCCCACTCCTTGGATCCGCACCAGATCCCCACCAGATCCCCAGATCCGCAGATCCCGATGCTAGCTGGATGGAGCTAGTCCACATGCTCGTCATGCGGTAATGAGCCAAGTGAGGTTCTTGGAATTGCGCCAACGGCGCGTCCTTGAAACTGGTTTCGCCCCATAAACACGTCGGCCATTTGCCTGGATATCCACTGGACTTCACTCCGTCGTAATGCGGCTAGGAAACTACTATGACTCGACGGACCCCAACTGGGCATCCGAGTCCGATTCTCGAAAACCGAAAGCGATTCCATCTCCTGGCCATTAAAATTTTGCACTATTAATTAGACAACACACTGGAAATTTACGGCAATGACCTCTCGCAGACCAATTAAATGCACATTACGACTACATATTGCTCGGTTCTTCAACCGCAGGCCGATGCTTAAAAGCGTCAATAAAAATCAGCGAGACAAGGTTCAAAGCTTCTGATAAAATTAGCAAAATTATTGCTGAACAGTAGCCGGGGGAAACTGGCGCTTTGGCAAACTCGAAACGATGGAGGAGGAGGGAGTGGGAAGGGGTATCTCTTAAGGGGAACATTTACATAAAGTTGGCCCTCATCAAGTGGATGACGGTGAAGAGGCACTGGAGACCAGGTAGAACCATTTGATTAGGCAAACAGCATTGGCTTAGACTGGAAATATGTGGTATAAAAAGTGAAATTTAAAAAAAAACTTAAGTTATTCTCTCTTAAATTGCTCAAATTATGATCTTAAAATTAAATCAACCTATTTCATATATTTTACATGATACTTGCTTGTTTCAATTTTTTATTAAATCTTTCTTAATGTTTTTATTTATTTCTGTTGACTGTTAAAATGAACTAGCTTATTTGCTTAATAGACTCAGTGAAATATGTTTACTGCAAAACATTGAAAGCTGACATCGTTCATATGCATATATTTAAAAGTGAGCATTTGGGAAGAAAAATATTTATTATTTATTATGATGTGGAACTATTTCCCCCTTTTACAATTCAAAGTAAAATGTTTTGCGGTGTACAAAATGCGTCCGTCGATGCACACGCAAATGTCACATCAATTAGCCGCACCGAGGGCCGCAGTTTGTGGCGATTGCAGCTGGCCAGCTGAGCCAAGTTGGCTAAGAGCGACTAGCTGGCTAGTAAAGAGGCTAGTAAAACAGCAAATTAGCTTTGACTAGCTTTGACTAGGCTGGCCAATTTGAAAAGTAAAAGGCAGTTGGGCGAATTGGCCATCTCCTGGAGAGTTGTTGTGGCTGCTTTTGTGGTTGAGTGGTTCAATAACCGCCAATGGCCACCCACTCGACAGCTGTTCGCTGACCTTCACTGCCAGCCGCTGTCTTTCCTCGATTTCCACTCCAATCAGACGACAAAAGTGTCTCGGGCAAATATTGTGACACCAAACAACCAACGGCTATGGCTAAAAACAAAAGCCACTGAGCAAATATTATATAAGCACACATATCAGCAGGTATGTGAAGCATGTTTTCGGTTATTCTTTATTATTGCTGTCTGATAATCACCTTTGATGCGTTTATTGAACCGATAAGACGGCTGATCCATTAGCGTATGGGGAAGTGCTGGCCAGCTGATAAGCGGTTGGGTATTTATAGACTATTAACTACTCTATAAATAAAGCCAGCGGATCCAGTGGATTCATCATAACTGCTCTGTAAATAACCCCGTTCGGCTGGGAAATTATTCAACGTCTTCGCAGTGTTATCTGGAGTAGTACAATCAAATCAAATCAAATCGGAGGCAAGAAAGTAGGAAATCAATGTTTAACCATTGGCCATGCTATTTGTTAAAGTTGCTGTAGCAGCAACACTTCCAAATTCGCTGCAATTTGCGTTAATTATACGCTCCGTTGGACGAAAAAAGCAACAGCAGCGAACAAATAGGGAATGTCGATGTAGATTGCAGGCATACATTTGGGCCAAAAAGCGCTCCACTTTAATTTGGCATTTCCCCCAAAAAAAAAAAAATTAACCCATAATTTTGTTTACAATTGCAGCAACATCGGCAACACTAGCAACAGCAACATAGTATGCGTCTCTTCAAAACGCGCAAATCCACGGACACCTACAGCACATTAGCCGCTCAGAAACAACAGCAAACCGCCAGCGAGATTGGCCAGAGCAGCAACTGCAGCAGCAGCAATAGCAACAGCAGCAGCAGCAGCAACAGCAAGAGTCACACACCAGCAACATGCAGCAACAGACTGAACAAGAGCATTGTGAGCAGCGCCACAATCTCATCATCGCTGCCTGATCTGAATGACAAGTCGCCCGTCATGATACTCAGCTGCACCACCCTCGCCAGCAATGGAGCCACCGCCACGGCGGCGGTCACAGCAACAGCCACCGGGGCAACAGCAACATCTGCCAGCAGTCTGCAGCAGCAGCAGCAACAGCAGCAACATCAGCAACAGCAGCAGCAACCGTTACGCACGGCCACGCCCACATGTCTGCTAAGTGGACGGCAGACTCCCTCGGCCATATCGGTGATGTCGCTCCAAGAGGCCACCAGTCTGCACCGCCAGCAGCAGCAACAGCAACAGCAGCAACACCAAACACCCACCATCTATGTGCCGGTGCCCACGAAACTTGGCAGCAATCTCACCACTGGCGGCAGCAACTCGGCCACATTGCTCCTCAGCTATGGCAGCACTAACAGCATTGCCACCATGCAGCAACACCAACAGCAGCAGCAGCAACATGCCGCCCAGTACCAGCAATATGTTGCCCAGCGTCTGCAGGCCGTTTCCAGTAGTTGCTTGTACGAAAAGGGATCAAATGCCAGCGGGGGAACGGGCAGCAACAGGAGCAGCCGATCCCTGACCCCAAATGGTGAGTAGATCTTTGATTAAAATTAACTCACAATAAAAATATATGAGTGAGAAGTAGCACAGTAATCAAGATGAAAAATTATTTATTTATGATGTTTATTTATTCGTGATATAAACTTATTCTTTAAAAGGATAAATGATAAACATCTGATATAGGTTCAGTTGGTATTCCTTTTCATTCTAGTTTCTATTATTCACCGATATTATCATAGGTAAAAATCTGCAATCATTCAGTTGCCAGTTACAACGGCTTTTCATGTTTAAAGTTCTTGAGGCCTCCTCAAAGTAGCCCAAGCCTTTCAGAACACAAAACTGTCTTGCAAATTTGTTTGGAGCTCTGTGCAGGATGTGTGATTCTTCCTGTGATAACATGCTGATAAAGAAGTGATCTTTCTCATCACAGACATTTACAAGTCGCAGCCAGTGATCGTGAATTTCCGGTTCAACTTCCCAAATGCTGCAATTACTATTAGCACCCAATTCTAGTTGATTATCAGCAGTAGCATACAACATTTCCTTTTTGTGTTGCAAACACAAACGGTGACTTCTAACCAAAAGCCTTAAAGGTCTTGGTAAACTTTGCAACATGTTTTGAATATCATTGTCCCACAATTCTGATTGATTTTTATGAAGTTTCCTTAATTCCAGGGCAAAGTTTGAGAGAAGAATCTCATTTAAGAGCAGGGAGCGTTTCAGATACCAATAGAAACTCAACCACAACTTCAGCTTAAAGAAATTGCTTGGATTGAGCTTTTGTTGCAAGTTTAGTGATGATTTTCCAGACTCCAGAGTTTGCAACCAGGGAATATTCCACGACACCCGCTCTTGTTGTTCAATTTCCACAGTCAAACTAATTTCCTTGGTCCAATTATCAAAATCCGATTGACTTCCATTTAGATGAGTAACCACAAGTGCAATTAGTGGTGTGTAAGTGTCTCTATTAATCACCGCTTGAACTGGGCAAAGCCCTATTAATACAATAACTGCGATGAGTACGACCATTGCGATGGAAAATCTTAATTATACTGATCTGTAGATTCCTTATTTGTACAGATTTTACTGTGCCACTTCCTGAAATCTTATCGCTTTTTGGTTAATCTCTTTGAATTTCTAAAGAGCAATGCCCTGTTTTTGTTTCCTTAAACACAACTGATACTTATTGTTTGGTTAACAGGTCACCTGCCCGACTACAAATTGGTGACAGCGGTGCCAGTTGTTGTCCTGGACGATGAGCACAAATCGAATTCATTACCAGCCAGTGAAGCAAATCGCAACAGCAGCAGCAACATCAACAGCAGCAGCAGCAGCAGCAACAACAGCAGCAACAACAGCAGCAACAACAGCAACAACCTTGATGTCAGCAACAGCAACTCGAACACGGGAAGCACCACTTCTTTGGCCAGCACCACGAGAAATGGTAAGTACCCATGGCCAAAAATAGAACCAAAAATCCGAGCAAATGCCTGGAAATTGATTTTCCCATCAAGTGGCGGCGCCTGAAGTCTTTTTCTCCCTCGGGTTTTAATTTATTTCGGTGCAAATAGGAATGGAATGGGAGTGTTTGCCGAACAAAGGTGTCGGGTAAAATGAGTCCATAAATTATGTAGGCGGGTCGAGAGTGTGTGTTGTCAGCCAGGTATTAAGTGCTCAATTCAGAGCACATTTTAATTGAAACAGTTAATTTCCGAAGCTAAACATAGGAAGCAGCACTCCCAGTGCTTCCGTATTTTCACAGAGGGTAAATCAGCGCCAATCAGTTGACGATTGTCATCGATACGATGCGTGTTTTGCCGTATGGCACATACTCGTACTCCAAAATACCGTATTGACCCGATTTCGCATCAATGCCCGCCGACAACATCGCTGCTGTAATGCGATCCCATGTCTGCAACTGGAATTTGTATTGTTTTCAGCCGCGGCACGAGTTGCGAGTGAGGAGAGCCAGCCAGCCACTGCGGTCTGATTTTTGAGGAGGAGCCCACCCCAAAAGCCAATCCTGCACCCAGAAAAAAATAACTACTCAATACAGGAATTCGCTCTGAAAAGTTTGAGCATACTTTAAGTACAACATAAGCTTTAATATTTTACACTCTTTATAACATGAATCGTTTAAATTATAGAACTATTAATCTTTATCTATCTTTAAATATGCAGTACTAATAGAACGGTATATTTATAAAGCTCTAAATACATTTTAACACTCAGGAATTCATTATTCAAATATTTATTACCCATAGAGCAATACATATATTTCAACACTAAGGATTAAAATATTTCCTTTAATTAAAGAACAGTTTCGACTGATTCGGAAAAATGATCCAATTAAATTCATTACCTTTTATCACCTATTTGGGTTGTAGATACCTCAAATATTTTATTTTTTCTTAATGAAATTTTTGTTAACGTATATTTACCCTCAGTGTAGTATATCTCCCAACGAACAGCCGACCAAGTGTGACAAAGCCTGGCATTATATGCCATTCAACACAGTTCAGTTCAGTTCAGTTCGTTTTACTTTGGTTGAGTTCAGTTTAGTTTCAATGATTCGCACAAAGAGTATTTTATTTATTTATTTTTTGCCGGTTATGTGATATGCGATTGAGGTTTAGAGTTGTGTCGATGTAAAAAAAAAGATAGATATGGGTATTAAGACAGCTAGTTAGGTAAGCAAAGAAATCAGAGCAGGAAATGACTAACGATACGATTGGTAAATCGAAGCCGAAAAGGCAAGAAAATCTGGGAAAATATGAGCCAGCGAAAGAAAGCAAGTAGCTTGTATCTATGCTATCTAGCACTTTTTCCGATTTTCACTTTTCCCCGACTTATCGGCGAACCACAGGCCGTCATTATGAGCCAGGTTCTAGCAAACGGCAATTCAAATAATGTTTTTGCTCCCCTCTCCGGCGACCACAAAACGTTTGATGATTGCATTCTGAGATGCCGGCCGACAAAAGCGGCCAGGCAGCTGCAAAGTCGGCCCAGAAGATATGGCAGGTTTTATTTTATCAGGTGCCGCGAGAATCTGCAGCTGTTGCTCCGCGAGATTCACTCATTTTCTAAGACCAAAAGCCACTCTAAAGTTTAGGCCATCGCCATCGCCATCGCATGCCAAAGTCGCATTCTAAGTTCGTTGAGCTTTTGCCGCCTCTAATGCCGCACTTAATTGGCCTTAATTAAAGTTTGTTTTTGAGCCAAGTGTGCCGCCCCAAGGTCAATTTCAGTTTATATTAAGATATAGCTAAATAAACATTTACGTTTGCGCAATTGTAAATTGCTTTCATCGAAAGCAGCAGAAAAAGACCGCGAACAAAAAAAAAAAAAAACAAAAGATGAGAAATCAATAAACGCCAATCTGTAAGACTCTCAGCATAAGTGCTATAATTTTCGATCCAGTTGAGGATCGACGCTGGATTCGCCTCCTCCAAGTTTTTTTTTTGTTGCCGGCGCTGCACGCATGCGCATTTATTGTGGATTATCGCTTATTACATGTTCCCCCTGACTTGATTTCAAAACCGATTATCGATCTCTCATTGCCCGCCAACTCCAACTCCAATCCGTTATGGCCAAGTCTGCTCAGCGGAATTCTCCGCAAGCAATTCGCATTTGTACGTGAGATATTATTGCAAGCCATGTGCATTTGGGTTTCTGAAGCGATTCCCAAACTGATTTCGATTCCGCCGATGGTTGATGTTGATTCCGTTTGATCTGAAAGTGGCGCAAATTCGCAGCTTTTGAGTGCACATTTGCATAAAAGTATTCTTAAGCATTCCGCCTTTCCCATGGCTTTTTGGTTATTGAACTTTTTCGGCTGGCTTCGTTGCATATCAATTAAGAATGAAACAAGACTTAAAATTATTTGGATTTTGGTTTCATTTATTCGTAAGCTAACTAGTATTCAACGCTTTAACATTCGATACTTTATTTTAAGATCCAGGAAATGATGATTTTTAAACTTTTCCTTTAAAGTTTTAGCTAATTTTTTGACAAAACATTTAATTGTTTACTTTTCTACAAATATATGCTTTTGGAAAATTAGCGGTGCTTTCTGGGATACCATGGATACCATTCCTTTCTCTGGCAACTCTGGAAAACTGCACTTCATCATCCAGCAGCGCCGCTTTTTCCACCTCTGCACCACTTCAGATGTTCAGTTCTAAGATTCAGTTCCAGCTCTCTGGGTCTCAAATGGTTTTGCCTCAACATCGCTTGCATGTCAGCCGGCAAAATTGCAACAAAGCCATCTCTCCCGACTTTTGGAGGGGATTTTCCGGGGAGGAGGGAGTGGAAAATGAGGAGGGAAAACGGGCCTCTTGGGGCTGGCGGGCATTTGACACCGTCTTGAAAGTTAAGTGGGTGTAGAATTTGTGGCATGTGGCCGGCGGTGACTGCAGATGGAGTTCGAGGTGGAGATGGAGATGGCGATGGGGAGAGCAGAGAGATCTGGAGGAGATCGGGGGAGATCTAAGGAGTACAGAGATCCAGAGAGGGATTCTGTGGAGTGTGGCTGAGGCTGTCATATAATTGATGCCCGCGCGCCGTTTCCTATTATTGTTTAACACTCGGCTGCTGCAGCTCCCCCTTCCTTCCCTCCATCCATCCTTCCATCCAATCCAATCCAATCCTGCCCCTCATTTCCTTGGCTCTTGTGTGATTGCATTGGTGAAAACTTTAATCAAAGACGAACTCGGTCAGGCCTTGGGTGGAGTTTTGCCGTTTGGAGCGGCTGTCAACCTGCATTGGCTCTGGATCTGGCCACCCCCCCCGAAACGCCTCCTCATCCTCATAACCATAGCCTCGTGCCCATCATCATCATCATCACCATTGCCGTGGTCATCATCATCCACATCCACATCCACATCCTCGTCCTCATCCCGACTTCCAAGCGAATGCGCCCACACATGGCCTGAGTCAGGGCAATTTGAACGGACCAAAGCCCGCGGCTGGGCTGCGGCTATTAAACAACTTTGGCACGAGTCAGCGAAAGAAGCCGGAAAGAGCCAGAGATGGCCAACACCTTATACCCAGCGATCACCGACGGGAGGCAGTGACTCAACAGCTGGAAGAAGAAATGCTCCGCAAGAGGTTTCGAAAACTGTATTCCAAATGATTCGGACTGAAAATCGGAAACTAGTTGCAAAACAGTTAAAAAAATATCTAACCTTTCAATTGAATATCTTGAGTTGCTCAGGAATATTCTTTAAACGACATTTAAAAAAAAAAAATGAAAATATTGAAACTTTAACGATAAATTGGGACTTTATAGATCAATGTATTTTTCCTTTTTTAAGTTTAGATACATAGCTTTACAAATCAATTTATCAGTTATCGATTTTCTCCCAGTGAACGCAAAACTGCGTCTTTTAAGTGGGTTAGTCAGTTAGTCAGTGACCTGAGTCACTGCCTTGCATCACCAGTCACGGCTTTTGGATGCCAGAGCTTCTGCCTCCCACTCCGCCATTCCGTTTTTGATGAAAATAGTTTTGGAAATTTTATTGGTGGAGCCGTATAATGCGCTTTGAAGTCGATGGCAATTCGATGCCTTCTTGATCCCTCGAATCTTTCGCTGCGCATGTTTTATGCTAATTGTTCGTAAATGCCTCATCCCGCTGGCTTGGCACCTCGCGTCTCCTGGTCTCCTCATCTCCTGGTCTCCACGTCTCCTGGTCTCCTCGTCTCCTGGCGATAAATATGGAACAAGCGCATAAATTTGTTTATTAACCAGATTCGAGGAGGAGCGCTAGAACTAGCGCCCAGAACTCTTTGCTCTTTTAAGTGTTTGCGATTGCTGTTAAGGCGCGATCGTTAAAATATTTTACGATGTTATTAGATATCCATTGGGCGATGGGCAATGCGAGTTCATTTAATGATTGGTTATGCTCTGTTAGTAATTGAGGTGTGTTTATTGCTCAATATCTGTGCAGAATTACGATCGTTCGATGACCAGTCGATGGGCTGCTAATGCTGCAAATCATTTGAATATATCTTTTATGTTCACATCCATGGGTTTATTTACTTAATTCTGAGAGCTGTCTGATTAAACTACTGCAGTCGAATAAAAAGGTGGAATTAAGAGGGATTTAATTTACTTGAATCTTAGGACTTAAATTAGGGACACAAAAAAGTTCATTCAGAGCCTCGAAACTTTACTGAAAACATTGTGTTGGTTTTTTATTGATATTGTTTCTTATAATTCGTATTATAATCTTACTCAACTCTGACCAGCACAAGACTTCTTGTCAAATGTCTTCAACGTCAGTTAAGGTCGAAAGATCTTTAGGGCCGACCTCGCTTTTTGTGACTTTATGTTGTGGAGGAAACTCCAACCGCAAATGCCTTGAAATCGGATGCCTTTTCACAAGAACGTGGCACGTGGCTGACCACAATGCAGCTGGATAGCTGGAGAGCTGTAGAGTTGGATTGGCGGAGTAGTGGATTGTCATTGGCCATGTGTGTCCAAGATCAAGTCCGTGTGGAACGGAACCCCTCGGACATTTCTCATCTGTCAACTGGCAACTGGCGGCAAAGTTGCGGCGAGGCGTTGAGATTTATTGAAGTGTTATAATTAAGTTAGAAATCGCTTTCTGATTGCAAATCCTCTGTTTTCCCCGTTGCAGTTTTCACCTGGGGCAAACGGATGAGTCGCAAACTGGATCTGCTGAAGCGAAGCGATTCGCCCGCCGCCGCCCACAAATCGCACTCGGACCTGAGGAGCCTCTTCCACTCGCCAACGCACCACAAAACGGCGGCATCGAGTGGATCTGGTGGTTCTAGTGGCTCCAGTGCGGGAAAGGCCTCGCCCGCACCCACTGGTGGTGGTCATCAGAGCAGCTCCTCAACCACAACCAGCACCCTCAAGAAGTGCAAGTCGGGTCCCATCGAGACCATCAAGCAGCGACACCAGCAACAGCAGCAGCAACAGCAGCAGGATGTGGGATCTGGGCAGAGCCAGAGTGCCCAGTCCACGCCCACACATCAGTTCCAGGCGGCGGTGCGCCCTCAAAAGACGCTGAAGAACTTCTTCCATCGGATCGGATCCACCGGCATGCTGAACCATCGCTCCCACAACCTGGTGAAGGCATCGGAGGCGGCACAGCAGGCCACTCCGGCGGCCACCACGCTGTACAGGAGCAGCTCCACCAGCCAGCTGTCCAGCTGCTCGTACGTCAAGTGCGACGATCCCACCGAGGGCCTGAATCTCCAGCGGGAACAGCGAGAGCAGCGTCTGCCGAGGATCGCCAGCTTGAAGTCGAGTAGCTGCGATGACATCGCCAAGGTGAGCAGTTGTCTGACCGCCAGCACAAGTAGTGGCAGTGCTGCCGGTAGCCTGGGCTCACCATCTAGTGGAGCAGCGAGTGCAGGAGGCAGTGCATCCAGTGGCCAGCACGATCCGTCGCGACGTGGGGCATTCCCATACGCCTTCCTGCGCTCCCGTCTTTCGGTTCTGCCTGAGGAGAACCATGGCAATGGACCGGGCCACCTGAAGCAGCAAGTACAACGGCAGCGGGAGCAGCACCAGAGGGATCTCCTCCAGCAGCAGCATTTGCATCAGCAGCAGCAGCAACAGCAGCAGGAGCAAGCCACATCGTCGCCACTCCCGCAACGACGATCCCCCGAACAGGCGATGGTGAGCAATGTGTCGCGCAACGACAGCATCACCTCCAAGGACTGGGAACCACTTTACCAAAGATTAAGTAGTTGTCTAAGTTCGAACGAGTCCGGCTACGACAGCGATGGCGGTGCCACGGGCGCCCGGCTGGGCAATAATCTGAGCATCTCCGGCGGAGATACCGAATCTATTGCCTCGGGCACGCTCAAGCGCAACTCGCTCATCTCGCTCAGTTCGTCGGAGGGCGTGGGCATGGGCCTGGGCATCGGCATCGGGGGTCTAGGCCTTGGCATGGGATTGGGAATGGGCACGACGGTGGGTGCGGCTCCATCGACGAGGAACAGCAGCATCTGCAGTGCCCCCGTTTCACTGGGTGGCTACAACTACGACTACGAAACGGAGACGATCCGGCGGAGATTCAGGCAGCTCAAGCTGGAGCGCAAGTGCCAGGAGGACTACATCGGGATAGTGCTCTCGCCCAAGACGGTGATGACCAACAGCAACGAGCAGCAGTACCGGTATCTCATCGTCGAACTGGAACCCTATGGCATGGCCCAAAAGTGAGTCTTAAAATTTATATTGGGAGATTACGGATATCTTACATTTTTCTTTCATTAAATTTTTTGGGTACGCAGTAGTAGGTAAAAGTAATGAATTTTTTTATATTATTTATATTTTTTAATGAATATATGATAAGTCTATTTAATTTATTATTTTACGTTGTCTAAAACGGGAATATATTCTTACAAATATTGTTTCAAAACTTCTAATATGAATACATTCTGTACTTAATCTTTTTAGAAGTTAGAAATCCTTAATATTTAACATTGAGATTTTGAAATTTAAATCCTAAATGATTGTTCATAATATACAATTTTCATTCAATATTCATTATCCCCTCTAAATTTCACCTCTTTTTTAGGGATGGTCGTCTTCGTTTGGGCGATGAGATCGTCAACGTGAACGGAAAGCACCTGCGCGGCATCCAATCCTTCGCCGAGGTGCAGCGCCTGCTAAGCAGCTTTGTGGACAACTGCATCGACCTGGTGATTGCCCACGATGAGGTGACCACGGTCACCGATTTCTACACCAAAATCCGGATCGATGGGATGAGCGGGCAGCGCCACAGGCTGAGTTACGTGCAACGCACCCAGAGCACCGATAGTTTGACCAGCATGCAGAGTATGCAGCTGCAGCAGGAGAGGATGCAGGGCCAGAATCTCGATCAGGAGCCGGATCAGGAGGCGGACAACCAGGGCGAGGACCAGTGCGATGCCCGATCGATGGCCAGCGTTAGCACACTGCCCACGCCGATGCCACTGATGCAGCACAGAAGGAGCTCCACGCCCAGGCACTCGTTGGAAATTGGTGGAGCGGAGCACGAGCTTCTCAGGCGGCGGGCACGCAGCTCCTCAGGTCAGCGCAGCTTGGCTCTAACACCGACCCCGCTCTTTGCCAGCAGCAGCAGCTGCTCCTCCTCACCTAACCACCACCAACGGTTGCTGGATAACGAGAACGAACCCGCTAACGACACCGACTCCTATACGCCAGTGTATGCAAATCGGGCGGCGAGCGTGTGCGTCGCCTCCTCGCTGGCCGACGACGAGAAGTGGCAGTTGCTGGCCCGGAAGCGCTGCTCCGAGGGTTCCGCCCTGGCCACTGCACCCAGTCCCCAGCAGTTTGGCCAGCGCACCCACTACGCCAGGAACTCAATCAATCTGGCCAACTCGCACTATCGCTCGCTCCGGTTTGCCCACTCGCGGTTGAGCTCGTCGCGGCTCAGCCTGTTCATGCAGGCGCCGCCTAACAGTCTAACCGTCGGAGAGGGAGTCGCTAACAACCCATCCTCCACAGCCAACACAACCACTGATCTCACTAACCAGCAGCAGCAGCAACAGCATCAGCAATCCCAACAACAGACACACCAATCACTGTACATCAAGCATTCGCCAAAGAGCGTCTCACTGTTCTCGCCTAATCCCTATGTTAACGCCTCATCCTCATCCTCACCAGCATCGGGTGTCACAGCGACGTCAGCGGGAGCCGGTGTCTCACTGGCACCGCCTGCCACGGCCCTAATGAATCACAGACCATCGCTGCCGGTGGCCAAGCTAACTATTCGCGACGAGGAAATGGCGGAGGTCATCCGTGCGTCCATGAGCGAGGGTGAGAATCAGTAACCCAGTAATCCACAAGATAATTTTCCTACTAGAAGTAACAATTCGTTTAATAAAATTTATAACCTTCAACCATTGCTTTTAATAATTGCAAGTAAAAATTAATTTTTATAATCAAACTGTTCAGTATTTCGAACGTAGTCAGAAGTCAAATTTTACCGAAGTTGTTACCATCAATGTTTGTGTTGCAATTCTAATGTAGTTCTTTAATTATAGGCAGTGGTCGTTGCACCCCGAAGACTATTACCTTCTTCAAGGGACCTGGACTGAAATCGTTGGGCTTTAGCATTGTTGGAGGACGCGATTCTCCAAAGGGTAACATGGGAATCTTTGTGAAGACTGTATTTCCCTCGGGTCAAGCAGCCGATGATGGAACACTGCAAGCGGGTAAGTTGGCTATCAGCAAACATAACCAAACAATTAAAAATAAATAAATAAATACCCAACAGGCGATGAGATAGTGGAGATCAATGGGAACTCTGTGCAGGGCATGAGTCATGCCGAAACAATTGGACTCTTTAAAAACGTTAGAGAGGGCACCATTGTCCTCAAGATCTTGAGGAGAAAGTGAGTGTGGCAAAGTCAACTAATCGTTGAATTAAAATCTAACGTTTAACATTTTATTTTCCAGATTACAAAAAGCAAAATCCATGGGTTGTTAGATCCATGTTAAGACCCATATTTGACTTATCCCTATGATAATACCTGATTATGGACAACCTGCATCGTTTAACCAAGTTAAATGTTAGCTTCATTAATTAAGTAGAGTTTTTTTCGTAATCGTACAAAGCCCCTTGAAAGAACTATACTTATATAAAGACTATTTGTAGCATCTAGAATCCCATTTAGCATGTAAGCAATTGTATGGAGTTACAATTTTAAATTATTACCCATTCTAGATTAGGCTAAGGTTCGAAACGTTGTACAAGTTCTATATACAATCAAACAAGTTAAATATATTTACCTGAAACACAAATACACACTAGAATATATATCTGGTTTTGACTAATATTACTAAAATAAATCAAGCCGTTGCCGTTTCATCCTTGACAATCAGTCTTTGCTTCTTCACAAAATGCTCTATTCGATTCTCCAAGCTCTCTGTAAATACGAATAATTAGAACACATTTGCGATACGATGCTTTTCAATATCTACCACAACGTTTCCGCTCCAAGAGAGGCTGATATTGACGGGGTTTAACGGAATCCTGTAGCAATATTACTTGTGCCTGCACTTGTTCTTTGGGTTTGAAGTTTTCCTCTAAAAGGCCCTCCAGTTGTTCAAGCACATTTCGTATCATGGTGCTTTTTACACTGAATTGCGTCCACTCACATTGAGTGTTTTCAATAAGTTTCTGGAGGTTTTCTTCATTGTAAATCCATTTCGTAAGATCACTTTCCTCTGCATGAGCAGAAGTATTCAAATTCTCTGTTTCTGCCGTAGTTGTATCCATGGCTTCATCATCTGCACCTCCGTCAGCAGGATGGCTTAGACTTCTGGTAGTATTTTCACGAAAATCACAGCGGAAAAGATTCAACGGCAACCCAATAGCAGGGGTATACTGAGGCTTGCAAGGATTGGACTCAACATCAAGAAGGTCACTAATAACGCTGGGTTTCTCTTTGCCCTGACCGACCAGTAGTAGCACTGCCATAATGCAACGTATTTGATGCCACAGGAAGGCATTGGCTTGGATCTCTAGGAAGTACATGTCGTAACCTAGGAAAAGGTGGACAAAATTGTATCACTAAGACATGACGGCTGCTTTTATTGATACCACTTACCTGTGTTTGAGAGTTGATCTTGGCAAGCTTCCACCCTGGCTGATTGCAAGTTTCTCATGTAGTTGGTTACCCCATTGTGGACATCCATTTTGCAGAAATTTCTAAAGTCGGCATGGCGCACTAGGAGATTACAGGCTTCCTGCATAGCAGCAATGTCCAAGTCTCCCTTGGGGAAGTAGTAACGATAGCTACGCGAAATGCAATCAAAACGAGCGCTATAGACAGGACTGCGCAGTGGCATCCAAGCCACACACTGAATATTTTTGGGCAGCACTCGATTCAAGAGCCCACAATAGTCGATTTCAGAGGACAGAGCTCCAGGATCCATTTGGCATTCTGGGGGATGTTTACTACGCAGATCGATGGAGATCACCTGACAGAAGGCGCTCACCTCCTTGTCAGTGCGTCCACAGCGATGATAATTGGATGAGGCGCGGGATTCTATGAGGCAGGTGCGAGTTAAGGCGCGAAATAGGTTGGATTCTGTAAAAATTAAGAAAAATTAGGTAACTCACTAGTAAATAGGTTTATAATTTACCGATAGTATCATTGGAGTCCTCCTGACAAGCAAATCCTTGATAATCCCAACCGAAATACGTGATTTTCAACAAAACATGACGCTTGTGAGCACTGAAAAGATGATGAAGTCCATTAAGCCTTTTTAAATCGTTGAAAACAAACTGACTTACCTGCTCCAATCAAACTTACGTTGCTTCTGCACCTTGCTGGAAATCATAGTTTCTTTGGAAACCTTTTCCTCCTTTTCTTTATCAAACAAGACAGCATACTCGTCATCGTTTCTGTCTTGTTCGGTTAACTTTTTCTGGAGGAGATTCCGCAACTGAAAGTTGTAAGCCTCCAGTTGGACCACCTTGTCAATCAACTCCGTTTGACTCAGTTTTTCCAGAGCCTCTCGGGGTAGTCCTTTTGATCGCTTATTTATTACTATCTTTTTATCACTTGTTGAGCTCATTTTGGCGCTCAATAAAAAATAAACAAATCAAACACGTGAAATTCGCCAAGTCGGTTTCCCATTCGCTACGAAACGCGGGCATTTAACCAGTCTCCACTAACACATATCGAAGCATATGTACTGTCCACACCAGCTCTTAATAACTTGTTAAAGTCTAATGCCAAATCAACATTAATAAAACCTAACCATTTTTTTTATAACAAAGATTTTATCGGTTGTCTTTTTTTATTTTAACTAACATTTCTTTCGATCAAGTATTACGTTTAAAGAAAAATTTTTTTACTTCCCCATTTTGAAAAATTTCTTTAAAAATAAAAAATGAATAAGCAAATAAGCAAGCCATTACACTTTGTCTTTGGTATATTTTTCCGTGCCGAGTGGTATTTTTCGTGTATCTAATCGCGGTCACACTGCTTACAGGCTACTGTTTATAATTTATTTTGGATTTATCAAAAAAACCCAAAATCATCAGCAGCTTGAGCCAGAATAGAGGTCTAGTGCAAAGTTACGTGAACTAGGATCTTTCGCTGGCATTTGCTGACTCTGTGGTGCAGCATTTGAAGGTGAGGGACACCACGAACGCCAGGAAGGAAGGCACCAAGGACATCACAAAGGATGGACGCGTGCAGCCACAAGGTCGATGGCGAGAACGATTACTGTGAGGCGACCTTGGCCGCTGTGAATCTGAATGTCTTTCCCGATGAGATACTGGAGTTCATCTTCACCTACCTGCCACCCTACGGGGATTTGGAGCACTGCAGCCTGGTGTGCAAGCGATGGCACTCCATTGTTAAAAGTAGGTATCTGCTATATTTTGCCATAATACTCGCTAACTATCTTCCAACTATCCACAGATCTCGTGCGGCGCTCTAAATTGAACTTGGAGAAGGGTCTTACCGACTTTCGTTTGCGCTGGGAGGTTTTCTCCCCGCAAACAGCAAACGGAACGGGTGGCGCACCGCTGTCCTTCATCGCTGGACGGTTTGCTCACTCGGCTGTGCGGCAGGGCAACTCCATGTATGTCTTCGGCGGTGGTTCCTCCTCTGATACCACGTTCAACGATCTCTGGCGCTTTGATTTGACGCACATGCGCTGGGCGCGACCGGTGGCAACCGGAACCTATCCCTCGCCCAAGGGCAGCGCCTCCATGGTGGCGTGGCGCGACCAGCTGATCCTGTTTGGCGGCTGGCGCTACCCCTCGCTGCATCCGCCCTACCAACCGTGGTGTCTGTTCGACGAGCTGCACTACTACGATCTCGGCAAGAACCGCTGGCTGCTGCGCAACACGCTCTCCTGCCCACCAGCAATGGCTGGGCACTCGGCCACTGTGCATGGCGATCGAATGGTAGTTTTTGGTGGTTACCAGATCAAGGACGATGTCAATGTGAACTCCAACGAGACGTGGGTGCTGGATCTGCCCGAGCAGCGCTGGTGGCAACCGCTGTTTGTGGGCAACACGAGACCCAGTCCACGATACGGACAAATCCAGGTGGAGCTGAGCAGGAACCATCTCCTCGTGGTGGGCGGATGTGGTGGCGCCAATCGGGTGTACACCGACGCCTGGCTGCTGGACATGACCAGAGATGTGTGGTGCTGGAAGTCACTGAATGTGCGCAACAAGCGTTTTGGGGCCGTCCACATGTGGTGCAATCCCGGCTGCAAGATCAACAACTACCTGGTGGTGGTGGGACCATCGCCCAACATGCCGCAGGACTTCCAAATGATGAAGCAGAGCAGAGTCCCAGTCGTGGGAGGTCGTGGACCGCCACCGCCGAATCCTCTTCAAAATCTACCCCCGAGGGGACACCGAATACCGATGCCGGATCGACGACTGGTCGGAGGAATGCCCGGTCCTGGTCAGAATCGCGCAGGAAACATCCGCCCTGGAGTGGGAGGAGCAGCGGCGGGCCCACTGGGTCCTCAGGAGCAGTATTTGGCCAACCGGCGAGCAATTCTCAATCAGCACATGCAGCAGGCCCAGCAATTTCTGCACAACAGCAATGTAAACAACAATAACAATAATTACCAGCCACGCTCGGGCCGATTGAGTGATCTCCATGCCCCGCCAGCTCCAGCTCCCGCTGCTTCTCCCCCGTCCCCGCCTGTGCGACCAAATGCAGCTCCATCGCCCGCTGATGGCGACGTGGATGCCGCCCAGCGCTTGCAAAGGAACCTGGCACTAAGGTGTCGTGATAATGAACCTAGGCTACCCAAACGCTTCGATGAATTATACGAGGTTAGTGGCACAAACGTACTCCTATTACCAATCTTTAATTTCTTTTTAATTTTCAACAGGATCCCTTTCGTATGGCCGCCTTTAATGTGCCTACTCGGTCGCGAAGTGCCTCAAGGGATCACAACGAGCGCATTCGCCGCATGGAGGAGAAGATGAACGCCATTCGAAACTCGCGACGCAGTGCACCTGCCGCCGCCCAAGTGGAACCACAACCGCTGCGCGCCCCTCTCCAAAAAGGCTGCGCTGCAATGTGCAATCCCTCTTCGTGTGCGACATATCCGGCATTCTGGAAAGCAGCGATCCCGCCCTCGAATGGGTGGAATACAAAAACTTCGGTGTGCTTAAAGGCGCTCCGGATCGGTTAATCCTCTCCAGCCTCATTGCCGGCAACGGGGAGTTGATCCTTTTTGGGGGCGTGCACAAAGAGACACTGACGGACATCACACACCATGTGTCCAATTCCATACACTTCCTGAGTGTGCCACGTGATATTATCTAAGCTCCGAAACAACGCCCGTCCTAATCCTAAGTTAACCGGATAGCAGACTGCCGCTGCTAGCCCTCCTTCCAAATCCTTCAAAGTTCGGTGTTCGAAGTTCGATTAGACATTTAATTGAGTGTAATGGATGTGTTTTATGATTATAAACGATTAACTACTAGTGGATCTCCAATCCTTGGCTTATATTCTAGCTGTCCAACAGTTTAATCAAGTCGTAAGCTTGTTGGAAGCGCATATCACAGAAGTCATCTTGGCATGCAACACACTGCTCCAAGAGCGTTTGCAGTCTTTCGTTGTCGAGATTCTTGAGCAGAACATCCCTGAGGAGTAGGCACGCCTGATAGACGTTCGCATCCAGCTGCTGGCCAGAACAGAATGCTGAGACCTGGAAGGTAAAACCCTCGCCAGGCAGCGGCTCGTACTTCTCAGCTTGCCCTGCAATGGATGCGGCATCCACCAGCACCAAGGAATCCAAATCGATTACAGTTACCTTCCTGCTGGCTTCGTCAAACGCCAAATTATCAGCGGTGAAATCAGTTAAGAGGAGGCGAAAGTCCGCAAAGCCAAAGGTCAGCTTAAGAGATAGTTCGAGTATCTTGCGGGCCAGCTCCAATCGGAGTTTTTCTTCGGCTTCAGCGTAATGCATTATAGTGCGTCCTTCATGGGACTGAATATGTGTTAGACCGCAGGATGCGTATGTGCGGGGTACGGGAAACTCCTGCCTGTACAATTCCTGCATGAGCAGCGGGCTGACGTAGTGCATCATGTAGAACCAGATAGTGTCGGCCGCATAGCCGCGCTGTTCTAGATAGATAACAAAACGAGGTTTTCTTGAAAAGGTTCGGCAAAGATGAAAACCACCAGGTTGCTCCTTTAATTCAAGGAATTCCTTTTCGAGGTCTTTGCCCTTATGCCCATAAATGTTCTTTCTTTTGGCCACAAGCTGGGTTTTCTGATGATCCTCAATTAGCTCTAGGAAATATATCGATCGATGATCAAACAGCTGGGCGATGGCTTTTAGAAACCTAGTCCAATCCGAGGGCTCTTTAATTTTCTGAAATATCTCCTCGCATTGCTGGCGCTGTGCAGAAAAGCATGAAGGGCACAATTCCAGATCCTTCTCGAAGAGCTCCTGGAATACGTCCACCTGTGGCTTGACCTGCAGTTCCTGCAGCAGGGCTAGTACAAGCACCACTTTCAGTTGCCCAGGCGACAGGTGCATCACAGGGTGCTGAAAAGGAGGAGAGGAGGCAAAGTGTTAAGACCTTGATGAATGGGCTTGCCAAACAATAAAATAGGAAACACGTGTGTGTATCTGAGGAATATGTGCGTGAGGGCCCAGCCTCCAGTCCAGCGACCACATTACCTGTTTGGCAGCCACATGCCAGCCAAAGCAGAACTATAGCTCCGACACAAAGCAGCTGGATGGGATTACCTCGACCGACAAGTGTATACTCTTTCAGCATACATTTCACAAATTTTATACATTTAATTTCATTGTTTTTATTTCCAACTATATGAATATCTCTTTATTCAACCTATAAACAAACCTTCTAAAACATAAACAGAAGTTTCAAAGTTATCTTTTTACTTTAACCACGCTCTAAATGATAATTTTGACCATGATTAAATGATAAGATTACTTTCCCATTATCGCGAAAATGCCAGCTAGGTTTGTGTAATATTTGAATCACGATAAACTGATATACCCCCGAAGTACGTAGAGTATGAAAGTGACTGGGAGCTACAGAAATATCTTTGGTGTTCTTCGCTCACCAAGCTGAACTGAAGAAGAGTCAATTGAAAGGGTTCAAGGTTGGCCATCAATCGCTGGCAGCAAAAAGCCAGGCAGACGCTTAATTTGTAATCTCTGTAAAGGCGGGAGAGCAACCATTATGGAGATACCGGTCGCATCCTCAGAGACAAAGCCCCTTTTGCATTGCCCTACACGTCAAAATTAATTGTGCCTCAAAATGGACTGGATCTGGGAGAAGACGTTAGAGTTCTGGTGCTCTTTCTTTCGCGACGAAGAGGCTATTGCCTCGGCTGAAGATTCAGCACCACCAACCGCGTCTTCTTCGGGATCTCAGTCTTCGAAAACGATGTCCCGTGTGAGATTCAGTCGCAGTACCATAGGAAAATTCCCACTTAACGAGCTGGAACACTTGGGTTCCACAAACGCCTTTTTTAATTTCCTACTCGCCCAACGAATTCGTCAAGTGGGGTTAGTCGGTCTCAACTACCTGGACGTGGTTAATTCCCACAAATCGATACCAGAAAAACAAATATGGGACTTGATGGATGATAAACAGCGGTCGCCCTACCTAAAGCTGGCCAAAAACATTCTCCAACAGCATAGGGGAACCTTTCAGGATAAAAAGAAGCAGGAAGAAATGGGCTATCAAAACCGCAGAGGCATTATTGCTGCATCCAAGATCGCTGAGAACCCAAACAGAACTTAAGTGAGAGAATGGGAGAGGAATGAAGGAAAGAGACCGAGAAATCGAATGGAGAACGTTCCCCCAAACCAAGTAAGATCAGTTGAAGGTGGCGCGTTGCGCTCGACGGTTGTCGCTATTCTGGTTCTCGCTCAAGTTCTCCGATCTCACTCGGAACAGCTGGGTTGTCTGTCTTATAAAGACGCGATATCGGTCAAGTTCAGGCGACTGAGACGACGCGACGTTCACTTAATTATTCTCGCCGTGAGGGCGCGTGAAATTCGCTTTTAATTTTCCCCAACTCAATTTTTCGTACACCACTAAAACTTATACCATATAGATCGCTTTTGTTACAATTCGCGTCCGTGTGCTTATTTGAAAAAGAATTTGTCACAGTGCCAAAAGGTGTGTTTCTTCTTGGAAATATCTACTTATCCAAATTTCCTAAAGTTCTTAAAAATCATAAATTAGCCATAAGGTCGTGTGTTAACCCTTGAACACCTTGGTTAGGTACACTTTACGCAACTGAATCGCACGATTTGAATCGAATAAACAAAGTGCGCAGCAGATCGTCAGGTTATTGATTGAATTTAAAAAGGGGGATAAATATTAGCATGAGCTCAGTTCGGAAATATTGAAAGCAGGGAAGCGGAGATTAGCACTCCATCAGTTCTTCTTCGGGGCGAGCCCGCTGTTTACAAATATATCTGTGTTTGCGCTATACCAAGAACATTGGGCTTATCAGTTAGATATTTAAATGGGCCATACAACTCTTAAGTTTATTTTATTACATTTAAAGATGCCGATTTATTTTTGACATGATTACTTTGTCAAGTGCTTTGCACTGATTTTGTAAGGCACCCCTTATAAGTCGCGCTAGCCTAATCTACGCCGGCCAACTAAAATCTGTAAAAACACTTTAAACCGGTTCTATATTACCTGCTGCAAAAACAAATGCCGAACCCGAGCCGGCAATAGATGAATAACTAACTGGCTGGCAAACAGACGCGGCGTAGTATTATTTCGGCTTATTGATAAACAAAAGCCTGTCATGTGCGAGATTGTGGATGTATATACATTCGTACATCTATGTACATATATATTTGCATGCGGACCACATCGCAATCTTGGCCGTGACTAAGGAAATCTAATGCATTCGGGGTAATTGATATTATTCAACTCAAATTACGTCACATCTGTTATACCTTCCGAAACGCTCTTGACTTTAAGAATATTTTCGAGGGGATTTTGTTACGGCTTTTTTACGGCACGCGCCCTTCTTATTAAAAAACCATGAAATGTGAGCAAAATTGAAAGTGGGGAAATTTTGATTTAAGAAAATATCAAATGGTACAGTATTTAAGTATTAGTTTTAGTAGCTATTAAATTTTAATCTTTATATTGGGGCTTCATAAAAAAGGCAAATTTATAATTCACTTCAATTTTAATTATTATTTTTTATCTGGGGTTTGAATATTTTACTCGTTTCACTATACCTTTCTACTTTATCCCAAACTTTTACCGCCAAACAAAATTTCAGCAAACTTGTTTCTATTTCTTTTGAAAAAGAGAGACAGCTTATTCTTTTAAATCGTTTTTGTTCTCTCGCTTTCTATTCACCCGTGCCGAAATAGTTTCCATTATCTCGGGAATGATTGATGCGCCCTCAAGGCACGAGCAAATTATAAACTGGTTCTCAATTGGTTCATTAATATTAACAACCTTTCTTTGCCGCTTTCGTAGATGAGCATCTTGGCGATGGATCGCAAGGAGCCAGTCAGCGGGGATAGTGCGCTGGGATTACGCTATGGGCAGCTGCTCCATAGCGGCAAGTACACGGATTGTGTGTTCCACATCTGCGAGGAGCAGGTGAAGGGTCACAAACTAATCCTAAGCGCTGCCAGTCCTGTTTTCGAGGCCATGTTTTTTGGTCCAATGCAAAACAACGAAACTGAGCCAGAAATCGAGATCAATGACATCAGTGCTGCTGTCTTCAAGGTGCTGGTGGAGTACATCTACACAGGAGTAGTGAAATACAATGATCTGGAGCTGGTTGCATGCATTGAGTTGTACTATGCCGCGGAGAAGTATCTGCTGGAGGAGCTGATAGCCGACACTTTATTGGCTATTACACGCAAACTGCGCTTCGCCAACATTTTGCCCGCCCTGGAGCTTAGTGTTTGCATGGGCCTCGATGGCCTGCTGGAGGTCTGTATGACCTTTTTCATGCGCTGCTGTGTTAATAACGGCCAGTATGTGAGCCACCTAAAGGAACACTATGTCCATGTATCCAAGGAGTGTGTGAAGGCCATTATAGCGGCCTGCAAGGAGCCGCACAAGCTGCTGATTTGGTACGTCTACGAGTGGACGCGACAGGAATGCGAGCAGTTGGGCCTGGGGCCTAGTGATGCGGATTTGGTGGTCCACGGCTTGGGTGGTGAATCAAGCGATTGGCCTGTGGCGTCGGGCATCACTCAATTGGAATCTCCCGCTCCGGCTCCAGTGGTTTCTGTTGAGCGCTGCTACTACAAGGCCTGCCGGCCATTTACTGTGGATGCGGAATGTCCAGTCTTCCGCCTGCGCATAAAGTGCTCCAGATTCATCTCTCTGTTGGGTCTTGTGCTGAACAGCCGACTGACCCCCAACCGTATGGGCCACATCCAGCTGCTGGAGTACCGGGAGTCGCTGCGCCTAGACCTTTGCGAGGTGTTGCCAGAAAACGACGATGCGGCCACGCCACCAGTATGGAGCCATGTCGTTCAAAACCAGAACACCAAGTACAATTGCGATCTGCATCTTAGCTGGAGGCGCGAGGAGGCCTGCGTGCTAAATCCGGAACTATCCTACGAGCTGCAGATCCGCTGGGACCCCAGTGCCTACGGGGCGGAGTATCCTTGCAGCCTGCAGTCCTGTCAGGCGGACGGAATCCGGTTTACGGACGGTGACAACTTCAGTGGCAGCCTCGTCAAGGGACTGCGATACGCCAATCTGGTGTAAGCACCCCGGATGCGATACTCGATACCATATTTAGTTAGTCCGTAAGACGTGTGTGTGTATTTATTGCCTTAAGTTAATGTACGCTCCCTCAGAGTTCAATAAACTATGAGTAAGATCGCTTCAAACACACGGTGTCGATAAGCCGGTTTGCGGCCCGTATATTGTTTGCCGGCTGTCGAACTCGATTGATGGTGCAGTTTAGATTTTGGGGAAGGAATAATTTACTCACCTGTTGGAATGGCCTCTAATCAATACACCTGCGGCGTCGAAGCGGCAATAAACATTGTTAATATAATCAAAATTATAATCAAAGTCAGACGTAAACAAAAGAGTCGCGACAGTGTGGCCGGCTTTAGGTAATATTTTTGGCTAAAGTACAATGGTCCTACGAAATAAGGTCGCCCCACTTAATTTAAAACATAGAATTAATAATTATTACCTATGTTGCTTTTACATTATATTATTTATTGAAATTTCTGCTTTGAATAAATTTATACAACTAAATTATACACAATTTGTTAAGATATATAAATGAAACAAACAAAATTTTTAATTCTAAACTTAATAACTAGTGTGAAAGCCGCTAACTTATCAGTGTTGTGAAATTGAAAAATGTTTGATAATAAGTATTGGCAGGCGTCGCATAGAAAACAATAATAGTCCGCTTTAATATTTGTTTGTGCCGCAAAATGACAATATTGTACAAAGTCGAGGGCAAGGAGTTTAGCAAGGACAGTGTCTTTCCGAACAAGAAGGTACTCTGCTCCGTTTCCGCAAGGAATATCGTGGCGTTCAGTACTTTGCAGAGCGCCATAGTTCCGTCGTCCCACGGAGGAGAAGCCGGCGATGGATCCTTGCCCGGGACGAGTTTGGCTGTGGGCGCCAGCAACAGCCATGTGTACGTGTGCGACATTGTGACGCCGTGGGAGTACTACAAGGTGTGCTCCTCTAAGTCCCTCATCAGTGTACTCCAGTGGAGTCCGAACGGGGAACAACTGCTTCTAGGATATGTTGGCGGACGCGTGGAGATCTGGCAGCCGAGAAACCAGTCAATTAATAAGTGGGTCCTGCAGTTCCACGCCACCGTGCCCAGCGAGGACATCATTGAGGCCCAGTTTTTTCACAACGGCAAGGGGGTGACCTTCAATCCGCAGAAGAAGGATCACACGTACTATGCGGAGAAGTTCGAACGGCTGGAGCAGCAGAAGCCCACTCTCAGCGGCTTTGGCGGAGTGCCTAGCGAGGGCTGTGCGCTGCTCACCTCCTCTGGACTACTGGCCGCTTTCGTTCTTCCAGTGCTGCAGAAGATATCCGCGGGCGGAGCAGGAGCAGGAGCGGAAGGCCCAGTCCACGAGATCGTCGAGCTGACACCAACGTTTCACAGCATCGGCATATCGCGCAGCTTTATCGAACACTGTAGCATGACGCCGAGTCCTTCGGGCGCTTTAAATGTCGCCTTCAGTTGCGGCTGGCAGCAACAGTTGGTGCAATGCTTCAGGGTTTCTCTGTCCCTGGAGGGCGAGCTTGGCCTAGAGCAGCATCTGGCCATTAAGTCCGAGTCGCAGGCCAGCATTTTCTTGGGTCCTCTCGATGGACGACGGATCAGTCACATAAAATGGACGCGGGTGGCCAGCGAGGATGTGATCTTCATAGCCTACGCCTGTCCGGATGGTTCAGGTAGCCAGCTGGAGCAGTGGACGCTGACACGCCGGCACCAGAGTGTGCACGCCTTACTTCAGGGTGGCGGTGGCGCCAACAGCAAGACAAACGAGTTCGTGCAATCAGAGAGCTGGGAGCAGGTGGGCAAGGTGCAGCTCAACGCTTTTTTGGCCGATATCTGCGTAACGCGTCTGTCGGTCTCCGCACCAGACTGCTGCCAAGTGTACGCCATTCTGCAAGACAACAGCGTACAAGTGCTGGAGCCCAACACGTTGAAGCAGCTCAATCTCACCCAGTTTGAAAAGGTCTCCGATGCAAGTGGCGGAGTGAGATTTGTTAGCGGTGATCTGACGCCCACAAGTCAAATGCTCCTTATCTTTGATAGCCACGCACAGTTACATGCCATGCAGGCTCCTCTCGTGAAGCAAGCCATATCTGGCTTGCTTTTGCTGGAGTACTGCATCGTGACGGGCTGCGATGCCAGCGATGTACTGCTGCTGAACCTTGGTAATCTGGAGGCGCTTGTGGAGAAGCTGACAGACAACTTTACGCGCCAGCCTTCTTATGTGCGGCACTACTACTATGCCAATTTTCTGGCGCTCAAGTCAAATCTGTGTCGCATTCAACAGCAGGAATTCGACAATCTGATCATCTTGCACGCCATATCCACCACATTCAAAAGCCTGCTGCGACCCTCCGATCTGGGATTCCAGGATAAAGGACCCGCCGATAACTTGGCCATAAAGCTAGCCGAATCTATACCGGATGTCGACACTGTTATGCTAAATCTGGATGCCAAAGATTTCACCGTGGAGCCGGTGATGCTGCAGAGCTTACAACAGTTGATTCAGTGGGTCACCGACCTCGCTCTCAACATGCTACACCGTCTGCCCGAGGAGGTGATGAAGAGCAAGCTATCCGGGAAACGTCCCAGCTACGACATAAGCCGCGACATCGTGGCTATCGGCAGTTTGCGTGAACTCCTTGTCATGATCCGCATCTGGGGCCTGCTGAACCCCCAGTGCCTGCCTGTTTACACCAAGACTATGGACAACATTGATGTGTTAGTGATCCTGTTCCGTTTACTGACTCGCTTGTCTCAAAACCCTGCAGAGCCCGACGAAATGCTGCTGGACGAGTGCAGTCTGCTGTCCAAGCAGCTACTAATCCCCCAACCCTCGAAGTTCAGTCCCACCACGCTGTTGAGTGCTCAGGGATTCGCGGCCGTAAAATCGGGACAGCTGCAGTTCACTTCGCTGGTGGAGCCATCCTGTTTGCAGGACATGGAAACGGAGGAAGTGGTCTTCGCCCGGTCGGTGAAGGATGGTGTGAGCAATCTCCAATTGGGTGCGCGACCCAATACCATCCGAAGGTGTGCTCGCTGCGGATTCGTTTTCGTCAATAACGCCAGCAAAGTGGCCAAGACTTCGGCCCTGAAGGCGTGGTTCAGCAAGTGGCTGCACTGCCACTGCGGAGGCTTTTGGAAGCAGATTCATTAGTTAATTTAAATGTGTATCTAGCGACGGCATAAGTTAGTATTAGTTTGCAATAAAATTTAAATCAACAATGTCAGCTTAACAATTTTTTTGTATTTTAAAAGAACAAATAGCAACTAGCGAACAACTTTTGTTATTTGCATACCTATTTTAACATTTTAATTCTCTGATAAGAATGCCGCCCTAACTGGAATTTTTGAAGTTTTGGTAGGTAATCCAAACTTTTAGATTGCTGCTAAATGTTTTGGTATGTTTCAGTATATTTTGGGCAGATTTCTTTTAGAACATTTCAAATGATTACTGACGGTCACGCTAAAACGCGAACTGGATAAATACAAACAATTTGGCTGTCCAACGTAATTTAAATTTTAACTTTTATCAGCTACAAAACTGAATATCGAAAATCCTGCAAAAATGAACATAAATCTACCGAATTTCAACGTTAAGAATCTGGTGAAGGAGGCGGGCAGTACGATATCGCGAGTGGTGCAGGTGAACAAATCAATGATTTTGGGTGGCTTGAAAAAGCGGGTGGGGATTGCATGGGACTGGCTTTTTCGAGGGGGTGGTGCCTCCCAGCCCAAAGCTCAAGCACTTTCATTGACTTTTTGCCCTTTGGCACGGCCTTTCAGCTCACCGAGGAAAAACTTGGCACCACAGAGCGCACCGAGTACGACGTGCACTTTCAGAATCTCGCCGAGCGGGCGGATGTGACCAAGACATGGACGGAGAAGATAGTGCGCGACACCGAATCGGTACTGATACCCAATCCCCAGAATCGGGTCGAGGACTTTATCTTCGAGAAGATCGAGAAGTCAAAGCCGAAGCGATTGAGCAATCTGGAACACCTGGCACTTGACATGATTGAGGCTGGCGGGGACTTCGGTCAGGATTTGCCCTACGGCCAGGCGCTCATCAAAGTCGGTCAGGCGGAGCAGAAGCTTGGACAGTGTGAGCACGACTTCATAGCCACCTCAGGTATTTGCTTCACACAGCCGCTGCGAAAGTTCCTCGATGGCGAGATGAAGACCATCGGCAAGGAGCGTGGCATCCTGGAGACCAAGCGTCTAGATTTGGACGCCTGCAAGAACCGGGTGAAGAAGGCCCGCAGCATGCTCGGTCAGCAATCGGTAAGTGGGTGGTTGTTTTTTAATGGGTTTCTTTCGGTTTTACACTCACGACCTATTTCTGCCCCTCCTGCTGCCAATGGAATCTATAGAAAGATGGCATCTCGCCAGAGGCCGTTTTCGAACAGGTATCGGGACCTTGACTGTGCTTTAGATTAATGGTAAATCAATATGTGGCTGAATAATTGACATTGTTTTCGCAGGCGGAGCGAGATCTGCGGGTAGCCCAGGCCGAGTTCGACCGGCAGTCGGAGATCACCAAGCTACTGCTGGACGGGATCAGCACCTCCCAAGCCTCGCACTTGCGCCACTTGCACGCATTCGTCCAGACGCAGGTGCGCTACTACAAGCAGTGCGGCGATGTCATGGAACAGCTCCAACGGGAGCTGGCCAAGTAAGTTAAAAATTGGCAATGGCTGTGGATGACTGAGACTTTCAAGTAGGCACCAAAAAAAAAAAAAAAAGAACCTGTCCTCGCACCCCAATACAAAAGGCCCAACATCCTGCTGTATCCTGTGCTCTCCCTTCTGGTCATCTCACCCTGCGTTATTTGTTATCTGTTTGTGGTCTTACAGAATGCAGCATCCCAAGCCACGCCTGCGCATCAATAGCGAAGACGTTGATGGTGGGCCTCCCAGCTCTGTGTCGATGCATTCCTGTGATTCCGATTCTTTAGTGGGCACAGCCCTAGATAGCGACCCAGATCCCGATCTGGACAAGTCCCTAACGAATCTGCTGGAAGACTTTCACATAGAGTTCGATACTACGGCCGTCTCCACAGTTTAGGGGTCTTGTTAGTGGCCTGAAATTCGAATCGGACACCGTGCCAGTTAACATTAACATTTAATTATATTACTAGATAGGTTGTTATTATATCTGTAGTTGTTGCACCGTTTAAGGTCAGGTTTCAGCAGTTCATCCCTCCATTTAGAGCCTCGCAATCGAACCGAATCAAAAACTCATTAAACTCTGCATCTTCCATCAGCTTGGGAGGCCCCACACCATACATTCCACTCGACCTGAGCGAGGCCAGTGCCAGCAAGTCCAGCTCCGCGGTCGGAGCCGCTGCCCGCGGTACTGGAAACAATCACTCCGCGAACGCGGTCACTTCCGGCCACAAGCCCAGTCAACCCATGCACGTCAGCACGGATCAGATGCAGCGAGCACGCGTGCTTTGCTCCTACGATGCCAAGGATCACACTGAGCTAAATTTAAATGCAAACGAGGTGAGATTTATTTGAAATCAAATGAAAACTTAATATTGAGAATATAATTCAATAATTTGCCGTTCTGCGATTCTAAGTAATAGGAGAATGTTAAAGAGTCGTTTATGATTAACCTTTTTATTGAAACTTCTAACTAATTTTCCCCTTTATACACTTGATCTAAAGTTTTAGTTGCTAAATGTAATATCTGATTCTAGGTGATTTTTGTGGTTGAATGCTCGCCCGTTAATGAGGATTACATGTACGGCAAACAGGGTCTGATGAAAGGACTTGTGCCACGGGCGTTTGTCGAAATGCTCGACGAAGAGCACGACGTCACCCTTTAAGTCCATCAAGTTCAGCAATACTCAATCAATCAATAATCTCAGCAAGAAGAATACTCCAAGTAATGGTACAGCAATACTCATATGTTTAGAAAGAAGGAAAGGCAATTGGACAATTATAAGATGCGGCCAAACTGGCATTTGGCACTAGCAAGAGAGTACAATAATTTATTAGAATATACAAACATAAACATATACAAGGCATATACATATATGGGCGTGTTATTAAATAATGATCGTAGTTTAGGCCTCGTTATTCCTTAAGCCTTGATCCTTGCCCAAACAGCTACGCTACTCACTTGCACAGAACACGCGCATAGCTGAAATTAAAAACATATACATTTTATGCTGCCTAAATAACCTTCAGGATATATTTAAAAATTCACGAAATTTTCAACTTAATAATTGTTAATACTTATTACATATCCATGGAGAAAGTGTTTGATTAAGCCTCTCAACAAAGTATTATATTTGTGTTATGTTTGTCTTTATCTTAGTTAACAGGCAAAAATCTTTGTGCTTTACTATAAATCCTATAATTATAAATTTTAAAGAGATTGTTACTCCTATTATCTATATATATTCAGCGAAGGCGTTTCCAGTATAAGCTATTTATTATCAAAAGTATTTACTCCTGCTGCAATTATTATGTTAGTAAATTTTTTCGTGCAATTTTCAAAAGTCAATTAAAATAATGTTGCTTGTTAGATTTAAGGCAAAACCCAAAAACACCAAGGCAAATTTACAGACAAAAATTAAAAACGTACAATATTAAAATTACCAAGTAAACAACGATGATTTTTAGGTTTTCAGAAAAAAAAACCGTTGTAATATGAAAAGCGGCTTGAAGCGGATTTTTAAAACACAAACTATATTGAATAAATACAAATATATGATCGAATTGAAAAAATAATGTGTTTAATTTTGCAAATCAACATGCAAATTAGTTAAAAAAATATAATTCAACTAAGAAATCTTAAAATAAATCATTGTTTTGAAGTAATTGGATAATAGAATGTACCTTAACATGAATATAGTATGTTAATCGAATTCATCAAAATCGCTTGAAGATTCCGAATCCATTAAATGGTCAATATTAAAGCCATCCACCGGGTTGGGTATGGTTTTCATTTGGATGATGTTTCCAGGCAATAGATCAGGACTCTAGATTTTGTTGTTTATTTAAGCCGAGTTAAGAAATATAAAAACAAACATAAATTACTATAAACGCAATATTAGGATGGTTATCATCTAAAGTACTTACTGTCAGAATAAGCTCTTTAATTTGTGCGATGTCCATAGATGACCACAATTCAATGGGAAGCCTTCTCTGCATATCATGGTTTGCGATCTCCTCACGCACTTGGTTGACAATGGCAAGCACCAGCTTAACGTTTATCTGCTTGCAGTAGTCTAGCCGCAGGTAGTATAATCTGGCGCACGCACGAAACACATGCACGAACATAGAGTCAAATGAGCTCCTGCTCTTAAAATGGATCTGTTCCAATTTCTTAAGATTTGCAAGATGCGTCAGTACTTCATCGGACAGGGTAAAGTCGGAAATAATAAGGACGCGGAGCCCACTAAGCTTGGTGATTTTTATAAGGTGCTTTGTTTTCCATCGCCAAAAGGGACTATCCACTATTTCCAATCTTTCTAGATGGCTTGTCTTGTGCTTCAACTGATCAAAGAGTTTTGCAAATTTTTTTTGACGACTCAGCATGTTAACATAGATGGTTAGGTGCTTTAGTTTGGGCAGCTGAGCGACGTACTCAAATCCGCTGAAACTCGGGATTTGGAGCACCTCCAGCGTTGGGCAAAAATTCTTATTCACCAAGCTTTTGAAGGTTTTCTTACCTGATGCATATACTTTTATGTTCCTTATGCTGAGCTCTTTTAGTTTAGTTAAACGCTTGCACATTTGAAGCAGGAGCCTGGCGTCTAAATTCACACAGTCGTCAAGTCCCAAAACCTCGATTGAAACAGGTAGCGCATCCAAGCTGTATCCCGCGATTGGGTTGCAGCTCAAGTTCAATATCTTCAGATTGGTTAGATGTTGCAGCATCAAAAGATCTTCGTCGGTGACATCTGAGTTCTCTAGCCGCAACTCCACCAGTTGGAAAGTCTTGGCGAAAATCTTGTGCATGTGAAGCCCAAATTGCGGGAAATCCGACAAAAACGCGGACCTAAGATTACAGCAATAATGTCTAATGAAATCGGCCAAACGCTCCAAATGAATCGTTTCGCAATAACCGCGTAGGACCTGCACATGTGCACCGCACAGTTGAAAGAAGTCGCGCATATCCCAAACGGTCATTTCCTCGAACAAACTCAAATCGACAGTGGTGTACTTTCTGGAGATGGCTTCCTGGTAGAAAGCCCTAAAACGCGGGCAGGCTCTAGCAAAGTGCACCTGATCCTGCAAATCCAGTTCCATCATAATCAGCTCCAAACAGTGGTCATTAAGGCAAAAAATGGGCGTTAGTCCCTGGTGATTCAGCAGTTCCTCCGAGGATCCGTAGGCATCCGGCTGCTCCCAACTATCGCTGGCATGAATCAGAAACGGCATTCTATTTAGAAACTGGTGATGTTGAAGCAGGGCACTGGGAATTTATTACAAAGAATTAAGGGTCCTGTTAAGCTAGAGAGACATTTCTCACCTGGCTGCATCCTTGGCGTTGTCAAAAATAACGAATCCACTTCCAAACAAGGATGATTCCCCTAAGGGCTCCAATATCTGGATTTGTAACACGCGCCCAAAGCTTTCAAAGTATGCTTGTATCGAGCTCTTATTTAAACTCTGCAGAAAATCATTTAACGAGTGGATAAGGAAACGAATTTTATAACACTGCAGACAATCTTAAAAAGGCTACCTCCCTTGGGGCATCGCACCAACTTAGTTTCTGCACTTTAATGTGGTCTTCTGTGTAGGCAATAGAGTCTTCAAAGTAGTAGTTTTTTTGAACTATAAAGGATTAATTTAATATTGAGAATATATTACCAGACAATAATTAAATCACTTAGTTACTTTGCTTGCTAATGAAGTAATCCATGGTTGTTATCCTTTTAGAGCTGAACTAGAAGCAAAGATAACTTTTTACTTATCAAAGCGATATTCATTTAAAGCGCCACTGTTTTAAAGTGACCAAAAGCTGAACGGCTAAAAATGTCAGCTTAATGTTTTTAATATATGTATGTGAATATAAATAAATTTCAATCCTAAAATGTCAAAGTCCATCCGTCGGACGGACAGTTGGACTTAACGAATCGAACAATCGAAGGTAACGTGCAAAGTGAACATTTTTAATCAAAAAATTGAGGGTTGCGTCTTCGCTAGCACACTCGTTAAAGAAGAGGAGTTCGCGGCTCTCATGAGCATTTCAATTTCACTTAGTTCAGATAGTTTTTTAATGAAACTGACGCATTGCTTGATTAATCCCACGTAGGCCTCAAAACATTGAATTTCGGAATACGATTTGTAAAAGAATAAACTTAAGTTTCGAGTTAAAAGACCTTTTTTTTTGGGCTGTCAGAGAACTTTGTTCATTATTTCATTTTTTAATATATTTTCCTGATATATTTTTAAGAATTTATAGTTTCAGCTAGCAAGAAATATTAATTTTAATATTAAACGCTAATATAAAGTTAATTTCAAGAACTGTTTACTGAACGAAAAAAAAAATAGGTAATATTTTGCAATCAATTCTATGGCTATTTTTTAAGATGTTAATTTATAACTTGTTGCAAATTGTGCACTGGAATCATTCAAATCGAAAAAGCGTTAAAAATACTCATAACATACCGCATTTCTTTTGCTTTTGGTTGTGATGACGAAATTGTTGTGGGAGATCGGAATTGTGGTCACACTGAAATCTCTTAGTCCAAAGGGCGATTCAACAAACATTTATAAACTATGTGGAGGTACACGATCTTAAGTAGCAGCAAATTGGCAGGAAATGCTAAATTTTGCAGACAAATTGCGATTCACAGTCCCAAATTGGGAACAAAAAGCAATCAAAACAAGGACAAGGCAAGTGAAAATGAGTCCTTTATGGCTAATATCTTTCGAGGGTCTTTGGTGTCAAGCCAAGTGTTCCCTTATCCGGACGTCTTGAGTACCGATCAAAAGGATCTGACCAACAGTCTGATAGACCCGTTTGAACGCTTCTTCTCCGATGTCAATGACGCCGCCCGTAACGATGCCAATGCCAAAATAGATGACACCACGGCGACAGCTTTGTGGGAACTCGGAGCCTTTGGAATCCAGGTGCCATCCGACTACGGTGGCCTCGGCCTGAATAACACCCAATACGGCAGACTGTGCGCCATTGTGGGCGCCAATGATCTGGGACTGGGCATTACGATCGGTGCCCATCAAAGTATCGGTTTTAAGGGTATTCTTTTATACGGTACCCCGGAACAAAAGGAGAAATATCTACCGAAAGTGGCCTCAGAGCAGGTTTACGCCGCGTTTGCACTTACAGAGCCAAGTTCCGGATCTGATGCTGGGTCCATTCGATGCCGCGCTGTGAAAAGTGCTGATGGAAAGCACTACGTTCTTAATGGTTCCAAAATCTGGATTTCCAATGGTGGAATTGCCGAAATCATGACTGTTTTCGCCCAGACCGAACAAGTGGATCCGAAAACTGGCGAAAAGAAGGACAAGGTAACTGCCTTTATTGTGGAAAGATCATTTGGCGGAGTTACTAATGGTCCGCCGGAAAAAAAAATGGGTATCAAGGCATCAAACACTGCCGAGGTTTATTTCGAAGATGTAAAAATTCCAATCGAAAACGTGCTCGGCAAGGAAGGAGACGGATTTAAGGTTGCCATGAACATATTGAACAACGGTCGGTTCGGAATGGGAGCGACGCTATCGGGAACCATGAAGAAATGCATTGAACTGGCAACCGATCATGCAAACAATCGTGTACAATTCGGGCAAAAACTAAAGAACTACGGATCGATTCAGGAGAAGCTGGCCCAGATGAATATTTTGCAATATGCTACTGAATCGATGGCCTTTACCATCTCACAAAACATGGACGCAGGCAGCAAGGACTACCACTTGGAAGCGGCGATTTCCAAGATTTATGCCTCCGAGAGCGCCTGGTACGTTTGCGATGAGGCGATTCAAATTCTGGGTGGCATGGGATATATGGTGGGGACCGGTCTTGAACGAGTCCTGCGAGATTTGCGCATTTTCCGTATATTCGAGGGCACAAATGATATTCTCCGATTATTCATCGCACTGACTGGCATTCAATATGCAGGATCACATTTAAAGGAATTGCAGCGTGCGTTCAAGAATCCCTCTGCAAACTTGGGATTGATTTTCAAGGAAGCCTCCAAGAGAGCTGCTTCGACGGTTGGCTTAGGCGGCACTGATCTGAGTGTTCACGTTGCGGATGAACTTTTACCCTATGCGAAGAAAACCGCCCATTGTATTGACCTTTTTGGTCAGTCGGTGGAAGAGCTATTGCTGCGATACAATAAAAATATAGTAAACGAGCAAATTTTGCTAACACGACTGGCAAACGCTGCCATTGATATATACTCTATGGTTGTGACGCAATCACGATCATCTCGAGCAGTAAATCATAATCTGCCAACTGCTCAACACGAGCTGAACATGACGAAAGCACTCACCATTCAGGCTTCTGAACGAGTGATTAAAAACCTGCAGGCTGCAACTTCCAGGCATCACAAGGCTCTGAACGAGAAAATATCTGAGATCGCCCTAACTACTCTGGAAAATGGCGGTGTAAATACAACTGGAGTCTTAGACCAAAATTAGAAATATAATTTTTTGTACAAATTTATAGTCTTTGAATGTTCTATTAGAAATGAAAATAAATAAATAAATAAAACATTGTAACCTTCAAGGGCCATTAAAAATTAAAATGATTGCTTAGTATAATAAAAGGTTTTTAAAAACATACCGTTTTATAGAGAATTTCCATATCTTCAATGGGACAGCGATATTTTGCTGGTTTAGCATTGGCGGGCGGCATGTGCAGATTCGCGATCTGGCCCCACGGTGCACATACCTGCGGAGAGTTTGGGCAAAGGGAGCTATCGCTGCTGTTGGAGAGAGACAAATTAGTCTGATTCTGCACAGCATCGCGACGCGAACGGAGCTGCGTTATTCTTTTTATCGCTTTGTTATGTACTTATAACCAACTCAAAACCCAAATAAATATTGAAGTACACTGGTCGGCATATATATTTTGACAAAATTAAAGTGAAATATACTCGAAACTTTAACTTGCTTCTTTTAACTTTTGGTATCAATGGAAAGGTAATTTAAATGCCGTTTGAATGATACCATACTTTTCTTACCTCATTCGATATTTATTGAAAAGGGCAATTTTAAAAAAAATCTACTTTTTAAACTTGTTCCCTCGTCTTGAAAACTAAAATTTTTGGATGCAAAAAGTTTCTTTAAACAAAAATAATAGTACTGCAAAACGAATTTTTTAAAAATAATTTTTCTTTTACTTTTTATAATTTTTTGAAAAGTTTAGAAATACGCATTTAAGCCATATTTTTCTCTTTTCCATACAAATTTTTTTCGACATTGTTACCTTCGAAACTTCGAACTTAACAATACCGTTTTGCCGTATTCCAGTTTTGTATTACAACTCTTTATTATACCCAAAGCTCCTTTGGTCCCCGCTCACCGAACTAAAGTCGAATTCCATTAAGAATTTGCGCGTGCCCTGAGCATGTTGTACGAAAGCAAAACAGAAACTGATCCCAGCTCACTGATACGTTATTGGGCCCCAAGCTGATCGGGGCAGACAGCCAGGCAGCAGCAGAGCCCAGCCAGCAGATGGCCGACCGAAGACATGGACCGTTCGGCAGCTCAGAGAAGATCTGCCTTCGTAATCCCCGCTAGTGGCAACGAAAATAGAGCAGAACTCATGGGGAAGCCCAGCGGTTGAAGTTGCCGCAGCCCAAGACAGCTAATAAGAATTCATCATGTGCCACGCCAGCGAGGAGTGGGGAAGACTTCCCCAAGAAAGCAGAGGAGGCAGAAACCGGGCGTCGCCTGCACGCGCCGTAATTGCAACGCAACAGGAGGGCCGCGGTGCCTGGACCAGGAGCAGTCCAGAGCGGACCTAGCCTCGGAGCCACTCGGTGTTTATAATCTTAAAGTCCGTAATCACATTAAGGCATGTGGTCAGCGGCTTGGTCCTGGCTTTCTGCCCAAACTGTTGCAGCTTTATCACCTCGCAGGGTCTCGCTCCTCGCTCCGCGCTCCCCGAACTCGGCAGAACTCCTCGGGTTCCCCGATCGCAGCGATGACAGCACGTACGAGTCGGGATCCCCTTTGTGAGGTTGGGGCAAAGCCGCGTTGTTTTTTTGTGAGCTCTGGGCAGAGGGGGCGTTCCACCGAGCGTTCACGATAAAATTATTATATTGTTGAGGGCCGCCGTTGTAAAAGAAAAACTGAACAAAAAATATCTTCTTCCCCCAACATTTACATAGGGTAAAAATTACGAGGCCACAATAGACGATGACTTCATCGTTATAATAAATAAATAAAAATTAAGAAATTTTATTAGATTCCAACTCAGGTTTAACATTTCCTACTGAAAAGTGCTGCCCATCTTTGTTTTTCTACACTGCCTGACCGCTAGATGTCGATAAACGGAAAATGGAAGACTGCGTAAAATGTATGTAAAATGAGATTGGTCGCAAAACAACTGTAAAATAGAGAAGCCTTGTTTATATTCTTGCAGAGGGTATTAAAAGAATTTATTATTTATTATTTATATTCCATAATTTTTAAGCAATCAATTAAAAAATGGCAACGAAGTCTCTTTCCAATATATTTTTTATAATATAAATACGAAGCTCCTTTAATGGATTAATAAAATCATTTATTGCGCCCGGCCCGCATAATTTCCTAAGTTTACTGCCGGAAATAAAAAAAATTGGCGCATGCCAAAGAAAGTGCTGATGTGACAAGAAGGCGGCGATGTCGTTGAGACGAAACCAATTGGTCAGGCGGCAGATGTGGCTTTGTTTTCATTAATTAGATCGTTCATGGTTCAGACGCAGGTCAGTCTTCAATGTGATCCCCTGGGCCGTTGCTGATATTCTATACCTGAGTAAAACGAAGCCATGTAAATCACTGCAGCGATTAACGATCCTCTTCATAAATCCTACCAGGTTTCGATCTCCCAATCGGAACTAATTGGGTTAACAATGCAATAGTTATACTCAACTCCCCTACAATGAGTAAGCCCAAATCCAATCAAAGATCAAGCGACGACCGAGTAGTATGAAGTGGCCGGGAACCTAAAGAAGCGTGATCGATGTTGATGTGATATTACCAATATTTGCAATAACCTTATTTCATTCACTTTTCATTGGCTGTACTCTGAATGATCGGGAACCACGTGACAGATGTGTCGCCATTCGGATCAGGCAGAGGACAGCCACAAAATGGAGTTTCGATTTGTGGCCCAAAATCAATTTGGCAGGGAATGTCACCTTTTCACTCTGTCCTGCTCAAGTAAAAATCCAGAAGTTTTTTCCTCCTTTTTCATACAAGAGCTTCATTAGTAAAAGCGTAATTTAACTGCACTTAATGCCCATTAAAATTTCTTAATTTGAATACCCTTGCAGAGCAAAGAGTACTATAGGAGACACCTCAGACCCCATCAGTGGCGGATTTAGAATTTTAATCTGGGGGGAATTTTCGAATGAAACAAATTTTTCATTGTAAATCTAGTCTGTGGAATTTATATGTTAACCTCAGTTCATACATATATATTTCTAATTATTGTAAAATTATTTAATTATAAACGAATATCATAAATAATGGAAAAAAATTATAACTTACCGCTTGTTTATTTTGGTTTAGTAGATTTAAAATTTTTAAATTCATCTTTTAATGGATTATATATATTATAAACACTTTGGCACTTGCCAAAATAAGTTGTCTGCCAGCGCTTTTTCGTCATGTAAAGAACATTTTGCATAGAAACACCGAAAATGTTGGTTTAAACGCGAAATATTGACCGAAATTTATTTAAACCACGAGTATTAATTACAATGTTTATTGCTTTTTTAGCATTTGCAAAGATCGATTTAAATATAAATAAAGACTTTTGCCAAAAATTCCTTGGGGGAGCGTCACAAAATGGCGGATGCTTTGCAATAAAAAGATGAAAACTGTGCGCTTGGCCTGAATTGCCGAAAAACACTGATAAGTCATAAAGCCTATTAGAATAAAAGCGGAATAATTGTAAAGATCAGATGTAATCTAAATTATTTTAAAGGTATTAGATAACAACAGCTGGGTATTAACTCTCCTAAATTAACATCATATTCTCTCTTTAGTTCTTAACACAATGATTACAAGCTAAGCCATACTTTGCCCCCTTACATTTATTAAACTTTGAATTGGTTTCATATATCACGAACTGCTGAGTTTTACTACTTTTTACTTTTACTAAACTAACTGATACTAGACCCGTGGACAGCCGAACTTTTAAGGAAGAGCGTTTAAGCCCAAGAGAGGCTTTGAGTTGGGTTTCGGCTCTAGAACAAATAATTTGGCTCGATAAGTGGAGCAAGTGACTCTTAGGACGGTTGATGGCGATAGCGATAAATGTTGATTGCTCGCTGATGTCGGTTTGACTACAAAGCTTGGACTTACGGCGGTTCAGCTTAGCTATTTCGATTTTCCCCCATTTCGTCCATGATGATTTTGATTTGAGTCTGTTAAATCAGGCAATAAATCTTCTGAGTCTTTTTTTCTGATAACGTGCAATGCAGTGATCAATTGACTACAATAAGGTCTTCACATTACCCATAGAGAATTAGGAAGTATAGAACTAGTGTAAATGTAATAGCTATATTATCTATGCCGCATTTTTGATGGCATACTTCATTCACAAAAAGTCAAACTCTCAGACTGGTCAGAAAGGTAATCCATGAATTGTCGCAAAATCAAAATCCACCAAAATATTTTTGAAGTCCCTTCGAAATCTCTTCCTGTCAGCACTCCGAAGTTCACCAGAAGTCAAAAAAATCCGCATATCCGAATATCGGCTTATATAGATCATCGCGATCAGCAGACAAAACAAGCGGATGAAAAAGACAAGAAAACGGCATGTTGTCAAACGTTGAGTTGGCTCAGCCGCAGGCGGAGATTAAGTCGGGACTCCGCATCCGCCGCGCAGAAGAATGCAGAGCGAGCCACGGAAGGCAAGGTGGGCGTGGCTGCATTTTGATTGAAATCAAACACAAGAGCAGATTACAGTGTATTTATGTGGCCGAGCGTGTGGGAAAGGGTTCTGCGGACGGACCTGTTCTCGGGTTGCGCGTGTGCAGCACTTGTTACACATCCTCGCAGGACACAACAACTGAATTTAAGGACGGCCAAGTTTCAAGAGTTGGAGGAGGCTGAGGAGATGAACTCATCAGGCAAATTCGGGCGACCGAAAGCCGGCGGACACCGGCTCTGATCCCGTTCGCCCACCTCGGAGCCGAATGAATGCGGATTAGTTGCCCGAGAGGGTGCTAAGTCGAGTAAACGCCTACACAGCCAAAAGTCATGTCATGTTGGGCCAAAAAGGATTTGCCCTGCCACTGACACAATTTTCTGCACCATCGTAAGCGGGATAAAGATCCGGCCGCACATCAAGATCTGCGTTGATCCAGACACTCTATGATCACTGGCATTGATTTTTACGGATTTTCAGCTTAGGGCCAAGGCAATGCGCAATCTTATATGTGAATCTGAAACTAGGAAGCGGTCCACCCCCAACCTGTTAGCCGTGTCACCTCCCTGGGCGAAGCAAATTCCACTTGGTCATGGGGTATGACTTTGGGCAATTGCAAGCACAGGTTTTGGGTTTTTGCTGGTTCTTTATTTTAATGCTTGCAGAAAAGTGATCCAATCCGAAATTATCATATCCATATAGGAATAATAAACATCAAGGGGAAAAACAACATACCGAAAAACCATTTGATCATTTGAAAATGGGCCCCAAAAGAACTGCATTGCAAATGGCCTCCGCTAACATGATTTCCCTTTCGGCAAGGCCTGTGGAAATTCATGATGGCAGCCGCCGGGAAAAGAGGAAGTTCAACCCCCAAGCGGACGGGATGCAGAGCTGGGATCAACTTCAGCCGGAGCTCGGTCACACCAAGCGTTTATAACCGCCAAAAGCAAACATCCACCGAGCATTTCGAAATAAGCGTGAAAATAATCCATCTTTTCGCTAAGCGAGCTGCCAGCCGCTCCCGTCACCTATTTCCTCGACCACCCCTCGGCTTCCCCGCTTTTCGCCGCCAGGATCTGGATCGGGATCGGGATCGGGGCAGGGCAGCTGCTGGGGAGAGAATGGCAGCAGAAAGTGTCAAAAAATGTTTCATTTTAGATCTGTTGAAAAATAGTGTTCCCGCCATTGTCCCTTTTCCGTGATTTCTGCACGCTTCACGCTGATTTGCGCGCCTATCAGCCAGGAGTTGGCAGTGGTGGTGGTGGTGCTGCTGCTGCTGTTCCCGCACCACTTTCCCTGGCAGCGCTCCCCTTGCTTGGATGCTCTTGCAGTTTTCCGATGGCCTTCCGCTGAAGCATCCTTTCGCGTGTTGTGCTCGCTCGTCCTTTTCCTCCTGGCTGGGAATGACTTCCAACGCCGCGAAATATAATTCATTTAAATGATTGGTTGTGTGTATAGAATGCAGCCGCGAGAGGGGAAGGGGGTGTAGTTGGGCTCTGCTGGCCGTGGAAATTGGCTTTCCCACTCGTTCACATCGTCCTGCTGGCTCCGCCTATGGTGGTTACTCCGCGATGCTAAAAAAGGAAAACGAAGAACAATTTTTGCATTTCATGAGCAGTCTACGAGTTAGGAGTTTCACACGAGGCAAAAAGAGTTTGGCAGATACCATCTCCGAAAAGAGTGGAAATCAGCCAAGATTGACATAATAACAAACGCCGGCCTCGCTTTGTGGCGATAGAAAAGCAGCCGGAGAAAACTGTAAACGAATCTACGCGAAAGTATTCGAGCCGGACTAGGGAGAGCACAATACGGCCTCAATTACAATTACAAATGCCAGTTGGCGGGGCGGCGAAAGATCAAAGCGAAGCACTAAGCTTTGCAGGCTAGGAAATAACAGAAAATAACGTGGCCAGCGCGCACAATAACACTGGCAATAAAGATGCAAACAATAAAATATCAGCCGAGAAAAGATAGAGTACAGGAAAGGGGACAGACTCAACGGCAACTCCAGTCCCGAGCCCCAAACGGAGTTCATCGGCAACTTTCCCAAGCATCGCGGGCATGCAAATGGCACCGCCGAATGTCCAATGAGTCATCCGTCCTGGTGGCCGCTTCCCTATCCCGATCCCGATCCCGATCCCGCCGTCTTGGAGCAGGTACGACACCGAAGTTACGGTTTGATCACAAGTTGAGCGTAAAATATGCTAAAGATCATCGGGTGTCAGCGACTGTGTGCGCCGCAAATGAGCGTAAAATGATCAAAGAATCTTCGCGCGCTATGCCAAGTGTGGCCCCCAGTTCTCCAGTCCCCTCCTCGCCCCAATCCTCCACCCGGCGAGCTTTAGTGCCCTTCAATCACCTGGACAGGACTTGGTCGTCCATTGCACACCGCACGTATACTAACTACGTGCGCGCATTTCGTAAAATAACATTCAATTTGTGCAACCTGATCAAGCCATTGCAGCCGCAGTCGCAGCCGCAGCCGCAGATCTCCAATCGCCTTCGATGATCATCGGCGGAGCCTGCCCCAATAAATAATCAGTGCTCCGTTGTAATCACATTTCTGCGATCCACATTTCGAGTCCCCCGACTGACGTTTGTGCATATTTTTACGCTTGCTTAAAACGGCCGAGTGCCGAGCTCAAAGAAGATCGCCGACGGCTCAGCCGCCCCTGCCGCGCGCAACTCGCCTGCCTTGCCCCGGCTGCCACCATCGGAGATGGAAATTACACGTTGCAGGCCCACTGATGATTTCTGCAATTGCTGGCCAGCTTCGGCGGCAATAACAACAATTTGTTCGCATGGCCGGTGCAGACAGCCTGGCTGCCGAGCTGCTGGACTGCTGGGCTGCTGCCGCCTCATCGCTGGTCCAATTGGCCGAGTCGGCTTCGAAATCAACTTGCAGCTGCACTGCCATTACTTAACCGATCTTCGGGCTCCTCCCGGTCTGGGGGGCTCTTTATTGAATTATAATGTTATTTAGTTGCGGCTGCCGCCGAGGCTTCTCCGAGGCGTCGACGTCATCGGCGGTGGATAGCAGACATGGTGGAATCAATCTTCGCTGTGGGGTTCAGTTCGAAAGCGATCGCTGGGGCTGCTTTTGGTGGAATATGAAGACATTGTTGCAGGCACTTTATGTGAAGGCGTTCAAGTGTTCCTACATGGCGACATACACATCTCCCTTCTCCGGATTAACCGAAACCCCTTTTCATAACTTTAACACCCGAACATCGAGTTATCATCAGGTATCTATCAAAAACTCATGCGTAATTGCCCTGCAGCGCTCTGGGATGAGTGGAGTGCGCGAGAGCCGGCAAAGTGAAACCCCTCCGGAGAAAGACGAATCGCATGGAAGTGTGTGAGGCAGAACCAGCCCTCGTTTTGCCACACAGCGATCCGAAAACAACACACAGAGATATGCTCTAAATTTGCGTTACGTAACGGAATTTAAAGCGTTCCTTATCTGATTGGTTTTGATGCTTTATCAACGCTTGCTGCTTACCGCTCCCATGAACACGCTTACCGCTCTGGCTGCTCGTCGCCATTACAAACGTTAATAATTTTTAATGAATATATGATAAATATTTTTTGGCGTGCGGCTCAGCGCGGCCAAAGAGTGTGTGAAAAATTGGCGGAACATTCCCAAAACCTCAACACCTAAATGTAATAATTTTCGTCAGCAGGTGATGATTTTGTCGTAGGTCGTAGAATTACCGCTGCGATCGGTGGCAATTAACAATGCAAGTAGCTTGGTTTAACTGGCTTGAAATTGATAATGTGTTATCCGCTAGCCGAAAAACAGTCTCCTCAGAATCAGCGATCATCAATCAAGACAGAGCTTCGTCAGATATCGGGGCTAACCCTTCGGCCAAGTTGGACACACAGGAAGTCTGCGTTAAGAAGGGGCATACAAAATTCGCATGCTACCGACTTCGTCTGAAGGCGACGATGCCCATCTATTGGAATCTCATAAATCACCGCATTATTTTGTGCTCGGCCCTTCAACAGCTTTGTCAAATGAGCCGCCAGCTCTCGGTTGGCCACACAAATTTAACTTGTGTAGAAATGTCCAAGTTGGTGGGCCCAGGACCCAGTCCTGGATAAGATACGTCAGCAAAGAGGAAGCCGAAGGCTACTGTGCGGTATGGGAATGACAAAGTGGAAACAGGCAGCTCTCCGGACGCTATGTGCGATCAATTCTCACAGTTGACACACATTATCGCCCTCGCAAGGACCCCGAACCTGTCGTCGTGGCAGGACTGCTCCTCGCCGGCGATACAAACTAATTGATGTTTTCATTTGGGCACTCTGACGAGCAGGCAACGTTTTCATTCTAGGTGGTAAGTGCGACGCCCGCTGAGCACACATAATTGAGAGCAGCAGGAAGGACCCGAAGAAAGGCACCGCTGGCCGGGCAGCAGCACCACCCAAGACTCCGATCGGCGCAACTAGGGCATGGGGAGAGGACTACAAGTCCTTTCCTCCCTCCCTCCCTGTCACTTTGTCAATGGCTTTGTTCACTACCGTGTGCACTTGGCTGCCCTTCGGGTCCTGTCATCTTCGGCCAGGCCCACATTTGGCGGCATCTTGAAAGTCCTGGGCCAGCCAGTGACGTTGGTGGTCGCCGGATTTCTCTGCTCATATTTTGCGCATCTCCTTTGTCAATTGCTCTATTTTGCTGCGATGTGTGTGGGTCCCCAAACAATGGGTCCCTAAATTATATTCGTATTATCGAGCCCGCAGTGCGTGTTCGTCTTTTTGTCTCTAATTGTTTAATTGTCAGATCATGAGTCGGCTTGTTGTCTGGATCCGTCAGGAGAGCGCCCTTGTCCTCATCCGAGGTCCGTGGCCACAAGAGATCCTTGTGGGAAGGTCGTGTTAGTACATTGTCAGCTTGTCATTTTAGGGAACAGTTTATGTGGCATTTTAAAGGATTAGTTGCTTGTGCTTGTAAACCTGTTAGGGTGCCTGTTAGGGAACACGACCTGAACAGGTCATGTGTGTGGTTCCTTACCTCGCCGATAATGCCATTACGTGGTGGGGTTTAGGGGTTTGTTCTCATTGTGCGGATTTCTTAAATGGGATAGTCATTAAATGGCGATGCTGCCATGCGTGCTTGATGGAAACCAACGAACGTTGCTGTAATACCATTTTAGAAAAACTTCCTTTACCCAAAGTAAATAGCAATCGCATAAAAGACTGCCGTGAATTATTTCGAAACTAACGATATATCAAATCATTTGGTTCTTATTTCTGAATACTTTTGTAATAAAATAATTTTGGTTTATTTGTTTAAATTTTTATTGGTTTGATTGTAGCTCATTGTGTTACATATAGAAAAACATGTGTTCTTACGCTGGACTTAAAATAATTTTAAACAGTCTTAAAGTTCAAATGACAACTAATTTCTACCACTACAAGGAGAGTAAGCCACTCCAGTAAAAGGAAAGGAGGGGGACGTCATAATTCCCTAGAACCCGAAGTATGGATAGGTGGGAGCAGCTCCCATCATCGAGCTCTTCTGCTCCACCTGGTGATGGAAGCCGCCCATGTGGCTGCTGGCGGAGGCGGAGGGGGGGAAGAAGGAGCCGGCGAAGTTGTAGCTCTCCCACGAGGAGGGGTGGTGGGAGCCCGAGGCGGCGGCGGACGCAAACTGGGATCGCAGCTGCTCGGCGGACGTGGCAGCGGAGGGGGGCATGGAGTAGCCGGCCGATCCGGAGGCTGGGTAGGCAGAACTGGCCGGTCCCACGCCGTAGGCGGAGTTCATGAACTCGGCTCCGGCTCCTGGCTGCTGGACCTGCGCCTGCGCCTGCGCGGGGCTGTGGCCGGCGGAGCTGCTGCCGGAGGTGCTGCTGGCCGGGGACATGGATGCCACCGAGCCGCCGTAGCCGGCGTTGTTCTCGTAGGCGGCTCCGGACGTCGGCCAGGCCTGGGAGCCGTACAGGCCCATGCCCATGTGGGGGGCAGGTGCAGAGCTGGCGATGCCGTTGGGAGTGGCAGTGGCTGTGGCGCCGTAGGGAGCGGCGGCGGTGGGGGCGAAGCTGGAGACCTGCTGCGTGTTCAGCTGCTTGCGCAGGCGAGCGCGCCGGTTGGAGAACCAGACCTGCACCCGGGCCTCGGTCAGCCCGGTGCTCTGCGCCAGCTCCTCGCGGGTGTACACGTCTGGGTACTGAGTCCGGGCGAAGATGCGCTCCAGGGCGTCGATCTGGTCGTTGGAGAAGGTGGTGCGGGAGCGGCGCTGCTTCCTCTTCAGCTGCACACTGGGCTCGGTGTCGTCCTCGCTCTCGTCCTCACTGCCCGCCGAGCCAGCTCCTCCGCCGAGGATGCCGTCGATGCTGTGCGAGGCTCCCGCTCCCGCTCCGGTTGGTCCGCGGAGGAGGCGCGAGATGGAGCTCACCGAGGGGGCGCTCTGCTTGTCGCAGACTCCGGCCTCGATCAGCTTGGCGCGGATCTCCCAGCTGAAGATGCCGGGCTGCGACTGCTTCAGCTCCTCGATCCTGGACTCAATGTCTGGCGTGGCCACGCGGGGCTTGCTGCCGCCGATCACGCCCGGCCGGATGGAGCCGGTCTCCTGGAAGCGGTTGAGGATCTTCGAGACGCAGCCGTGGGAGACGCGCAGCTGGCGGGAGATGACGCAGGGACGAACCCCGGCGGCCGCCATTTCGACGATCTGGCGGCGAATGTGGTTGGGCAGGGGCCGCCCGTTGATGAAGACGCCACCGAGTTGGTTGACGCGACCTTGTCCTGCAAGCAGAAGATAAGCGCAAAGGTAAGTAAGTTGTTGTTAGTTGTTAGGTCAGTCCGACGAGGTCTGATCCCATTACAAAGAATCGCCCGATCATCCAATCAAGGTACTCCTGTGCCCAATTGAGCGGAAGGCAGTAATCTAGTTAGGCAGCATTGCACTTGAAATGCACTAAGCAGGATAAGCCCGAGGATCAATTGGCACGATCTTTTGTTGCGCAGGGGCACAATCGATTCGATGGCCATTTGTAGACAAAACAAAACGCAAATTTGCGTAGGCTCTTTCGAAAGAATGCAAAGCCTCTGCTCGCAGCCAGTGGCGGTGGGAGGAGGGAGGAGGAAAGAGGCGGGGGAATCTCAGCTGCATCCCGGGTCGGCTCAGGCAATCAAATCAAACTAATAATCCATAAGCGCGGCAGACGCCCAGCTGTGCGGCTAATACGAGAGCGTATACGTATAGTATGTACGCATGGAAAGGCGGCCCCAAAACAGCCGAAAAGAAAATAAGTCCCGGACCGAGTGCAGGGTCTGTTGTTTGGGGCGCTGACGCTGCTCGGCTACGTGATACACAAGACCCCAAGCTCGCAGACTCGCAGACACGCAGACAGGCAGACACTGAGCCAAGATCAAAGCCCAGCGCCAGAAAGCCGCCAGTTGGGGATTCGAGACGAGTCGAGACGAGAGGAGACGAGCCATGAGCTGGCAAGACGGGCGCGCCAAAAAGTCTGCAAGGTCCGCACTAGGAGCCGGGATGCCTCTGGGCCCTGGCCGCCAAGCCGCTGATCACAATCAATAAGTCAAAAAGCTGATCATGCTGCCGATCGGGTAATGATCTCTCGTTTGAAATCGGCGGGCGAAAGCGCTGCCCCAATTGATGAGCCAGCACTTTTCTTCGCCCGAGTCTAGCGTTTTGTACTCGTAATTGTGGTAATTGGTAGTGCTAGTTTCGGTCTTCGCCGGGGCTTACCTTGGAATGGATATCCAGCAAAGTAGGGAGTCATGTTGAGAGCCGAAACAGCCATGTCCTCTGCAGTAATCCGTCGGAGGGGTTTTGCGGGTGCTGCTGTCAACACTTTTTACTTCTGCGCTTCAGTTGAGATGATCACAAGGTATCGTTGTTAGAACAGTCTCGGCTGAATTTTGGTTTGGTTTTGCTGGTGAGGCGAGTGCGCACTGAACGGTGATGCTGCACGTTTGCTTGACAGCTCGAAACTGATTTTGAAACGGTCAGCCGCAAGACTAAAACGAATCCGTGAGATTCTCGAAGCCGGAAAACCAGTTTCCTCGGTCGAGAGCAGTGCGGGCGAGGGTGGAAGTGTGGCCAGAGTCAGAGCCAGAGCGAGAGCGAGAGCGAGAGTGAGAGGCGGCGATCGCGCCGGTGGTGGGAGCGGAGCAGCTGCTCGGCTGCACCGCGTGTGCTAGAGCAGTGCCGCCGAACCAGTGAGTTTTCGTAGCATGGCTGCAATTTCACTTGGCTCCGCCCCCAGCCATCCACACTGAACTCGGCTTGCACTGCTCTGACGGAGCACTCAGAGTGGGCACATGCTGTCACCCGACTGCGGTTGTTTATTTTATCTCCGCTTGATTTGGAGTTATGCCCGGGGTCGGGATATGGGATTTGAGGTGGGTGGGATGCCCTGGGCGCGATTTGATTTCGCATGTCGCCTCGCATTATGAACACCACATCCGACGCCTTCTCGGCACACTGACATCTTGTTACCACACTTCTGTGGAATATATTTCTATTGCAGAGCGAGAAAATTCAAGCCAGGATCATCCTTGCACACTGTTAACTCCTTTTCATTTGCAGGGCTTTCCTTTGCAGTCCAGTTGATTCTCAGGCTATATTCGACTCTGCTTTACTCAAATGTCCGGCTCAGCTTAGAGACACGCATCATTAGTAAGTACTTCGCAGCTGTGATTCAATTACTGAGCCAGTCCAATGGCCGCTGTGGCCCACACTAATTAGGCACTACCCATCCCCAAAAATTCCCAAATTAATATTCATGAGAAAGAGCGACTCGCAGCAGCCTCAATATGTGTGGTCGAGTGGGAAATCGGACAAAAACATTTTCGCACGGGCAAAAAGGAAGAGGAAAAGTAAACTCCATTTCCGAGTGCATGACTTTTGCTTAATTTTCGGAGAGTGCCTTGGCTACGAGCTGGCTGGCGGTCGAAATCAAAGAGGTTTTGGCCATGTTGCGTATACGCCGTGTGCGCGAGCATTGAAATTATGCGGCATCATATCCAAGGCAAGGCTGCGGACGTGAACAATATAGACAAAGTGTTGCCACTGTCGTTGGAGCCGGCCATTGTCTTGATACTCGCCGAGCCACCGTGTGTGTATCTGTGAGATACTTTCGGCCTGGGTGCGAAACTAAATGTGTGCCATTTGGCAATAATTGTGGGTGTATTGTTTGCTTAACGGCCGCGCTGTGTGTGGCTTCCCCGCGAGGCAATCGTTCAAATCGGCTGACAATTGAGACTGCTACTGTGCGATTGGCACAGTCGCCGGTGGCGGCACCCCTCAGATGCAGATACCGATTCGGGCTGTGTGTCAGCGGGAATGATGAATCTGTATCTGTATCTATTGGGCATTCAAATGACAAGTGTGTTCGGCCTGTGTTTTATCCACTCATTCCCTGTTCATCCAGCTCTCTGTATTCGTTTTTTGCATTGAGCTGGACCAACTTTTCGATTCACAATGTGGTTGGAAATAAATACGCCGACGCCTTCGAAGGCAAAATACTTTTTGCGCGTTGACTCTGGCATTTTGCGGGAATTTTCCAATATTTTCAGCAAGGCAGCCGCAGTCGGGCCAACGGCATTGTATTTGCTTAGCTGTCGAACTGCGCATTGTGGGCTTCAGTTAAAGTTGGAAAATTTGTTTGGAAACCGGGAGGCGGTCGACTGAGAGCGGCCAAAGGAATTGACTTGAGTGATGGCCTTAAAACGCTCTGGAATTCAATTTCCTTCCTTCAAGTGAGCTCCGTGACAGGCAACTCCAATGGGGCCGCTCGTCTTGATGCAGGTTGCTACCAGAAAGACTTTCGGTCGGGAATAATTTTTCATAAGCGTCATATACTAGCATGTAATGAAGAGCCCTCCGAAACACTGGGCTAATGATCTCCAAAGCGCTCCCAATAAACTCAGCTAAAAAATAGCCACTAACGCCCATATGTCAGCTTAGCGGAAAGCCCCTCCGCCCGAACCTCCGCTCGAACAGCTGGCGGGGCGAAGCGGCGGAACAAGAAAACTAAATTAAAACTCAACCGCAACTGTTTACACAGCAAATGTTACCACAAAGAGGCGGCCTGGCGCAGCAGAGCCTCCAACTGACTCCAAGCCGAAATCCCGGGTCGGCCTGGCCTGGCCGGTGGATGATTAATTAAGGCGGCCTCCGGCGGGGAGGATCCGGCGAACAGCTCGGGCAGTTGGCAGGCGAGGTGAGAAGAGTAATATGTACAAATATATCACTCCTTCGGATCGGTTAAAAACGAATTCATAACGTGCGATCGGAGCCCGCCCCCAAGGAGTGAAGTGCCAGTTGGCGGACTCGAAAACAAAGTGGACTGATTGCGATGGGTACCTCGTAGGCTGTGGCAGCCAATCAGAAGAGTCCTGGATGACGCGGCAAAGGACAACTCTGGCCCGAAGCCGCAAGGACCGCAAGGACCGCTTGACTTGGATGGCGACACAAAGAGTGCCATTACGAGCATGATCTGTGGCTACCCCTCCATCCTCCATCCCTCGCCGGTCCGCGGCGCTTTGTCGGCAAGAGTGTGAACAGCGCAGAGGGGAGGGGGAGGTGAGCTGAGTCAGGGGAGGACACCCATGCCGCAGGCTGGACCGCCGCCATCGACGTGTGAAATCTAACAGCCCGCGTCGGCGTTTGGTCGTAAATAATGCGTTTGGGACTCGGTCACTGCCGCTGAAAAGTATGGATTCCTCGAATTCCAAGCAAAACACGCAAGATGATGATCGAGACCCGCCTAATTGACGGCTTCGTAGCGCCTTCGTTTATCGCACTCCTGTTAATTTCCAGCTGATCCTTGATTAGCACTCCGCCCGGCTTCTAATAGGGACATCAAGGCGGACTCCTTCGCTTCAGTTCGATCGCCTGCACGGCCTACCTCTTCGTGCTGAATGGCGTCAAGCCATAAAATTTGTTTAACGCCTGCGCTGCCCCACGAAATGCGAAGTCAATAATTATAATTATGACGCCTTGCCAGTAAAAGGGTTTCATCGCCTCCGCTCACCACGCAAAGTCGACCATCATTCTCACCAAAATGAATAGTCCCAGACGACTTTCAACTGTCACCCGTTAAGCTTGCCGAAAAAAATGCTTTTTCGATGCACTTCAGTTGCAACGCTTCTTATCCAAGGCCTCGTCCGCTTGGAAAATAATTCATTTCTTATGATTACAGATAATTTGACACTGAAATATTAGAGTGTCCAGCCCCCAACGAGATACCGCTTAGAGGAAATCCCCGAAGAATCGTATACGAAATAATCACGAAACGCAATCAATCCTTTGACGATGATGCAGATGAGGAGCGAAGCCATGCCTATGAGCCTATGAGCTGCAGCCAAACAACATAAATAATCCACATAGGCAGAAATTTTCCCTGCTCACTGCTCACTGCTTTCCCGCTTTGATTTATTTACCATAGTGAACATAAATGCATTCGAAATGCATTTTAGTTATGCGCTGAGGCCGCCACCAATCTTCAAAATTATCGTTTGCAGTGCCATGTGAAAATGGAAAATAAATAATTACTCAGAGGTTTATAGGTCCACTGAATTCAACGCCATATTCGTGTTCACTGTTCTACCTTTAATTAAAAGGTAGATTGCGAGATTTCAGCTGCAGTTCGATATCGAAATCGATTTGATACAATTTCAATTTCTGTTGATTTTTCCCGAAGTGACAATTGGCCTGCGTGATTGTCAATTATTCCCAGCTTAATCGATTCGTCGTCAGTCGGCACATGTTAAGACGGGGTGCTCCCAAATCTCCGCGATGATAATTGTGGCATCAAGCCCAACTCCCAGTTTTCATTTTCCAGTTTCCAGTTCCCGTTAAGCCAAGTGTAATGCCTCGTGCCGACTGGTCCAGCTAAAAGTGCATCGGCCCTTTGCCGAAGGTTTCTTTTCGGCGAGTGTGAAAGATTGAGCCCCATGTTATCTTGCGTTGATTTAATTAGATTTCGATTAGATGCGCCATTTTCTCATTTAATTGATGTTATTTTCCTGGAACCAGAGATCGATATTGAAAAGGTTTTGAAGAAGCCGCCTTCCCGACAAGATCATTGCTTGAACCAACTTTCTTTTCACCTTCGATAAAGATTTGGCGAAAAATTGGATTTCATTACCAACAAATGTTTACTTAGTTATTCCCCGTGCACAATATATACGTACGTCTTTTATTGATAACTCTCGAAATAATTCACCGTCTTAGTGGGCGTTCAAAATCAATTTGCGAGAGGCGTCTAAGCGTCATAAGGTCGATTAACACATCTCCATTATCATTATCATCACTTTATGCTAATTTTGCCGTTCAGTAAAACCCACAAAAACGCCGTGTCTGCCTACCTAGCCACTAATTTTATTAGCATAATTTGGCAACACCTTCATCGGCTTTTAAGTCGACGAGCAGATGCGTATCTACCGGATTGCCCGCATATTCGGAGCTCTGTTTGTGCGTTTAGGCCAAAAAGCGCTGCTAAAGCGATTGGCAACGCCAGCGCAGGATATAGGCAGCCAGAAGTTGACTAAGTTGGCGTGGCAAATCGATCACGGACACAGTTTGACAAGTCTATTTGGCTGGACAGGTCCGTGAGGCAGGAAACAAAAACCGGACAAACAAAGCCCGTCGCATCGACCACCGGCAGTTTCAGTCTGGCCAAGTCGAGACGGAGAGTCGCCGAGGAGAGGGACGGAGCGTAACACTTACGATTTGTAATGGCCTCTAATCATGCGACAAAAAGAGGAGGATCGCAGATCCCGGCAGGACCTACCGCCGTCAACAGGTAGCCCGGTGCTGGTGCTGCCGGTTTGCGGTGCGGGTGTTAATGGTCTGTTAGTACGCGGCAGTGTCCTTGCCCTCGCATCCTTGGATGCTCGCTCGTTGCTCGTTGCAGATCCACCCACCTGACCCCCGCCAGACTCACCGCAATTATGACGCCTGTGGTCGTTGTGTTTGCGGTAATTTAGTTATCTGCGCGACCGCAGGCGATTTTCGCCGGAAATTGACAGTCGGCGGTCGGGAGACACAGATCTTTGATTTAGCATGCACTGTTTAAAAAAACATTCGGCAGCCTATAAGCCAGCGCTTTACTGCCAATGCCCACCGATAAACACCCAGACAATACAATACAATACTCCCGGCCCATAAATCTGCAGAAATCTGCCCAGCCTGCTCCACCGAGCGGCGGTTGCATGTTTAGCAAATTACTCAACAGCTGGTCCAGGTTCCTGCGGACGGAGGGCCAGCTGGCCATTAAATAAATTATAACGAACTGCCCGGCCCGCAGAAGAACGCCCCCCGTCTTTGGAGGCTGAGCGGAATGGAGGCTGCCGCAAACAAATTGCTCCCTGCCAAGAGCTCGCCCCGCCATGTGGGAGACGACACGCAGTCTGCCGAGGTTGCGAGTGCCACAGATTGGGGCAGTGGGGTTACGGGGCCAAGGACCGCGGTCTGCGGGCTGCGGGCCGAGGATTCAAGCCAAGATCGCAGAAGGGGGAGGCAGCATGTGTCAGCAGCTCGCTCAAAGCAAATGCCGCTGGGGGTTTCCTTCTTGGGTGAGTTTTTAATTTATGTTATTGATGCGAATGATATACGGAATGCACTGCACAAAATTCGTTGTGTGCAAGTCGAAAATGCATGTGATATTGCTGGTATAAAGCTATCGAATAGCACCCAATATTTCGCCCCCTCGAATCTTAGTAAAACGGAGAATTGGAAAATATTTGCAGATGCAAATGCGAAACTTCGGTGAAGTCAGCAACTCAAATTTTGCGTGCGCAGTTAACGAATGAACACAAAATGGAAAAAGAGGCGAAATGAGTTACGGATTTGCAATCGCTTAAGTTGAGAGCCAATCTGAGCCGACTCCGAGCCTCAGTCATATAAACAAATGAACATATGTAAAATCCATGCTCGACGCGACCACGACAACTTGGCCTGACGCTGATGCTGATGTTTTTTACGACTTGACACAGAGTTTCCGAGGATGGGGACGGGATGGGATGGAGATGGGGATGGGGATGGCTCTGCAGTGTCTGCAGTGACTGGACAAAGTGGCCGACAAAAGTCGGTCGGAGATACGTGTGCTGCGAGCCGGAGTTCGGCGGGCTGCTGACTGAAATGGCTTTGAAGCGCACATTTGCCAAAGTGATCGTAAAAATGCCAAGCCAAATACCTTGAGCACGTCAAGCGCGGCAATTAAAATTGAACTTTTATGTTACAATGACATATAGCCCAGTCGCAGTCGCAGTCCCGTCCCTGTCCCCGGTTGGCCCACGTCGGAGCGCCTTAGCGCTCGACGAGATGGGAGTGAAGTGGAAAGGCCATGCGTGTGAACGGGCCAAGATCAAAGCTCGCGCCGCAGCCTCGCACTTGCAAATGGGAAAAGGACGCGGACGCAGCTAGAGAGCGAGTGATCTCCTTCGCCGGACAATGCCGGATGATGCCGGTGCAGAGGCAGGGGCCGGGTCCCGTGCAGTTTGGTTTCACAATTTAATTGCAAATAAATTGAGTTTTTGGTACTTCATTTAAGCGAAACACGCTTAACATTCCTTGACCGGCGGATCCATCAAAGCCGGCTAAAGATGTCTTTTTCGCACTGCTCAGAGCTGGCTTTTACGAGGCTCCCTCCTTACGAGGCATCTGCGCGAAACGGGCTCTCGAATCGAATTGTTTGCATGGAATTAAAATGGTTTCCTATTCAACTCAACTTGAAACGACTCAACGAAAGTGTTTTGAAGTAGTCTCCGTGTTTTTATATCCGTACTATTACTCTTCCTGGAACATCCATGGACGGCTTCAACCAAGCCCCGTCCCATTATGCGTTTCCGCTAACTGATCCATCAAAACTCCGTTAGAAAACTGTCAACAGATGCACAGGACCTCCGTTAAAAAGAAAAAGTCAGTAGCCGATGCCCAAACGGAAGGCAAAACAAACAGACTGCCGAGCCAACAAATATTGAACAATCGCATATGACAGATCGGCCGACCATTTCGACTAGGACCAAGGACCAAGGAGGAGGACAAGTGAAAATTAGGCACACACACGCGCCCGAGCTCACACACACACCCAAGACGGTTGTCAAACAGTTTTCACTCCTTCATGCTAAATTTGCTAGGCAAACAAACGCTGACGCTGGTCCCGCCGGACATGCAGGACTCGCAGGACTCGCCAGACTAAGTGGCAGGGCAGAGACGGCGGAGGTGTCAGTTCGACGGGGGGCCGCCTGGACGGTAGCACAGCAAGTGGTGGGCCGTGGGCCAGGACACTTGGGCACTTGGCAGTCCTTGGCCCCAGAAGATGCCAGATGCAGAGTCCCGTTCTTGGAACTTATCTGACCTATTCATACACAGGATAATAACTTGAAGGAGCACTCACGTCCCCTTCCCGTCCAACTGCGACTTTCGAACGGAGTTTACGATCTCGTGAGTTTGAATGAATTTGGCTGCCGATGGCTGTCACACTTGCTTTTGGCTGCCCCTTGTATTGATCTAAAGAACGAGTTTTATGTATGCGCCGCTTGGCGACAAAATTTACAGCCCCCAGTAAATCACTGCTGAGCAGTGGGGCCAACATGTGCTCCGATTCGGGGGAAGACGGTCCCTGGGTCCCTGGGATTTTGCACACAGTTTATGGCGTTCATAAAATCCTGCCAGTAGCGGCTAACGGCGAGCAAAGCCTTTTGAGGACTCGATATATTTTACAGTAGAAGTCATTGATTTTTGAATCTCGTTTATGAGGAGCTAATTGGGGGCTTTATGGACGAAATGTTAACTGGAAAGTGTCCCAAAGAGTGTAAACTGCACTTCTGACATGTTTTGTATTCAATCTTTTTCGGAACGAGCAGTTTATGAGCCTGCCACTCGATCATCTATATTTACGGTTCCTTACATCTGGGTTTTTTTTTTGTTTTTTATTAAAAGTATGTTCGCTTCTATTTCGAATTTGTTCGTTCTTTGACAGAATTTCGTTGGAACTAGTAGCTGAAGAAATTCCTCAAACTCCAGGACAGGAAGCCAATTTGCCAGGACACAATTTTCTTGGTCCTCAGGTCTTTATCAAAGTTTTGAAGAGGGCGTTTTCACGCATGAGATACGCTGGTAATTGAAAACTGTCAATACGCAAATTAGGGAATTATTCATGTTTATCGTGACCAAGTGCTGGTGGTTTCGCTCTGAGCACGGAAATGGGCGCGGCGCAATCAATTAATGCTCATGCCGGGCATGTCCTGTGTGGCTCATTTGCATCGCAGCTCCAATGCTGCAACGTATTATATATGAGGCATAGCAGAGCACTTGAGTGCTCTGGAAGGAAGGACTGGGCATTTTCACGACGCTCCATTAGCGTTGATTTTACGCAAGGACTCCAAGCCGGCTTTAAAATGCAATCCATCTGAGGAGGGCCTGGCTAATTGTATCAGCCGCCAGCTCATTTCGCTCAATTCACTTCTGGACCGAAGGATGTGATATGTTTATAGATCGGGGATTTGCATGCGGCCTTGTGCCAATAACGCTCTCTCCTAAACGCTGGCACAAAAGGCGAGGGTCGGCCATTTTTGGTGCGAGTCCATCCCCCGTCCCTTTCTGGCCCTTTGGAAGCCAGATGCAGGCGGCATGTGCGTATCCTTAATATGCGTAAACTTCACGCTTAATTCTTTATATTATGATGATGTCCTTTCGCTGTTTTCGCTTTTGTTCGTGGGTTTTTCAATTTTTCAAACTGCAGACTGCCGTCCGGACTGTACCAGGTGTGACTTGGCTCGCCGTTAATGGCTGTTGATAGATTTTTATGTTTGTATATCGGTAATTGACTTTCCCAGTTCCCAGTTCTCAGTTCGGGGAGGGAGATTTTCTCTAGGATACCAAGTAGCTTGGGGTCGGAGCCTAACGAAGTCCCGCCATCGTGATTGGGATATAGCCAGCTAATGAGAGGTGGCACTATTGCATTACATTTAATCAAATGCAGCTTCTCTGCCAGCCGAGCAAGGATAAGGAATGCCCGCAAGCCTTGACACGATTTCCTCGGCGTAAACAGGCATAAACTGGCATTGTGTGTGTCGCCAGGAGAGGATAAGCCAGGAAGCTAAGGCGAGCCGGGCCCATAAACTTGGGCAACAAAGAGCCACCCTAACTAGCCAGAAGCTGGGATAAACACACAGTGGGACGCACGACTCGCAACTGTGGGTGCTAAAAATGCCAACCGGAACGATTGATAATGCCCCTGCCCTGGGTAATGCCGCTGGGTCTGAATACTCCGGCCTGAATACTCCGTCTGTGTCCTGTGCCGACGGCAGCCTTCACGCTTTAATTGGCTGCCGGCGACAGAATAAAAGTCATACAATTCGAACGGGCAGCTGCGGATTCAGAGTGATCAGGCGAGAGTTAGAGGAGGGGTTGGTGTGCGGGGTACGGGGTGCGGGGTACGGGGTGCGATGTGCGGACGGATTACGGATTATGGATGCGACGTTGCAATATCAAAAGCCGGGCGAGCTGGAGCCGAACCGCCCTGGCGGGCTCAGCCAATCAGCGGCCGGCCGGGCGTGGCATGCAGCTCGCTCGATTAAAGCCGCGCTCTCTCTTAGCCTGGCGGCAAGTTTGATCGGTGCCATGTTGAATCTGGCCGTGGCGCTCCAGCGGCAGCGGCAACCACCGAAGGGCGGCGCAAAAGCTGCTCTCGCTCTCCTCCTGCCAGCATCTCCGGCTCGACGGTGGTGGTGGTGGTGGCTCGACCGCGGCGCGGAAACCAGTTTGTGGAGCGATCTCATTGTTCGCCCGTCCGCGGAGCAGCAGTCGTCATCGCCCGGCCGGCCCTCGTTAATTTATGCTCGCGCTTCTCTTTAGTTGCCTTGCAAGTCTCGTGCTGTCTGATCGCCGAAGCGCGCGTAATTCCAAGAAAAGTGCCGCAGCCCCACCGGTTGGGAGTTGCAAAGTTCCGTCGGAGTCGGAGTCAAAATCGGGAGTGGGATTCGGTGTCGGATTCGGAAGCCGCTCGTCGCAGGCTACGCTTGGGTGGAGCGCAGGTTCTGGGCCAGGTTCCTAGTGATTTGCGCGAAACTCTGCGAGATCCTGACCCTTCTTAGTTGTAACCGTGCAATTGTGTTGACCCAACCAAAGCCAAAGCAAGCTTGACCTACGGTGCCGAGTCATTACGTCCCCTAAGTTATCTATAAGCACAGTTCACTCGGACAATGGATATGTCCAGCGCCAACTCACTGCGGCCCCTCTTCGCGGGGTACCCCTTCCAAGGTTAGCTTTGGCCCCCAGTCAACTCTTAATCTAAGTAAAATGCCCACTGGGCTGACCCCTCAACGAGGCTTTCGTTGGGAAATGGTGTACAGTTCCTTAGAGTATTTCTGATACCGAGTTCCCTTTCTCCCAAATCTCAAATGTCAAATCTCAACCGCTTGCAGGACAAGGTCGCGTCAACCAGTTGGGGGGCGTGTTCATCAATGGTCGCCCGCTGCCCAATCACATTCGCCTGAAGATCGTGGAAATGGCGGCGAGTGGAGTTCGGCCCTGTGTGATTTCGCGGCAGCTGCGCGTCTCCCACGGCTGCGTCTCGAAGATTCTGAACCGCTACCAGGAGACGGGCTCGATCAGGCCCGGTGTGATCGGGGGATCCAAGCCCAAGGTGACGTCGCCCGAGATCGAGACGCGGATCGATGAGCTGCGCAAGGAGAACCCCACGATATTCAGCTGGGAGATCCGCGAGAAGCTGATCAAGGTGAGTACCGAACTGCACTGCACCTGCCGGAGGGCTCAAGGATGCAAGGATGCTAGGATGCCCGGCCCTTCGGTAGCCGTAACCGCATGCCATTATCTGCAGACAAATGCCGAGCGAATGCGAATCAGCTCACTTCCGTTTTCCGAAAAGTCACGTGGCAGTCTCCGGCCGCCCGCTGACTTTGTTGTGGCACGTTGCACGTCTCCCACTGGCCCTTTGCATTTGCCGGCTGGCAAATCTGGTTGCACAGATGGCCGAAATAACCCAAGGACTCATTTTGAACTTGGCCGCTCATTGACAATTTTGTTGTACAACGGCGACGACAAATGCTCACTTGCCACCCAAACCGTTAAGAAATCGATTAAACCATAAAGAGCCGACCGACACCTTTGTCGTCGTTCTCTTATCGGCATCGATTGTGTTCATCCTTGAGGCGACAAGGTGCAAAAAGAAATACATATATTCGTCTGTCTTTTAGCCTCGGGATATCGCTTTAAACTTCCTGTTTGTCAACCAATTCGATGCGGCAGAAAGTGGGGAACACACTAAAAGCGACCGAGTCTCAGTGACAAAATGTGCAAAAGTCCTCTGCTTTAATACGCTTGGCCAATACTAACATTGTTTCTCCTCCAGTTTCCGTAAAGCATTAAGAAGATGATCGCATATGCCCACACCTTGATCGGGCAACGGCTTATCTTTCGGTTGAACCTACGCCAACTTAGCAACTTATTTGCAGAGCCCAGCTGTCTGAGGGAAACTTCGATTTCGGCTTACCACCAAACAGCCTGGCAGCCTGGCAGCCTTTCTGATCCACGTCTATATGGATAGATGGATACATGGATGGATGGTTGGCCCTCTGACGGCAGTCAGGGTCTTGTCGAAGACTTTGCCTCTCGGCGAGACTGCACGAGAGTGCAGAGGAGGCGAACGATCTACGCGGGCATTCATGTATTCATGCGCCAGCCTCTTTTGGCGGCTCTCGTCTCGCTCTTTATTTAAAGCCGCAATTAGCCACACTTTACGTGGCGATACGATTCAGGCGACCATCGATACGATCGGTCAATGGATCAAAGTTGCCATCACTCCAGCCAGAGTCTGCGCGATGCACACTTTGCACTGCAGAGAAAGAATGCAGACCGACATTATTTTATACATTTCCAGACTAGAATCCAAGGCACAAATTAATATCTGGTATTCCATGACTTCATTTATATTACACAAGTTAGAATCGAAGACAAAAACTTATATTTGCAATTCCAAGGCATAATTTATATTATACAAGTTTCGAGACTCGAAGGCAAAAACCAATATTTGGTATTTCAAGACTTCATTTATATTATACAAGTTAGAATCGAAGGCAAAAATTAATTTCTGGTATTCCAAGACTTCATTTATGTTACACAAGTTAGAATCGAAGACAAAAACCAATATTGGGTATTCCAAGACTTCATTTATATATTACACAACTTATAGCAGCTAATCTATATTATAAGATTTAACTCAGAATGATCTTGTGATCCTCAACATTTCTCTCGGTGTGATGCTTTTCGCTTTGTTTGCGCTGACTTGGCCAGCTAGTGGGCGTAAGCACTGCCCCCAGGGGCGCTTCACGGCTAATTAGAATACACTTGGAGAATCCCCCGCTCCGATTCCAGGCCTGCCCGCGAATGGCCGCCTTATCTTGCAGATACGACTGGGCCAGTGGAGGTGTATCCATCAGCGATCGTGATTGATCGGTTGGTCACAACCCCAATCGAGATCACTGTTGGTCCTTTGGCGTTCGCTCCAACTTGGGCATTTCAAAATCTAATTCTATGCAGCCCGCTGACAAACTGTTTCCAAGAATTTCAATTATTTAAAAATACAGAACGCTGCTGTCACTCAAACAAGAGGCTAGCAGAAACCCAAAATTCGATATGCAGGCTGAACAATACATAGGCAAAGAGCGCAGCTCGATTTGGTCAAGTATAAAGCGCAGCCGAGTGCCAATCCAACTGTCAACTAATTAATTAAATTTCAATTGAAATTGTTAAGCCAGAGCCCAGGCGGAGGCAAAAAAAAATGTGTCTCGCAGTCGGGGGCTCGACCGAGATCGAGATCGAGATCGGTTTGGCTTGGGGTTCGGGATTGGAATCGAGATTGGGATCCAGTTGTCAGTTGCCACGAGATAAGCCGTCACACATTCCAGCCAAACAACCGGTACGGTGGGCCCCAGCCCCAGCTCGAGCTTGGGGGACCCGCACAAGTCATAAATAACGCAACAAAGTCCAGTTGAAAATCAAAACATATTTCTGTTGTGTCTGCGTGACACATTCAATAGAAATGGGAGTCGGTAGCCAGAAGACCAACGCCAGTTAGCCGCGCCGTCTGGCTGACACCCCAGCATCCACTCCACTCCAGAGTGGACGAGGTTTCAGGTTTTGTTTCCGTAGCCGGCGTCTTGTCTTGTCTGCTCCCTGACTTGTCTATGAGGTGTCAGTTGTGCCACCTTTGTTCGCCGAGGCACCACCAACGACGGGGCAGGGGTGCCTGCGCCGCGATAACTTCGTTAGTGGCAAAATAATATAATATTATTAATCATGAAAATGTTTGCGGCACATGCCACTCCGATTGAGCAGAGACTGACACCCGGCTGGGTCACTCACTGACCACTGAACACTGACCACCTTCCACCAGCATCCAGTCCCCAGATCTGAGAACCCCCAACTCCTCGCCATGTTGCGTCGCACGGTTGCGCCTCCGTGTGCAGCGATTAGCTTGAACCGAGAGCCAACAGTGAAGTCGACATGTCGCTCTAATGAAAACTGACAGTTTTCGTTTCTTACATGGAAGAGAGGACGGCTTCGGGGATTGATTTGGGCTTGCAAGTGCTTCTTCCTCCATTTCTAGCACGAATATTTTGAGCACCATCTCATTACGCTTGGGGTATCAAATTTTCCTTTGGAAGGTTAAGGTAATCGTTGCTGTGAGAGAGTAGCTTCTCGCAATTTTGTTGTCTTCGATTTTTTGACGATGCACAATCTCGGCACTTGCCTCGCCTTTTGACGGAATACGCAACACAATCGCAGATCAAAGGCACACAAAGATATTAATTCCCATGCTTGGCTCAGCTTTCCGCCTGACATTTCCCTAATTGGATTACCAGCCCAAGCTGAAAAGAGATTGAAGAGGGCTTCAAGACAGCTACACGAAATTTGTCCAAACACAAATTCTGCCCGGCCAGCGCAGCATTAGTGTCAGAGCTTTCCAGTGTCTGGTTTGTAGGAAAACCGACAATGGAAATCTTTCAGACGACCAACAGTAGCCACAAGAAAATCGTTATCTTAATTGGAATTCGGTGTGTTAGGTTTTCAGATTCCGTTGCCGTTTAAATTAACCCTGAAGATAGGTCCAATCGCAACCTGATTTCTAATTCGATCACTTTCTGTTTTTATTAACAAACACAGGAGGGCTTTGCGGATCCACCGTCGACGTCATCTATCAGTCGCCTGTTGCGGGGAAACGATCGCGGCAGCGAGGATGGTCGAAAGGACTACACGATACACGGAATTCTCGGAGGTAAGAAAACCAGATGGCGGCCATGGGCGATAGGAAACCTATTTGGGAGCGTTTAATCTTGCTGTGAAAATCACCTATCATTTATTTGGTGATTTCGGAAAATCATCTTCAAATCATTTGTAGCTCAAATCAACAAACTGCTGTCGGCAGCGTGGCTTTGATCGTCTTAGGACTAGCGACTTCAACTTACATAAAAGCCGATCGGAATGGAAAGAAACGACTACAATGACCATTCGATAACGATCTCGATCTCGATCGCTTGTTGGCTATACACAGCCGAAATAGGTGTAGATGATGACACCTGAGAATCAAAGTACACAAGTTCCGAGATTCCTTTGCCACAACCCGGTCACAGCTAATAACCCGCCGTGCCCCTCCCCCTGTCCGGCGATCGGGGCCAATAATCAGGCCAAATATGCATGGTCATTCGATAAGCGACCGGCGGAATCAAAGCGGCGGTCGTTTAGCCAGAGAACTTGGATGCCGCTCGCCTGCTCGTTTGGGGCGTTTGGGAAATCGGGTAGAAAATTGTTTTGAATGATCTCTCGCAGGGTCATTAGACGCAATCTTCATTCTGTCCACTTTTTCAATTAGGAATCACTGCCAAACTACCTTGAGGTATTCTCTGTTTGGCAATTGTCGATTTTGCCGACCTCGAGTTGTCACAACAAACAGCCCGCCTGAAAATAGCTCGGCGGGATTCCCTAAAAATGTCACCTTGGCCTTGTCCCTCTGAACGCGTGCACGCCGACAATGACTCTGGGTTCCCTTTGGCCAAAGAATACTGTAAAGTTGTTTAGGTCCGGCTGCCCTGAGAGAATTTATAGGTCTTTCCGCTTCTGGAAGGTTGCTGTGTTCTTGGGCGCTGCGTGAGAATGGCACCAACAGGTGAACGATATACGCAATGTTTACGTTCCGATATGTGATCTTTCCCATTTTGTCTTTTGGCTCTCTTCCGGCACCTGTGTGCTCCATCTATTTAATCGCATAAACACAGAAAGTAACTAAGCATAATAAACACGACCTCAGCAACGCCAGGGTAATCATTAAGTTGTCGAAGCGTATAATAAGCACACGCCCTCCCATCAGCGTTGAATCCCCTGCCCCACCCGCTCCCCGCGTCCATCTCCGCTATTATAGCTGGCCAGCAGAAGCAGCAGCGAACTCACAATCACAATCACAATCACTCCAATCGGAAAGACACAGGGACGCAGGGACACATCCCAAGTGCAAGTGGCCAGACCCCAGCTGTGCTGGAATCTTTGGGATCTGGGATCTGGGACCAGAGACCAGAGACCAGGGACCTGGGACCTGAGTCTTGGGATAACAAAGTCGGTGCCGTTGCCTGTAATCAACGCCTTCTTCGCCGGCGACTGAATGATTCTCGGCCCTCACCTGCAGACGCCGAAAATAAAATTATGCATTATTAAATATGTTTCTCCGTCTTTTGTTTCGCGTATAATTTAGTTGGATTTGGATTTTGATCAATTTATTCAACTGACACTGCCTCCACGACCATGTCCGCCTTTTCCAACTCGCAGCCTCTTTCCCAGTCTCAGTTGGAGCTTCACCTTCCACAAAGCCCCACTGTCGCTGACTGCGTTTGCCGGCGGCTCGCTTTGATCACGCAAACACCGAAAAATCGACGGAAAAGTATGAAATACCCAATAATAGCTGAATATGCCCGAAAAGAAAGAGAAATTGTGTGGGGGCTACTGAAATAAGTTAGGTGACAATAATACTCTTATAATTGTTTATCAAAACCAGTGTGTCTTCGGCCAAGGCGAACAAAATGAGTCGACTTAAGTCGTAATTAAGAGCACTGATACAGTCGATAGAGATTCTCACCCAAAGCCAATTTAAATTGTATTATTTTCGGAAAACTAAATGCTGTGGGGAAGGTGAGACATCAGACGAAATTATAATTCAAATGCTCCATGCTGGATCGGGTTCCGAAGATGCAGCGGCTAAGTCCGCTAAAGACCCACCGCTCAATTATTTGGAATCCATAGCTCTCCACTTCTCGGTAATCTCCGTAAAAATTTGATCCCCACGCCCGTTAGAGGCACAACAAACACGCCGCTAAACGCTTGCAACGCCCTCGCCAAACATGCCAGGCAGGCTGACAATAGCCAATCTGTTCCAAGTTGACTGATAAATACGCGTGCGATTTGTTTTATCCAGAGCGATCCCAGGGCAACCCGGCCCACTCAAAGAAAGAAAGTGACGCGAAACAATGAAATCAAATGGCAAAACCCCGACAAGGAGTCAACGGCAAGAGAAGAAAGGCCGGGGAGAACACTTGTGGCAATTAGTGGCCGGGACAAAGGTATCAGAGGAGAAACCGCCGTGGGAAGGACCAGCGATATTTACAAAACACTCTCCCCCAGCACAAAGGAACCAGGACCAGACAATGCGGCAGCAGCGCACAGGCTGATATTGGTCGAATCCAAACACAGACAGGTTCAATTATTTGCGAAGCCCAAAACACAAAATGGCAAAGGCAATGGCTATGCCAAAGAGCCGAAGGGCCAGGACAAACGGACGCCGCCCAAAGATCCTGTTATGGGAGTTCACACCTCCTCTAATGATTCGCAACGGGACGTCGGAGGAGCATTCCTGCAGTGTCACATGACAAATGACGAGCGGGCCGGGCGAGGGAGGCACCTCGGCAGTGATTGCGCAAAAATACCCTATCCTCGCATGTGCGGTCCCTAACATGCAGCACCGACCTCGGAGCTGACCCTATCTCACACATATGGCCCGATCCGGCGGTTGGTTGGTTGGTTGGCTCATTTGTTCGACTCGAAAACCCATTAAAATCGTTCATGCCCGAAAAAGTGTCAACGTAACAAAAGCATCGCCTTGACTTCAAATGCACCGATCTCGAGCGGCTTCTTTAATGCCCACCAGGGTGTCCTGGAGCGTTCTGTTTGATCTCATTGTGGCCCGGATCGTCTCGGTCCGACTCTCGTATGTCTGCTGGTGCTGGTGCGCCCCCGAGTCCGTTCGTGTTCGTGTTAGTGTTGATGAGTTACAAAATATTTTATTAACGTATTATCACACTTTAACCGACATCTCCGTCCCGCTCGCTCTGCCGTTCCTTGCTCTTTCTCTTTCTCTTTCGATCTTGCCGACTGTTCGGCGGCTGTTCATCTGGGATTTGTTTTGATCAAGTGTTTGTATGCATTGTTATTTAAATTAGTTTCTTTCATTTTGACTCGGTGTTCAGCTCCTTCGATTTCGATGATTACGATTCTTTTGCCGCCGGATTATGGTTATAACTAATTTTGGCCTCTCCGATGTCCCTTCACATGAAAGTCCCAAGACTTTTGTAAATTAGTTTAAATGGGCCCGAGTTAAGAATCATTTGAATTTAAACATGGTATTCAGGGATCTGTTCCCTTGTCTACTTTTCCTAATTATATGGAATGAGCTCGCCTTTCGGGGGCGTTGCATGCATATATTATTTTTAACAAATTGATCATATAATTTAAATAAAAATTCAGCAAGAAAACATTTCAAAATTTAGACGTTCTCACATAGAGAAGCATGCCCTTTTTTTATGAGTCGATTGAATTGTATACAACAACTTTCCAAAAAAATTAATTTTTTTATTTGTTCTACAGAAAAGATTTTTATATCAACAGTATTATAACAGGCCCGTCGCATTCCATCTTTAGCGAGACTGGCTGCTTGTTAAACTTAGCGCATATAAGCGGCATTACTTTAAAGCTCCTGTAATCCTTTCGTTGACATGAAACTTAAGACACGAATCCAAAGGCTTAAGAAATAACATTCGCTGGAATCAGGTCCAATCGAAACGGGCCGAGTTGAGTCGAGTTGAGCCGGGCCCAAGTCAGTGTCGCATAGTCGGAAACCTTCCGAGCCCCAAATCTGCTTCTCGGCGACAGAAGGCGTGCGTGACTCCAACTGACATCTGACATGTCCAGCTGGGGATCCCCTGCCCCCGCAGAGCGGAGGGGCGCTGTCCAGGAATTGCTTTCAATTGCTGCTCGCTTTCCTTCGCATTGCATTAGATGCACCAATTTAAATCAGGGGTCGGTGTCGGAATTGTTGATTGATGATAGTGCCGGGGTCCTACTTCGCCCCCAAATGCAACTTTGAGCTAGGTACAGGGAACACGGGAGGTTGATTTGAACCCAACTGCGATAGAGGCTGGGCAGCACTTGTCCATCAAAGGTGCTTGGGCTCCAAAAATAATACCCACAAAAAGACTCTTGCCTTTTGCTCTTTGCCACACCAGCGGCGACTTTCAGAGTGCGAGCCATACCTGCTGGCCGAAAACACAGGCTAAACGTCGTCAAAAATGATGGAATACCTGCCCAGATTACGAAACCGCTGTAATTTATCAAAGCTCGGACCTCAAACGGTTTTCCACGGCGAGCAGTCATCGAAAAGAAAGCCTCAAAGCAAGATTCAAAGAGCTCCACAGTAGCCAAAGTGGTGCCGGCCGCTTTCGATGGCGGTGCAAAATTAAAAAGGCTTTTGTCTCTGGCGCTGCTGGATTGTTTTCTCCCCTGGCCGCCAGTATAGCCGTCTCGCTCCCGCTTAGGGGAGCTATGGATGGCCAAGTAGCAACAAATTAATAAAATGTTTAACATTTAAAAACTAATTGATTTTTCTACCCTCCGCCTTTTCCGAAGTTGTTTCATTTCTTTGTATCTCAGCCCTTTCTTCTTGCCTCTTCTTGCTTCATCTGCAGCTTCAGGAACCAGACCCCTTATTTCGTATAATTAAGTTTTATTGTTTCGTGTGTTGAAAGATTAATAGTCCGACTTCTGTATTTTATCATTCATATCCATTCGTTTTCGTTTAATACGCATGTGAACTTTAGATTTCTTTATTGGACCACAGGCCGAAATAAACAGTGGGCGTTCCTCGCCTCGGAGGTTTCGCCTGAGGGGATTTTGGGTGTGGCCTGTTGGTCGCCGAAGCTCATAAGCGTGCCGAAAGACTGTTTAACAGTTGCGGAGTGTCGAAACTGGATTTTACCAATCCGATTTAGACGTTTGCAAGCGCACAAGTCCGCGGCAAATATGCAACACTCATTGATCGACTTTGGGAAGCACAGGTTGGCCCACGAATAGATGCCCCGAATTTTAAAGCACCAATTAGTCACAGCGGAAAGGGAACAGGAAGTCACCTAATTCGGAGGATCCATTAATAATTTCCCCTGTCAGACCCGAAGAGATTATCACCCCACCTCTAACCGCACAATCCACAAGAACCGCACAAAGGTCCCCGAATGCATTCAGGTCAAAGGACGTTCAATTCAATCGGAAACCAACGAATTTCCGCTTCATCGCCAGTCCCACAAACAGCAGGATCTGAAATTTTGAAAAACGAGCTTGTGATCTTGTTGAATAATTTTTGTGAAGGGGCGGCCGCTTCTAGAAAACCCCTTCGATTGCGTAACGAGCTCTCTAGGCGATTCGGCATGGTCCCATGAGTGACTGGCTCGCCACACGCCGCGCTTCAAGCCCGGTTGCCAATGATGGCGGCGTTCCCCGCTTCGCTTTGTAAGCAGATGCCGAAGTTAATTGGCGCACTCCTCCGCAACCGCTGACAACTTGCCGATCATCTTCTTGTGTAACGTGATATATTGTGTCACTTGTCAATGCTGTGACTTTTACGAGCTGCCTGCGGCCCCGCCCCGCCCCGCCCGCAGCCAGGCCGCTGGATCTGAAGAACCGTCCGTGGTCGGTGGCTTTGACAGATTTGTTGCGCTCCCCGACGTCTCAATTAATATGCAATGGCGCGCAGTGAACGTCGACTCCCATTCCCATGGAGCCGATCTGGTCTGGGGCTGGTCTGGTGCTGGTCTGGGGATGGCCTGGGGATCGCCGGCGATCCACCTCGGTGGTCCTATTCATTGAATCCGGAGGAGATCAAGCCGCCGAGCATGATTCAGTTTCGGGGGAACCGAAGGGCGTGAAAAATTTTATGGCCTCTTACAAGGCGTTCATAATTCAGTTCGGTTGCCTTAATAAAGACCCCAATCCCAAACCTCTTTCCCATCGCCACAGGCCGCGACTCGGACATCAGCGACACGGAGTCGGAGCCCGGGATTCCGCTGAAGCGCAAGCAGCGTCGCTCCCGCACCACCTTCACCGCCGAGCAGCTGGAGGCCCTGGAGCGGGCCTTCGCCCGCACCCAGTACCCGGACGTCTACACGCGGGAGGAGCTGGCCCAGACCACCGCCCTGACGGAGGCCCGCATCCAGGTTTGGTTCTCCAACCGAAGGGCCCGGCTCCGCAAGCACTCGGGTGGCTCCAGTTCCGGGCTCTCGCCCATGAACAGTGGCAGTTCAGGAGTGGGCGTCGGTGTGGGCGTGGGAGTTGGCCCCAGTGGGGGGACAGCTCCTCTGGGCTTCGGCCCCCTGGGCGTCGGATCGATGGCAGGCTACAGTCCTGCGCCGGGAACCACCGCCAACGGAGCGGGCATGAACGACGGAGCCCACCACGCCGCCCACGCCCCCAGTTCCCATCACAGTGCAGCGGCGGCCGCTGCAGCTGCGCACCACCACACGCAGATGGGTGGCTACGACTTGGTGCAGAGTGCTGCGCAGCACGGGTTCCCCGGGGGCTTTGCCCAGCCAGGACACTTCGGAGGCCAGAACTACTACCATCAAGGTGGGTGCACATCTAGCGCCACGTCGCATCCATCCAAACCATAACCAAACCCCTGTTCTCTCCGCCCGCAGATTACTCCAAGCTGACCATCGACGACTTCTCCAAGCTCACCGCCGACAGCGTCTCGAAGATCTCGCCCTCACTGCACCTGAGCGACAACTACTCGAAGCTGGAGTCGCCCTCCAACTGGTCGCAGGCCGCCTACCACCTCAACCAGTCGGCGGTGGCCGCCGCCAACTACAATGCCCACGTGGCCCAGCACCAGCTCAACGACTACGCCGCCGCAGCGGCCCACGGGAACGCGGCGGCGGCCGCCGTCTACAACCACCCCTTGCCGGCGCAGGGCCAGGCCAAGTACTGGTCATGATGAGTCGGTGGTCATAAGCCAGTGGATCCCAGCTAGTTATATGAATTCAATTATCAGCAGAGGCACACGTAGATGTTAGGCAACTATTTATACCCGAACGTGAATATGGAAATGTCGGCTTAGCTATAGTTTAGGATTACTCGCTTACTGCATGTGCTTCACCAGGCTCTTACAGGCGCATTAAGGTTGGCAACGTTTTCACAGCAGCATCTTCATCATAAAGCTAGATATTAACGTATATTTATTAACGTAAGTAAGGGCTATTATTGTAAACATAACACGTGGCTACTCCCAAAAGGAACGCTTGTAAATTGTAAAACCCTAATATAATAAAAATACACTGTTTGAATTGAAGGACTCAAATGGAATATTTTGTGACCAGAGCGGGTTTCCCGACTTGGCTCAGAAAAGCAGAAGGAACCCCTGAAATAAAACACAGCGCACATTGTAGTATAGGAACAAACCAGTAATATTTGTATATGCTTGCATTATAATTGTATGATATACATAATGTGTTTACAGATACGTAACATTGATAGTGGGTACTGAGCTCTGATCCTGTTCCAGATCCAGAGCCTGACCCAGTGCATGCCAGGGTCTATAGGTTTCAAATATGATCGAAGTAAACACTTGGTTACAGTTTTCTTTAATCTTTGGATTACTTTGGTTAGAAAGTTAATTATTGACGACATCAGACTTATTATTACGCACTGTGGTTTAGATATAATGTTCTTCTTTTACGATCTCCGATCTTACACGAACAATTTAAAAAGGATTTAATCAATTTAAATGATTTGTAAGGAAATACTGGATACCTTTTCTACGGTTTATTGTCAATATTTATTTATTGTCTGAATACATATGTATAGTATATTTATGTATATATAAATCGATATTTTCTTTTCTTCTCACCAAGTTTTATTGTCTTCGACGCAGTTTGTTAACACTCTCATATATCAATGATCGTTGGTGGCAATACTTAGCTTTGGACTAGGGGAAGTACATATTTATTGTCATATACACATAAAAGTCGTTTGGGAAAGGGAGTCTAAACTGGTATCAATATATTAGCGATGAAGGATAAAGTTCTTCGAGAGAATCTAGTTCTTGCAAGGTACAACATTGGCACTAATTCAATATTCCTTCAAGAGTTTAAATGATAAAGAGACGATATGACTCGGTTTGATATTTATCGTTTTTCGCTTTGCACTGATATCAGTTACTTCATGCTTGTAAATATAGTTTATACATTGAGAGATATATCAATACAGATCGTTCAAATCGGGGCACCTTCAACTGCAGGCCTCGATTTCGCTCGAAAGCCCTCGTTTGTTGTTGTTGGTGCCGCAGGTGTTGTGTGTGACTCGACCAATAACTTGTTGATCTTAAATTAGAATATGTAGTTTCAGTAAAGTTCTACGTTCCGATTACGGTATTGGGGCAATCAGCATCGCTTCATCGCTTCATCGCTCGTTTCATAAAGAGTATATTGTCGATATTTAGTATTCGTAATTGTCCAGGTTGCGTCGAAATTCGCGTCGGTGCAGTGCTGTGATACGCGGAGGAGTGCCCCAGGAGTGGAAGGGCGGATAGACGACGGCCCCGGAGCGCAGGAGCGGACGCGGCGGGCGTCCCGACGGCAGCGAGTTGCTGGCGAGGCTGGGCGAGCGCGCTTGGGGGCCGGCGGGATCCACGAGGTACTTGGGCAGCCGACCGCTTATGCCGGCACCACTCCAGTTGATCATCGGTTGATTGGGTATGAAGCACTGCTTACAAACGGCTGCGGTGGGTTGACGCAGTCGCTCGTGTTGGTGGTAGTACCCGACCTGCAGGGCGAGGAAAGCGATCGGGTTATTACATGTCCTCCGGCTGGATTTCACAAGAGCTCTACGGGAGTACAGAATAGAAAACAGTCTCGCAGCCAATGCACTAGGTCCAAGATGCAACCGATTTAGTAAAGAGCCGCCGCAGCTACGGAACAAAACACAAGTGAACACTCAACAGAACCGGGAAAAATACAATAAAAGTCCGCAGTTGGACCAGATCATGCCAATGAGCTTAAACATGCCAATACAAACTGATGGATACAACACAACGAAACCAAGGAAAGCACAAGGAAATTTATCAGATAATTCTAAATAAATTAATTTAAAGATTTTTCTTATAGGAACCACACTGCATTTTTTTTCTACATTAACATTTCGTTTCTGAGATTTTATCTACATGCACATTTGAGGAGCGCCACGACCGTCAAGTGCTTTGAATGCTGCATACTTTTCGCCTGCAGACGAAAATACCTTGGGAAAAAGCAGTTTGCTAAACGATTTGTCTTTCTATTTATTTTTCAAAAAATACTCTTTGGATTAAAGAAACTTCTGCGTAACTGAAGGCATACAAAGTGCCGGAAATTGGCCTAATGCCCCTGCACAAACGATTGGCGCTCAGTGCACGGAAATCAAATTTCCGAGTTCCATTTAAATGGAAAAAATTTCATTTGGCTCGCCGAAGGAAACGTCTGAGAAAAACGCCTTACTTCTGATGGGACTATTTTTGGGGCTGGGATTACACAATAAAGCCGAAATTGGCACATCAAATCGCAGTCAGTTTCTTAGAAGCAACCGAGACATCGACAGCAAGTTTTTGATCACAACTACAACTCGTGGAAGGTGTCAACCAAATCACTACCACTCGACAGCGAAAGGCACAACAAGGCCAGAGATGAAAGGTCTCGTAGCCAATTACTATAAACCAAACGGAAAAACAATAATAATTTCCACAACAAAGAAGGAACAAACAAAGAGGTAAGCAGCACACATCGAACCATCGCCATTTACTCATACAAATTGCCTGGCGTCCCGTCCCGAGCGACTGAACCGCCCGCCGGCCCCGCCGTAGCCACCGCCTCCAGTGGGGCTCCGCAGGTAGCGGTAGCTGGGCAGGAACCCGGAGCGGTAGACGGCGCCAATGTGGCGCTTCTGCGGCGAGGGCCACTGCTCGCTCCCTGACTCCACCTCCGCCTTCGGCGCCTCCTCTGACTCCTCCGCCTCGTCCGCCTCCTTGGCGGCTGCAGCGGCATTGGCGTCGTTGCCGTGCTCAATGCCGAACAACTCGGGATCCTTAGAGGTGTCTTTTGGGATAATATATAAACGTATGTACAGAACTGTGCGTGGGAGGTGCCTCGTGGCAACTAGCTAAGGTGCAGGGTGCAGATAAGAGTAGGTGTTCACCAGGGGGTGTTCTGCCTCCGAAGTTAATGAACCCCCCAATCAACCCCAACCGACCACTTAAGGAACTCACCTAGGAAGCGCTTCTCTGCCCGGCGGTAGTCGTTCCAGTCGAGGTCAGCGTAGCCAGCGTAGCTGGGGTACCACCAGTAGCTCTGCATGGGATCGGCGTAGTCGGGGGCGGCGGCCGGCAGGAGCATCTCCTCGTCCTCGCGCTTCTGCTGCACTCCGTGGACCGGCGAGGACTTCAGGGCACCCAGGTTACGCTTCTCGGCACTGGCGCGTTGGTTGTGGCTCTGCTGCGAGTTGTAGCGGGCGACGGCGGCCACGTTCCGCTTGGGCTGCTCCCGGTGGGTGGAGGGGGCGCTCTGCAGCCGCGCCAAGGTGGCCAGGTTGCGCTTGCCGTTGGGTATGGGCAGCTGGAAGTCGCGGGCCAGGGTGCCCACGTTGCGCTTGCCGTAGGTCATCAGCCCCCGGCCCTGGCCAGGGTGCCGATGTAGCGCTTCTGCTCGCTGGGCTCGCCGGAGTCCGCGTCGGCGTAATCCTCGCCAGGTTCCGCCGTCGGTAGCTGCCCGTTCTTGGCCAGCGTGGCGAGGCTTCGCTTGGGGGCGTTGAGGAGACCTTGAGCAGCCAGAGCCGCCACCGAGCGCTTGTCCTCCTCCAAGTAGTCCGAGTACTCACCCAGGGGCTGCTCCTCGCCCACGGCCAGCTGGCGTTCTCGGAGCAGGTTCTTCAGTTGGTTGCGCAAGGCGGAGGCCTGAGAAAAAGGGGATTTGCGAATGGAAATGGAAATGGAAGTGGAAGTAGAAATGGCAGAAAGCAATTTAAATTGAAAGCCTGGGCAGATGCTGCCTTCCAGGAGCGCAGATAAATCCTTTAACGCCGAGAAAGGAGCGAACGACTTACGTGTAGCTGATACTCGGGACTGGGGTTAATAAGTTGATTTATAAGGGACTCCATCTCGCAGGGCGACACGTTGGCTACGTCATCGGTGGCACTCACGGCCATGGAGCGTGGCTGGATGGCCTGAAAGCAAGCAAGGTGAATGAGAAACACAGCACACATGGCTTCAACAACTCGATTCTCTGAAAAGTTGAGTTTGAATTTCCAGGGAAAACGAACATTTTGTTTTACGTAATTGCCGCAATAACTTAAGATTTCATTTAATTTTATTTGTGTTGACAGTTCTCGCTTTTTCGGGAGTTTTAATGTCTTGAAGGGCCATAAATCTTGACTTGTTTTCTACTTTTCCGAATACATTTGGGCCAAAGGTATTGCCATCGATGACTGCGGAAGAAGCTTTCCTTAGCGAAAATAGGAATTAGCTAATTCCTTGCTTCACCCTGTCGCACGGACTAATCTGCCGTTCAAGTTAACGTCAGACAAGGTAAGAACTTAGTAGTTTAGGCGAGCACCCCGACCCAAAGTATTTTTCTGCGAACGACAAGCAGCTTGTTTGCCAATAGCTGCTCAGCTGAAAGGATAATTTCACGTCCCAGGAGAGTGTGAGCTTCCTGCGAGCATCGGCATGTGTGGATGCCGACGAAGGTGGCCAAGAAACAGAGTTTCCGCTTTTAATAACTGGCCGGTCGAGCAAATGGGAGGCGGAAGGAAGGGCGCACAGGAAGTGTTGCAGGACGTGCTGGCTGGCGGCGCCAGGTCCGTAAATCTCGGCCAGATATTGACAGCCTTTTGAACGACCCATGCGTGTATGCTGCAGGCCGAGCTTTCTCTCTTATTAGCCCTTAAAACAATAACCCAAAGATGTTTGTCAAGTCAACTGCTTTCACTTAGATTCGGTTTACCAGCCAAAAAACTCAGCAATTGAGAACGTATTTTGTGAGCTGGCACTTCCAGGGTAAATTTGTATTTGAAAAAGCTTTAGAAGTTCTGCAAAACACACACTGATAAAAACGTTGGTAAAAAAAAAACCTTTGTTTTCTTAAAACCAACGCTATTTGGCACTTATTGAATAGCTTTAAAAAAAGCAAACAAAAGCTTACCAGATACAAAAGGAAACAGTGCCGTCCAGTCTCCAAATTTGTGAAATATGCACAGATGTATCACAAAAAACCCAAGTTGCATTAAACTACGGAAGAGGCTTTAAGGTTTTTTTTCAACTGAATAGCGCTCTTGTTGCCAGCAATTCCTAAGCAAACAAGAGAAAATGTAGGGGCGGTGGAATTGCGTGGGCTCGCGCCGAGGATTTTATTCATGGCATCTCGGTGGATTGCGTAACAGTTTGTGTGGCTGGTGCGTCGTGTCGCAAATTTTATTGTCTATTAAAATTTTAAGCCGGTGCTGTTAAATCAGCTTAATTATTCCACGCATAATAAGAAACCCTTTGCCCACCTCAAAATTTAATTACCTTTTAGCCAGGTCCTTTAAGTCCCCTGCCGCCTTGTAGACTTGGTCTGCTTTTGTCAACAAAACATCCATCCAGCTTAAAAACTGGCGTATTCTCGTGCAGGCGCAATAAAGGCAGTCCTATTTAAGTTTAAGCTCGACAAAAGAACCCAATTAAACTTTCCATTTGTTCAGTGACCATTCAATGATGCCAATCGAACACGAATCAGATCGGCTGCCTAATTAGGCGTAATATTATGCACCATCTGCAATGGCCAGGAGCGCAATAAGGACAGCTTTCTGTCCTTCAGGCCACAAAGCTTCTGTTCTCCTGCCCCGCAGCTTCACGTCAACCAGTGATTCGCTTTATTCCGCAATTCCTGTTGAGCCGCTTATGTCGCCTGAGCCCAGCCGCAGGCAAATTGTATTATCGCAGACGTGGCCAGCCTCCTGTTTTCCTGCTCTCCGTGGGCAATTAAATTGGATTTTATGTTGCTTTTTCTTTTACCTAAATAAATACTGTACGCAATATTAAAACCTAAGTGCTTGACCTACCCGGGAATTTCGAGGGTCTAGGAGGGACAGAAAGTCAGAGGCATTCGTTGATAGAATTTCGGAGAGAAGGTGAGTCGAGAAAATGTACAAATTCCAAATATAATATGCCGAGAGAATTCCAAGGGTTTCCATATAGAAAAGGAGTTTTCTGCTGCGGAATTTCAAATTATTGAACAAAAGAAATTAATTTTTGTTATTTTGCTGATCGTATATTCTTTAACTTTTATTTCCCTTCAGTTTCAGGAAAAACTGACATTTAGATTCATATGAGTTTATGTTGTTAACATGCAGTTATTGTCCTTGCAACGGCAGACTATTGTAACTTTTTTTCGGGCACTTCCTATGAGGCAAGCTTCACAAACTTCATCGACCCACATGAAAACTGGCTTGTGTTCACGAAATATTTTACATGGTATGTGGTAGCTACCGCTCCCTTAAATTCCTGTGGCATGCAAAAACATATTATGGGAATAAAAAGCATAGGGCGCTGAGATTCCAGGCTGGGCCCAAAAAGTCCCTTTCTTCATTGAACACAACAAGTTTAACAAAATAATGGTAATAGCAGAAAAGGAAGCTTCGTCTCAAAACGTTTGCAAAGATGAAATTGATTTCCGTTGTGTTCCCGATAAAATTAATTTTCCTTTCTGTCATTGTAATGGAAATGTAAAGTCACAGCTGGTGTGCCAGGGGAAAGAGGATACGCTATTGATACACAAAAGCTCGTGTTCATAGCTCGCTGCTTACATTTTTATACTTGCAAATTGGCCTGAGTTGTGGCAGCATCATTTAAATACAAAAATTCTGGAATATAAAAAATTGTCGAATCAATCAGATTGGCATATACGAAAAATCTGTAATGAGGTTGGAGTGCCTAATGATTCCGCTCTTTGAAAAACTTTCCAGACAATATCAAAACAATACCCTTTTTAAAATCCTTTACAAAAAGACCCGAAACTTCGCTGGATGTTTGCTAAATAAAATGGATGTTTGCTTACTTATTCGATTTATTCGGTGCGTATACGCGATATTCACGTTCAAATAAAATACATGGTGAAATAAACTTTTATTGCTTTCGATTCGCGTCTGTGATAGGGCTATTGATTTCTGCGCCGCGATTGACATTGAGTTTTACTATATCTTTCATATATTGTGAAAGAAAAAGGCAAACTGACAGGATTCTGTCGTATTCATATTGGTATTCATTTAAGTGCTGATGCAGCTTGCAGTTTGCATCACCGCAGTTTTAATATAGGAAGAAAATTACGAGCAGGCATTATTGAACCATGGTGTACAATAGTTGTCATTGACGTTCCTCGATACTGATACATCTGACGTCGTTGTCTTGCTGACGTTGGAAACCCACTGACAAACTTTAGAAAAAAAAAGGTTTCTGATAAAGAACACCACGAAGGGTTTTCAACCTTATTAAAAAAATGAAACCTACATCTATATAGTCATTGTCCCTAAGCTTACGGAAGACAATCTGATTAACAATGCGAAAAAGGAAAAGGAACTTTTACCCAGTCAGCTAAAATCCGATATCAATTATTATTTTAATTGAGACATTCTTCGCTCTTTAATTGGCTTGCTAACAATGTCTTAAGGCACGCTTTTACTTTGAAACGCCGTAGGTAAAAGTTGTAGGACGCTAAGTTTTCCAGCTGAAAATTATTTTTATCGTATACCATGAAAAAACAATTTGGCCAAGTTGCTAAGGCTCGCTTTGCCAATGGCGGTTGTAACAAAGAGCTGTCAAGGGAATACCGAATTCCGTAAACACGGAAAATGTCGCCACATGTCAGAGGGTACACAAAATGGTGTGAAGGAAGTGAAGCGAAAACGCAAATGAAATACTGCAGCTCGCGTCCTGTTCCGGCGAAGAATGATGATGTTGCAACCGCAGCGGCAACTGTTGCAGAAGTCAAGCCGCAAAAACGTAATGCTCGAATAGGGCGTGGCTTGGCTAATATAAATTACTGCACAGTGGACGGGACCTTGAAAACTGAGCATAATTTAAGCCTTTCCAGGAGATAAGCAGAGAAACAAAGTTTTCAACTACTGTGCAGTAAAATTTATAACAATTGGGACTTTAAAGCAAGGATACAGACAATTCCACGCTGGTCAAGTTAGGTTAAGTTAAAAGAAAGGAAATCTTTTTAGCTCCCAGAGGATTATATCGCATTTTCATTTGCTTCGTGAGGGAAGCCGGGGCCCACAAGCGAATTTCGCCAAAATTCATGCCCCAACGCACCCGTCAACATATAAAAAGATTAATTTAGGGAAGGCAGGAGGAGCACGGTCCATGAAACACCAGAACCCAATGGTGCTGATAGCGCCGCAAATTTCAAATTGAAAATATAATCCCCAGGACTTACGGCATTGAGCATCAAGGAGAGCAGCAGCACCAGCCGCCTAGTGCTGTGCGTGGAGATGTGCACCGCCTGCATCGTGGATGGTATCCTGGGAGCGGTCCAACTGCAAAGTCCCCGTTAATTGAGTTTCCGTTCGCTATCAACGTGACTGGGGGATCGAACGCACTGACACTCACAGATTCAATTGCCTCGCACCCACTTAAAGTCGATTCAAACTGTAACGAAATCAACCGCGGCGCTTTGCTGTCCACCAGCTGTTATTCCAGAAACGCTCGCCTCGAAGTCTCTGCTCGACTGCTTGCCTGTGGCCAGGACCCCCGACCTTTTATAGCCGAGTGCCGAGTGCCTGCCCGGATAAGCTCTCTCGCGGGAGCGAACACGAAGCGCCGAGCTCGGATATCCGTCAACTGTTGCTGTCGCTGCTCCAGTTGCGGGCGGCATAGTTAAGCTTCGGGCTCTCTGTTGCGCGTGCAGTGTCCTGTTTTGTGGGTCCCTTATGTAATGACGTCATAGCGGCTGCAGGACATGGACTCTGTTACATGTTAGCGAGCCCTCTGTATTCAGGCCAACGGCTGCACAGTGGCTGCGGTGGTAGAAAAAGCAAAGCAAGCTGGCATCTCACTGTTAATATTGAGAGCCCATTCTTGTCATTGATATAAAAATAGACAAATTAAAATAAGTAAAGAAGACAAGTTTTTCATTTCATGATGGCCGATATTCTGACCCCTGTACATGTCGGATTTTTCCCAGTTTTCCGATGTTTTGCCAATAGTGGACTTAATTCCCAAGACCCACAGCCCAGAACTTTGCCAATTTTAGTCCGATTCCAATGTGGGATACCTCTAAATGTTTGTAATCGCATCCTTGAAGAAATTGCATTCAAAGTTTTTCCTTTTTTTGTGGGTCGATATTTTCACCCCTGTTCATGCCAGATTTTTCCAAGTTTTTCGATGTTTGCCAATAGGAGACTTAATTCTCGAAACCCGCAGCCGATAACATTGTTAATTTTAGTCCGATTCCAAAGTGGCATACCTCTAAATGTTGGTAATCGCATCCTTGAAGAAACTCCTTTCAAAGTTTTCCCTTTTCTGATGGTCGATATTCTGACCCCTGTACATGTCGGGTTTTTCCCAGTTTTCCGATGTTTTGCCAATAGGAGACCTAATTCGTAAGGTCCACATACCACAACTTTGCTAATTTTAGTCCGGCAATGTTTGTAATCGTATCCACTTAAAAACTGCATCCTAGATTTGTGAAGGACTATTTTTTTGTACCCCTCCTTATGTCAGATTTTGCAATGATTCTAAAATTTTCCGAAAAGAAGTCCGAAAACTGGATTTCTGAACTCAAAAATCCAACAATGTCTGATAGGTCATGAATAGACTAATTTCCAAAAATGTATTTTTAAGTTTAACAAGAAAAGAAGCTAGCTTCGGCAAGCCGAAGCTTATATACCCTTGCAGTCATCAAATATGTCGAACAAAATACATAAAGGCTAAACAGCATCGAAGCTATGACGATTTTTCTATTAATTTTTCATATTTTTGACTATTGTTCAAATGACGGCTATATGATAAAGTTGTCCGATTTTGATGATATTTAATTTGAAATTCAAGAGTCATTAGAAAACTCTATATTCCAAAAATCATTGTCTGGTGAAAAACAACGATGTTATAATTTTATTTCCGTTATTTCTATATAGATATTTCGATTTTTCCTATGGCAGCTATATGATAAAGTTGTCCGATTTTTATTAAATTTTTTCTCTCGATTCAAGGGTATTTAACCCTTTATATGGCAATAGCTCCGATTTTCTTGATTTTTTTTTGTTTGGTAGATAAGTGAAAATAAAAAATACACTTCTTTTTATTTTTTTAATTTTTTTGGTTTTACCTTATTTTTTTTATGTGTAAAGCTATTTTAATGCATATCTGCAACAAGGCAAAATTGTTGATTTATTCGTATTATAATGCAACAAACACAAAAACTCGAAAATATATAACTAAATATAATTTTTACCTGTTTATAAATATAAATTAAATTAACTATACATTTTTTTTTGATATTTATATTTGGATGAGAAACTGCACAACCAGTTCAGATTTCCATATTCACCAAATTGGCGGGAAAAGTAATTATCTGTTGAGTATTGGACAGAATTCTGAGTGACTAACACTTGTTATATAAAAAACGAAAGTTTCTGAACTGCATCAAAAAGATTTTAGACAGTTTTGCAACGCCCGTTGAAAAATAAATGAATTTGAACGGTATGTTGCAGATATGCATCACGGCCATATAAAGGGTTAAAAAACTCAACGTTCCAAAAATCATTTATATATATATTTTTTGATCTTTCCTATGGCAGCTATATGATAGAGTTAACCGATTTTGATAATACTTAATCCGAAATTCAATAGTAGTTAGAAAACGCCTTCTGGAAGAAATCAAGTCGATCTGATGAAAAACAACGGCGTGAGAATTTTTTATTTCGTTCTCTCGTATTGGAGCTATCCGATATAGTCGGCCGATGGGGCCCGTTCCGACTTATATACTGCGTGCAATAACTACACAACTTTTGGGAAAGTTTTTTAGCAAGATAGCTTTAAAACTAAGAAACTAGTTTACATAGAAACAGACAGACGGACAAAAGGACCGACGGACAGACGGACAGACGTACGACGTATTTGAATTCTGATCGTGATGCTGATCAAGAACATACCTATATACTTTATGGGGTCTGAGGAGTCTCCTTCACTGCGTTGCAAACTTCTGACTGAAATTATAATACCCTTTGCTCTGCAAGGGTATAAAATAAGACCTTAACAAAGGAAGCCAAATATCAAAGGCGAAAACGTTTGTGGTTCAGTTACAAAAAAATATACAATTTCAATTTTCCAGTTAATAAAGGTTGATTGTTCGACCGCTTTCCAGATGGCAGATGCCAGCTCAGTGACCACTGTATCATGCAACCCACCTCTCTAAGGGACCAATCAAAGCCTCTATGGTTTCATCTTCGGACCATATGTTGTGGCTCTCAAATAAAGTTATGGGTTATTTCGAGCTAGTGAAACCCGAGGTGGAAATCGAAGCTAGTTAAAATTTTCTGCACTGCATTTACGTTTTATACATTTTATTTAAATAATTAAATTCAGAATTATAGTCAATGACAATATTAAAATACATTCAAGCAGTGTTAAAATACTTTTCCATTTTTGTTAGTCTGAGTTACTATATCATTAACTTGATTATACTATTAAATGGGCAGGCAATTAATTATGTATCACACGAAAACTTGCAAAGTGATAATTTATTTCGCTATTTCTAAGTAAAAACTTTGGACTTTGGAAACTAATTAATAACAAAATTTCATAGACTGAATTTTCAAACAAACTGAACCAATTTTCTGTCAGTTGATTTGTCTAACACAAATACATCTCTTATGTTTTTAATAAAAACGTTCAATGGGAAATTAGAAATGAGCAAATTAAAAAAAAAACATGTTGTTAATATAGCATGTTCTAGAAATCAGTAAGACTTTGGCATATTACATTTGTGTGTGTTTTTGCGAAATGGATGCAAAATATCCGTTGCGAATTGGTTTGGACTTCAGGATGTGGTAAAAGGAGCAAAATTAATAAACAATTTAAATTGTTAAATACAAAATATTTAAATGCCAAGAATTATTTCTATACATTTCGTTTCCTTAGCTGCAGCCCAATCCAAATGTTAGTTACCACCCTAGACATTCTTTAAAGCTTGTTCTGTTATAGTTTTTCTGAATTAAAAAGTTAGGAAGCGAGCAAGGTTGAAACTTAGCCACCGAGCAAACGGCACTGCAAGGGGCGCTGTTATGGACAGATCCCTCAATGCTGCACGAGAAGTGCTCGTGATTCTACGTCAGAAGTGACAAGCTCGGTGGGGGTTTACTGCGTCACGCCTGAATGCAAGAATGCAAAGTGTACTGCACATGGCGGGCCGCTCAGCGGAGAAGGCACATTCCCGCCGTTACGGCCGGATGGCAAAAACATGTCAGCGGTCCACAAGGAAAGGGGTTGCGGCTTGCGGTATTGCCTGCTTTTGTTTCAAACAATCCATGCATAGCGAATTGGCCAGCAGACCAGAGCAGCAGTCGGTTCGCACTTCCATTCATGTTAATAAATTTATGCGCATTTGGCAAATTAAGTTTCTAAATCAATGGTTTACCGTACTACGACTTTGTGTACCTTTTTCGATGATTTTGTAATTGGTCACAATATGCCATCGGCTGTCAAACAGTTCTTACAAAGCCCAGAAGCCTGAATCGTTTCATCGGTAAACCGTATGATGCCAACAATTGGCTTTAATTCCAGTCCAGCTCAAAGCTCGTTTGAGACCGATCATATAATCACGGTTACAAAAGTGTCGCTGTTTTAATAGGTACATATATGGAATTCCAACGCGATACGATATGCCGCTTTCGGGGACTTTGTGTTTAGTCTTTGTTGATCAACAGTGCAGAACGAGCTCATGAGGTGATCTGTATCAATACTGGCAAATATTTTATTTTAATAGGTTCTAATAGAAACTGTGTTAATCGCAACCAAAAAAAGGGCTCATAAGACATTTGATTTATTCTCATTTGTACTAACTTAAATGCAGTCGACTAACCAACAGATGACAAATTTTGGCGTAGGAAAAACAATCAAATTTAATTTTAAATTTACAAGCTTTATTTTTATAAGAAATTAGAGATTCACTGTTTCTTCGACGTAATACAATACAAATGAAAGTTTAACCAATACGAAAAAAGACCGTAAGGAAACGCAAATCATATTTAAATTCAAAAGGAAAGGAAAAGTTTCTAAATTACATATTTGGAGTGTTCTTCTTACACAATAGCATACGTACTTATGTTATACATAGGTTTACAATTAAGACATATACATACATAATTTTAGAGAGTGCGATTTGCAATATCATCCCTACATAAATTGTCAATTCATTCTTAGTACATTTTCTACTCTCTATTAATGCGGCTTACCAACTAAACAAATGAAAAGCCATTCGAATGGAAAGACAATATCTTTTTCATTGCAAATAAAAAACTTTGAAAATATTTCTACATGATTGTAGTATACATGAATATATATATGTTTATTTTAAGTTTATACTTTTGATTCATTTCCGTTTGTGAGGGATTTATTGTAGGAATGTATTACATTTTTCTTGGTTTTTCAATTTCTTCTGCTACTTGCATGAGTGTTATAGAATAAGCCTCGGGACAAGTATAAAAAATATCGACTATGCTTTCCATTTTCACATCAAAGGCCTTCCCAGTTTGAGAACCGCCATTTCCTATATGCCTAACTCCATGCGGAGCCTTTAATGCCTATCTGCTTGTTACTTCTTGCTTTTGCTCTCAAAGACGGGTACAACAGGTACAACAACAACAATTAAACGCTATACTAAGTCCGGAGCTCATTGCCATCTACAGGGTCAGGAAAACCGTTAGAAGAAGCGTCAATAGAGCCGACCCTGCAGTCGAACCCGCTCCGTTGACCCCGAAGCCTGCCAGCGCGACGTTCTTGCCAGGATTGGAGGACATGTTCTCGGGGGCCTCGTGCGAGTTTACTTCGTTGCTGGACGGGGAGTCGTGCAAGGTCTTCTCCAGAGTATCTGGACCCGAGTGCTGCACGCCCTTATCCTTCATATGCACCAGCGGAGGCTCGTTGATGGGCGTGGGCTCGTTAGTGCTGGTAGTGGTGGCATGGGTCGTGGTTGATGTGGACGTTGTCGTTGTGGTCGTCGTTGTCGGCACTAAAGTTCCGTTTGCAATCCAGTAGACGGGGCTGAACTCAAGCTTTACATCCTTTAAGTAGCTCTTGCGTACCTGCATGTTGAATTAGATTAGAATTGGGACTCTTTGAAAAGGCTAAGCTACTAAACTACTTGCCTCCGCGCTGATCTTCCGGGAAACACTCTCGTCGCTGCCGTAGTAGAAGGCAAACAGCTTGCCACTGTACGGCGCCTCCAGGGTCACATAGTTGCCACGGAGCGTAACATTAATGGCCGTGCCGGGCCAGAGTTTCGTGTGCACTGCCTTGTTCTCCGATCGTCGCTCGGCGTGCTTCAGAGCCCAGTTGATCTCAGCCGGGACAGTCACATCTTTCTCGTAGATCTTTGTGGGCAGACCTCGTGCCACACCCTCATGGGATCCCCAGTACTGAATATAGTCGAAGCTGTAGCTAAGAATGGTCTCCACAGTGCTGTACTTGTCTTCCAGGTTTTCCAGCTTCCTAGTGACTTTGGGAGGCGTTAAAAGAATTAATCATTTCAATTAATAATCATGTACAAGCTTCAACTCACCCAGTTCTGTCAGGTTTTCCTGAATATCGGTGCGCAAGCGGTCCAACTTGATATCCCTGAGCTCGTAGCGGAAAGGCTCCGTTTCTACCAGAACCTCGCCATCGTCATAGTATTTCTCACGTTCGCTCTCAATGACCCGGATTTTACCCAGGCCCACAGGTTCCAGGTGACCCAGGTTGAAGTCAGCACCCCAGTGGGTGATAATTCCCTCTTTGTTCGGTTGACTTGGGGCCCTGTGCCGTCCGATGTAGGCGTCGTCTCCAATGCGAATGGCGCCCACCGGAACACCAGCGTCAAACTTGCGCCAGTGTCGCCAGCCAACCTTTCCCAGGTGACCCTTGTTCATGAGGACATCGAAGTTGTCGTACTTGCCATGCTTGTAGTGGGCCGCGACACAGACGTGTCTCTGCAGAATCTTCTCGGTATGGCCAGACACCTGAAAGCCGTCGATGGGCACGCGACACACGTAGATGGGGTAGTGCTCATCCTCCGTGACGTACTTGCCGCCCTCCACGGCGTACTGCAGCTGCGCTGCGTCCTTGGGATCGTAGCTCTCCCACACCAGGGTGCTCGAGGTGACCAATTGTCCCAAGACCGAGGACGCGTTCTTGTGGGTAAACACTGAGTGCGTTGCCGCCTGCGCAGGGGCTTGGCTTTGAATGATGACCAGGAGGCAACTGAGCAAAACTAATCTACTGCTTGAGGCCATCCTGCTGATTGTACTTCGTTGTAGTTGGACTCTGACTTTCGTCATTCCAGTTTGTGCCCGGTAGAGGTGGGAAATTATCTGAAAACATAAGTAAGGTATTCAAATCAGTTTTATATCCATTCAAACAGGCGCAACTCCGGAAATTAAATTCAGCATTGTCCAGAAGAACTTATTTGATTTGTTTGCTATTAAAAATACGTGTTTTCCCTTGCCGTGTCTGAATTGTTGTTGCCAACGAATACTACGCTCCTCCACGGAGAGCTTGAATGGGAGTAAGAAATCTGTTGTTCCCAGATTAAAGGGGAGCTTCAATGTCGACATCACCATCCACAGCTGCCCATTCGACCCAAGAGAAGGGGCACCATGTCGTATGTCTGCCTGCCGTCCCTATGGAAAGGATTCCCAATAAATTTGTCGCTCGCTCGCTTAACTTTCGTGCGGCCACACGGCGTATACGTTACGTTGTAACTTCATTGCCGGCGAGAAGGAGAAAGGAGGAGGTGCTACGGAGGTTTGCTGCAGCGGAAGTGACTCGTCGCCATGTTTATTCATTAGCAACCATTGTGCTAACGACATCTACTGCAGCATGGCTACATTTTCTCCTCGTCTAGTGTCGTCTATTGTAAAGAGTTCTCCACGCTGGTCAAATCTAACCCAGAGCGTTTGACCCTAGGTGTCCGGCAGTCACCTCCGCCGCCGTCAGCGTCCTCCAACCGCCGAACCGTAACGTAACTGTCTGCAACGGATATGAGATGATAAGGTTACAGGCAACCTCATTTGTTTGCCCTGACAAATGATGTGTTATTGTGATAGTGCTTCAAAGGCTGGCTCGGTGAGGGGGCCGAGGGTTTCAGGACGGTGAGCGTCTGCCGGGGCCAAGTAACTTTCGAGTGTCGGGAGTTTAAGTGCCCTGGGTGAAAACCTGCATAATGCATGAGCTGCTAGGGAAAGAAAGAGCGTGGCACCGCAGCTTGTTGGCTCGGACAACTCGTGAGCGATGAACGCAGTAGTTGACAATGACTCTGAGAAATGATACCGTGTACCAGACCCTGTTTGCAAGCCGACTTACAAACTGGCGTAATGCGGAACCATTTTTCTTCTTCCGGTAGCACTGGCTGGACCTCTTTTAAGTCAAGCAGCCGGTCAAGGAATCCGCTCTGACGCACCACTGGTTACTCGAGGCACTTGCGGAACAGTCACATTCCACCGCCCATCGCCGGAAGCAACTGTCATAAGACCCCGCCGGGTGCGGCCGGAGGCAGCAAATTATGGAGATCCACTTTTCAAGGCATAAATTGACCCCTGGTCACCGACCGCATTGTGGGCCTGTTTTTGTGCATGCAATAAATTTGCTAAAAATAGCCGAAGCGAAGACCCGGCGAATTGGCGAAGCCAGCGGAGAAAATAATTTATTTAAGGCCCAGCATAGTTGCACAATGAAGGAGCCCCTCCCGCCCTGCATTCGTTCAATTGGGCGCTGCGCGGCAATCGGGCTGCGATAACCGATCCGCCTCCACAGGAGGAGGAGGAGGAATTTAAAGTCCGGGAGGAGGAGAGGTGGATGAGGAGGAGCCCCACCAGAGCCCAGCCGAAGCCGGTGAAAGTTCACGTGGCCTCTTATTAAATCACATCGCTCGCAACTTTGTCTGCGGCGTTCGAGTTGTAAGTCTCCTCTGCAGGTTGGTTTATTTAGATTTACGAGCAGCAGGGTCTGGTGAAAGGTCTGCGGGTTCTGCCGCAGCGGCAGGGGAGGCGGGACGGACTGCGGCGGCTTAATTGGATTTTATTGAACTTTGACTCTGACCCTCATGGTCACGAAAGTTGCAACAAGTTGTGGCCGTTGCTCATGCATGTGCAACACGAGGTTGCCTACAATTGATTCAGCTAGTCAGTTTGAATTGTAGTCGCTGTTCGGGCAGCAACTACGCCAACCACTCCCGTTCTCATTCCCAGTCCGATTTCCATTCCCATTACCATTATGGGGGCCCGACCCGCGCTTCAATCAGCTCAATTGAGCATCGTGCTTTATGACTTTGACATTACAATGATCCGCCCGATTCCACACTTGATTTCTCACTTCGCAGTTGATTATCGCTTGTATTACGGCAGTTCAGTGCACTTGGCTTCGCCTTGAAATACTTGTAAACAAAATGAATTAGAAAACCATTAAAAACCGGTTACGGCCGGCAAATGCTTTACCGCAACGTCCGAACGTGATGCTGTCCTAAAAACAGCGTGGATACGATTTTTAAAGTATTATATGTGAACTAACAGCAAAACGGATTCCCAAACTTGAGTTCTGGGGAGGAAAAATAAACTAAGTATTGGGATAACTTCACCTTATCGAATTACCGACCAAGTGCTTTGGTTACTTGGGTCAGCTTCAATTACTGAAGTTTTAAGTTCATTTTCATCCAAATGAATAAGAAAAAGTTGACTAGCGTGAAAGCTAATCTCGGCCATATATGTTATTCAGTATGGAAGGTATTTCCTTCTTCGGGGTAATTGCTTTCGAACTCATTTAAAACCAAACGATTAAGCAACTATTGTTACGACAGTAACTGTTAATTATTTAATTTCTCTACAAACGGTCTTATGCCCGCTCTTTCTCTTTCTGATTGAAAGCCGATTGAATAATTGTGTCAAGTATTTTAATTCCAAGATATTCCAGTTTAAAAATGCATGCTCGCAATAAGTTGAAGTTGTTGTGCAAAACCTATATTATTTTCCGTCTTCCAGGCGACTTAATTGGTGATGGTAAAGACAGCTTTCGTGTTTTCTCAATAGTCGCAGTCATAATACACTAAGATTTATCCAAGCCTTTGTTTTGATTCAAACGAGTTGCCTCCAGATACGAATTTTAATATAATGTAAGCTTATTACATTTTTAATTTTCAGATTGCCTCCCACGCCATCGATTCTTCGTGCCTTCCCCGCTTCCCTTCCTGGGAAGACAGCCATCCAACCCAAACCAAATCCACCAAGCCAAGCTAAACAGTTAACCAGCCAAGCACGGCCCAAAACAAGGTAACAGATCGCAGTGCTTGTTTTGCCGGTCGGTCTTTCTTGTGTCCGAGAAAACAAGGGGAAATTACCATGCTGCTGCTTTTTGCTTCCAGCGCTGCATTACAAAAACAGTTGTTAACTTAATTAAAGAGTCAAGCGCAATAGAACAAGGGGTAGTGAACAGAACAGGGCCCAAAACACGTGCTGATCCCGGGGTTTCTCTAAAATACCTTTTGGAAATCAAGTCGCGGCTGCGAAGACAATAAGATAAGCTCTGATTTTAAAGTTGATACCTATTTACACATTTTAAGTAGCGACTTCCAGTACTACCAAAAAGCTTTCGGTTCTCGACGAACATCATACATTCATTTATGTACATATCCATTTTTAAGCTCTCCCTTCACGAATTCAGTCCAATAACCCCAACCCCTCATCGAGAAACTGTGATGTTTGTCCAGCAACACCACAACTCACATGTGGCGCAAGTCTGGCCCGAAGTTTTCACACTCCGATGCCACCCCTCTCAACTTAGCAGGCCCATTTGCATATTGCATCAATTAGGGCGTCTGGAGCAGCTCAGCTCAGGTTGGGTCAGCTGCCGGCGTGGGTGGAGAGTCCATTAAATTGAATGCAGTCTGTACGAGGGGCACGTGACAATGGACAACCCGCACCGCCTCCCACCCTTATCGTTCTCCTGAACCAGAATTGACATTGTTTGCAAAGCTTTTTCACTACACTCAATTTATTTAATGGATCAATTGATCGCCGCGTTTAATTGGAGAACCGAAATTGTCCGAACAACAGGTTAGGAGGTGTTGTACTGTCGGGCCAATCCACTAATTGCCACCTGGGTAGACACCACCGAGAGATTTAGTGCTCGGAGTATAAAGTTTTTCTCACTCATATTACTTGTAAATGCTTCAAAACATCTAAAAACTGGTTGACTTTTCGAAATTAAACGGGTTTAGTTTGGTTTTGTTTTTCAATTGGGTTTCATAAAATGTTAATTTTTCAATTTCTATTTACATATCAACCAGTTTTTAAATTTAATAAGGCAACATTTTCCAAAGGCACATATTAAATAGATTAAAATTATATGAAATCGCAATTAGGCAAATAAGCTGCAAATTAATTTTTTTCCAATATCCAATAAATTGGTCATTAATTTTAATTCCGCCCTTAGTGCCAGTCATGGCAATATACTTATAAGGGATTTAGTTCCATTACTGAACAAGAGTCAATTTAAAACTGATTTTGTAATTCAGCATGACCATATGATTAATTGCAATGCCAAAAAAATATGCTCTTACATTTTTATTAAATTTGTTTCTAATACCCCGATGCTAATTTTATAAAAATTTAATATAACATTTAAATATACTTCGAATTTTTGGCTGCTTCAACGTAAATTACTCAAAACAGCACGCTTTTTTATTTGTATACTTTTTTTGCTAATGTGTACTCATTTGAATACAATTTTATCGTGATTTCAGCAGATTTTTATTTCTTCTCCCATGATGAAATAAGTTTTCGATGATTGGCATCTAAGATGTACATCATCATCTCAAGGGTCGGAGAACGTCTGCCAACCATTCTTGAGAAAGCATTCCGCGCAGGGCCAAGCCAAAGGAGCGAGAACCAAGTGCTCTTAAGCCCAGCAGCATCTGGCAGCAATTTGTTATAATTGCTTTTTAATTATGCACGAAGAACCGAAACCAAAATGTCTACTCGAAGCTCTTGAAGTCTAATTGAATTCAATAATGCAATACGCGATTTTCGGATGGTGTATTTTGTATTCCCTATTTCTTTTATTCCCCAGCGTTGACCCCTCTTACAGATTGCGCAGTTCACCAAATTGGTCATGGGCCGTTTGAGAGCACGCCACATGTGCTTCGAGTTTCCGAGGGCTACGTCATCGTCCAAGTACTAAAAACTGGCCAGAGAAAACAACAAACCAAAACCGGTACTGCTCAGTGTTCTCGAAGCCAGCAAGCCACGTGCTGATCCTACATTGCTACCGCCAAAAATATAAGAGAAACGAAAAGCCAAACTTGAACTGGTTTTCCCAATGGGCTGCACTAAAGTATTTTTAGTGATGAGGAGAATCAATTGCTCAGTGCTCTGTGCAAATCTCAGAATTAATATTATATCTTTACAGCTTGTTTACAATATCAAGGGCACTTACGCAACTCTTTAACCAATATGTTGGAAGTGTTTCATTTTACATTGATGCCAGCTCCGAAAGCCTTTTATTCAGATTCATGTATTTGTTTAGCCACCCAAAAAGGCTACAAATGGTACATACTCGTCCAGCGGAGTATTGTTCTCTTGGTTTTAAATTCCGCAGTATAATTTGCGTGAGCGGGGCTTATCTATTGTTAAATATTTCGATGCCGAACACGTCACGCCAGCTTTGGCTCAGACCTTGGGCACTGTCGGCACTTTTATTATGTTCCCCTATTAACGAGCTGCTATACAGGCAGCCGTTTATTTTGCAATTTAGATAATTAATTATTGAAATGGGGTTAAATGTGGAATAAATATGGAACGTGATGTGGAGCTCCGTTTGAATTACGACGTGAAATGTTTTCTCACGTTTGTATATCGCGAGGCTCGCTGTTTGAACTAATATCTGGGCTTACATATCTGAAGATGTTGGCTCAGAAGCAACCACACACGTCTTCCAGCTCTCTGGGAGATCTGCGCTTTCTCGGATTACGCCAAAAGAAGAGCACTCCATGGCGGCTGTAGGAAGTGGTTGCAGTGGCTGAAGAAGCTGCAGCCGAGCTCACTAACCACTTTTGCTGCACACGGTGAGTCGCAACTGCGGTTGTGGCGGACACGCCAGCTAACTGTACACACACACTCGTACACCATGAACGAGAGCCGGAGCAGTGGAGCAGAGAAACGCAGCATGCCGCGACGGCACGCCGCGATTCAATGGCAGGGCTCTATTAGCACCTCATTGACAGGCGAAGAGGCATCGGGTTACGCACATCGCAGAGACCAGACTGCAAACCAGACTGCCATGGGGGACGCACTGCATCAGTGGCTGCGGGACCCACCCAACTGCCATATCGCGTGCCGGACTCATCCCAGAGGTAGAACCTGGCCATGTTTCTTCAGCCGGCCTTCGCGGAATGCAAGCACCAACATCCACTACAAGTGTTTGTTGAGCTCTCGGCATTGACTTTTGACAGGCCATCAATAACCGCCGAACAAAGCTCGGACTCCCATGTGATGACAGCTTGATGAGCCCAAGTGATGCTCCTTTGACTTTCAGTTTGTAATCGAGGTTGTTTCAAGTGTTGGCCCTCCTTCAGAATTTCCATAATTTGTATTTTTAAAGTGTCTCAAGGCAATTAGCCTCCAGCACCCATTGGTCATTTGATCCGGCCCTTTTCCCCTTCACAGTAATTAACTAACAATTTGCATTCGTCCCAGGTTCCTACTAACTGCCCCAAGGCAACCCTTCATGTTTACTTTAGTAAAATTCATTTTCTTTACTTTCGCACTCGACCCTTTAAGCAAAAAGTTGATGGGCTTCTCTGGGCGACCAACTTCAGGGCTGCATCTGCCCCAAATTCCTCAAAATTTGTTTATCTGAAAGAATATTTCAATTTGTAGGCTCGAAATGGTCTGCACCGAGTTTAAGCTCGTGCGTTGTGCTCAATGTCACTTTCAATTTCTAGCAATTTAATTCGCGTTTGCAGTTAGTTTAATGTGTGTATCTCTGTTCCGTTTGTCTTGTTTTTATGATTTATGGAGCGTGTCCGTCAATGAGGTCATCAACTATAAAAATTCTGCTATGTAGTTCTGGAATAACCCAGCAATTTCTCTAACAAAATGATAAAAAAAAGGCCTACAATTATCTTACGTTGTTTTAACAGTGTTTTATTATCTGAAGCTAGCACAACTGATAGAAAAGAAAAACTAGTCTCAACACAAAAGCCTCCAACAAATGCAAATTAAAAGTGCTGTGACCCAGACTTTGTGAACAGCAATTTACCAGAGTATTCTGTTAAACAAGGAAAATACCTGCTCGCCAATGTGCCAAACGATTAGAACAATATGGAAACCATTGAAGTGGCAGTGCCATGCCGACTTGAGCCATTAATGGACTGCAGGTGGAGCTCCTGCTGCACTGGGCTCCTTCGGCCTCGCCCTGGCCAAATGGCGAATGGCAATTAGCATTCCGTCCGATTCCTGCCTGCAGTGGCGGAATGTCAGGCAGGGTAATTGTATAATTGAGTCGGGATGAAGTCACTGCACTTCTAATTAAGGTCTGCCAGCCATCATAGTCGATGATCTGTGAGATGCGAAATGCGAAATGGGAAATGCGAGAGCCAGGCTGCCGAGCGCACAGAATGTGTGTCAGACACTTGACATTAAACATTAAATGAAATAAAACTGACGACGCTCCGTGTCAGCATCGTTCGGCATCTATTGCTGATGACATCGTTTGACAACATGCCATGGATGCGAGCAAGCACCTAATGACCTGTAACCGCTCCTCCACTGGAGTGCGGTGCTTCTGCCTGCGTGGGTGGGTGGAGTGGTCCGTTGTTCCCAGATGGAAGGCGTGGGCACATGCGGTGATACGGGGCGTTAAGCGCGATAAGCGGTGGTTCCCCCTGTCCCCATCGAGAAAAGAAACCACGCACTCCTATTGTCTTTCAGTGGGTCAGAACCACCAGTGTGTGCCACCACAATAATTGACCGAATTGAAGTGAAGGGCAAGAGCTTACTTTATGTTGACGTCCTCTCGAAGCTAAACACTTAACCTATTGCCATTATTAAAATGTTCATCCACAAATGCAAGGCAACCCATTGCGAAAACTAATCAAATCACCAGAGGGCCAACATTTTTGGAGGTCTTCCTTCGCGAGAACCTCCTTCGCCACCGAACTATTTATTCGCCCAATTTATAGTTCTGCCCCAAGGCAGACGCACAAAAAATACAAATTCGTATTCGAGCCAACAAAAACGACCAAATAAATAAGAAAGCTCAAAACAAGTGGCGAGGAGAAGGGAAGGCTCCGCCACTTCCCTGACAAGGTAAATAAAGCGAACGACCCCGGAGCGACGAGAACCCAGGCTGATCTCACAGCTTGGATAAGTGTCGTTGAAAAGAGAACGAAATTCGCCTTCGCTGTAAGCAAGAGTTCGTCACGATACACAGAAAGAAATCACTGGTGAATATCACAGTTTAATAATATTTAAATTTGATCGTATAAGCGTCTTGACGACCCCTCAGATTTCATTACAAAAGAACGTTGTATAGATCTTAGAGCATATCAAAATGCCTGCCACTTTTTGCCAAGTGTTTCTACCAGTTTTGGGCCATGACGCCACTGCTGATAGTTCAAGGTGCTTTGCTGAACTGTCGAAAGGCCGACAGATGAACGGGTGCCAAGGGAACTGGCTTTAAGGGAGACTTGAAGCTTGAGTTCATCCTCTCCAGGGCTGGCCTCCCTCTTTATCAAATGCACCAAGTGCGGACAAAGCCATTCTGCATGTGCGCTGCAAATTGACAATGATTGCCCACAATTTGCTCGGCACAAAACGAGACAGAAACGCGCAAGAGGCTGGGAAAGCCAGTCGAACGAAGATGCAAATGCAGAGTCCGATGCGAGCAGATACAGATACACCGTGCATACAGAGATGCACATGGCGGGATCGCAGCTACTTTATGGGCTTGTCTCCATGTGCGACTTTTTGCCGGGGGCTGTCCCATAACTCTGACCACTTAAGTTGTGGAGGATCGGAAATCAGCGCGGGCCTTGCGGGGAACTTGAAGCGGTAGTAGGGCATCTTCTCACTGAATTTATAAGCAGTCCCAATGATTTTTCAATTAAGAGTGATGGTAATGAAGCCGTTTTAAGCCTGTCGTCATCGCGTCTAATTGACCGCTCACGTTATATAAGCAGCCGTCCGGCAACGCACACTTACTCGGTAAGCCCGCTGCTCAACTTTATAAGGAGCCGCAATGGCAGATCCCAAGATGGTGTTTACCAACAAGGGAATGCTCGAATCCGGCAGCAGGTGAGTTGCCGATGCACCTGCAAGTCCACTTTGATGAGTTACTTAAGCCACATGTCAATGAAATTAGTGCACAGATCGGTGCTATCTCATAAGGTTATTAATCTTGTAAGAAACTCAAAATTATTCCCTTGAATTCGAGACTTTAGAAATTGTTAAAAATAACTTCTACTTCCTTGGGTTCTCGATTCACATTTCCTGTCAAAAATCTTTAAACACGTTTATCAACTCACCAGACGGTTGTGTTCACTCCAAAGCCAATTAATCTGCGAATAGACAAAAATAATATTATTATTTCACATTTCGAAGTTCGATGGGACAAGCCAAACACTGAAAAGCCATTAAAAGCGTGATTCCCCCTCGAAGCAGCCACGGCAAAAGTTCAACAAATTTAAGAAAAGCCACTGAGGGGGCCAAAGCGGCTTGCACATGGTAATCTATCACTTGAGCCGACACTATCGAGGCTTAATCTCACGAGCCCGATGCGATTAAAGATCTGGGCACAACAAACTGATAGTTATGAACTCCAAGTGGCGCGGCGGGACGTTGGAAAGTGGGGTACCGCTAGCCACGACTTCTGCCCGACTAATTGCAACGTCTGGCTGTGTGCACACATGCTATATGCTATATGCTACATGTGGTAAGAAGAACCAGTTTGCCGCTTCCAGCTCTCTGCTTAAAGTCAACAAGCGTAATCTTCGCTGCACGTGGGGCAGGCCAAGTCCAAAAAGCCGCTGGAACAAAGAGGCCGCCCAGAGGAAACCGAGGCTTATGAGGGGAAAATGCAACTGTGGGCTTAAGCAACCATGCATTAGATGTAGGGAAGTAGTGGCATTAGTAGTAGAGTTCTAACCTTAGCTGAAGCTAGGGTTATCCTCCACCAATCTCTAATCAATCCGAAAATGGCTGTTTTTACATCAGCTCATTTGTGACCCGTCTACACAAGGCAATAAATACCATACATATGGCCGTCAAGTTGCAGGATCATAAAGGATATATTTGCTAATTAATTATGAAACCACAGGTATTTTTAATGGCACGGCTATAAAATTTTATGATGTTTAGGTATGCGGGGAAGTTCGTTGACATTTCCCTAAGGGCCATTTAAGGTGTGAAAAGTTCATCGTTTTTAGGTCAGCCAGTTTTCCGCTCTCCATTGAATGACCAGGGCTGACAGGCGGCAAATCCGTCCCAAAAGCGGACGCACCTTAAAGTTCTCGAATTATGAGTGGCGCTAATTGGCTTCGGGGCTAATTACAGATGGCTGATACGCCCGCGTGGCGATGCAGATGTGCATCAGGCGGCCCGCCTTGATTGTTTGGCGCCATACTTTTTGCTTGCACTTTGGAGGCGGCCAGAGGAAGTCCATTATTACGGGGCTCTCGACGTCCAGAATGGACAAACAAACAAACGGCATTTAAATTGAAGCTGACATTCGTGTGTGCGAGATTCGAGCTCTGCTGAAATTCCAAACAAAACCATGCAAATGTCCGCAGCAGACGCTTAGAAATGTGGCACTCTACATGTAATCCGAGTCCCCTTCCCCTTCCCCTTCCCCTTCCCCCGAGTGCCTGACAAATCCAGCAGAGCTGTGCAAAATATCGGGAGCAACAGAGTTTTGTGGGCAGGGTAAACTCAAGTAGAGGCTTGGTCATCCAAACAAAACAAGTAGTGCAGGAAACCGAAATTGGTTATTCTGATTGTGGTCCCTGCCACAACGCAAACAGTTCATCAACAGTATTAATCAATAACTCGATTGCAGTGACCCAGTCCATTAGCCAGGATCGAAATGGCCACGACACCAGGTCCGGCTGGCACCCAACCAACTACCGGGATCCACTTGGCGTCCAGCCGCAGCTGCCTAGTTTTGCTGGCCATCCGCATGGAAAATCTGTACGGTCAGCGGCCGATGGCGCAGTAGCTGCATTTCCAGAGAGCGCGGTATGTGCCTTTTTGTACGGGAGCAATTGCGTCGGAGTAACCTGTGTGAGTTTAATTTGCGGCAACAACGTGCTCTAGTCCAACACCATGTCAAGTCGCAGGGTGGGAGCCCAAACAGGAGGCACTTGCTGACATGACATGGCGCCAGCACAAACAGAAACCATCGGACGGCGGTGACAGCGGGGAGTTCAGGGGGTTCAGGGGGACACCCTATTCAAACTGCGTAGTGTTCTATTGATTTTCCATTGTTCCAGGGACATTTTCGTCCATGTTGTGCTGTCACTCTGGCGTTTGTTGTCGAGCACTTAACGTTAATACCCAGTACGCTTGAGTTTTTGCTCTGCCCTGGTGGCTATGTGGGATCTTGAAAGGCGGGCACCCAGGTTGTCCAGAGGAAGCTAAGGTTCCCTTATCAGCAGCCGCCGCAGCTCGCATCGAGTCGTGTTGCTTGCTGTGGACGAGGCTTCATAAATTCCATCTGCAATCGTCTGCGCTGGTCGGGAAATATGCAATTCAGCATGGAAGAGGAATGGGAAAAGAAGGAGGACGAGCATATCGAATTCGCTGCCTCAGGCTCACGTTGTTGAGTTGCGGGTGAGTTGAGGCGCGAAGGAGCCGGGTTCGAGTTTTCTCCAGGTTGAGTTGGACCCTGAACCTGGCCCTGATTGCGACTGGCAACAGCTGTGCACACACTCCTCCGCGGGTGCTGGGGCCTGTTCTGTGTTCTGCGCTTTGTGTATCTTAAATTTAGCGTTAACTTGCGGGCTTGCTGCTCCATTGTAGTCCCTGCCTTACAGGATTTACCGCCCCCCAGGAAAAGTGAAAAGTCTCGCATCCGTCTTTTTTTAATGCTAAAGCGGTTTTCATCGCCGATGCTGGAAGTAATCGCTCCGCAGGCCGACGAGTTGAATGTGCCCACCACCTGAGCAAAAGATTTCAGCTCTTTGCGGAAAGTTGAAAGTTGGTTTTGCGTCTCTGGCGAAGGTCCGTTTAAAGTTGATTTAAAGTTAACGGAAGTTAATGGGCACAATGATCAGTGCTTCGTCCCTTAATCTTCCAGCCTAGGTTGCCCAGAAGCTAAATTGTTTGCGCTTAAAGAAAACCCTTAAAAATAGCAACAAGCCACGGCTTCAAAAGCACGCAATGCACTTCAGCGTGGCACTTGGGGTGGGGAAGTGCGAGAGTGTGGAGTATATTGATGGCCGGAATGCAAGCCATGTGACTTTTCCCTCACTGAAACGGCTTTGAAGGGTGACTGGTGTTTGGACGATGGATTGAGGAGCGGGCGAGGAAGCCTACCGCCTCAGAACGCAGCCAATAAGCCCGACGATTGTGTGGGCAATTTGAAAATTTATCACAACAGAGGGTCAAAAGGCTTCGTCGAGGGGAATGCATTCAACGGAGCTCTGGCGGGGTGGTTTTGATACTACGAACGCCGCAGGACTTTATCTGAATAAGCGTGGAGAATGCCCCGGGTCGGTGCTGAGAAATGTCGGTCCAAATAACGATTTCTGTGTGGAAATTAATTTTTATTTTATGTGCCTCGCGCTGTTTGCTTTGTTTGTTTACAGAATTGTGGAATCATTGGCGGCGGGCGCCGCACAACGGGCGCTTCGGAATGATATCCAGGATCTGCAAACGGGACACGTGCGGTTCATGAATTTCACACCCTGCGGCCCTATATTGCGGTTGCATTCATGGATTCCCAGGAATGGGTAAGTCGAACACCAGGAAATCTCCCGACTTCTAAGCCAAGCCAGTTCTTTCAACCGGATAAAAACACTTTATCTGCCAAATGCCGGATATGCAGATAAAATTCCGATATAGTGGCTCAGTTGGGAGTCCGTACAGGCAAAAAAAATTAAAGGTCGATTTGCAAATTTAGCTTGTTTCAGTATTCAAGGGAAAACACTCAGCATTTCAGCTAGCACTGCTTCAAGGGAGTGCAAATTCACTCAAATTTTCGACTCACGCACACCAAACAACGCAGCGAAGGACTGCGTCTCGACAAAGGCGTAATAGAGAAAGAAATAGCGAAATAATAAAATAACAAAGTAAGTAAAGCGCATTCCCGTTCCAACCCCCCGCTCTGCCAGTCTGCGGGATGTGCCGCCCGAAAATAGAAGCCACGATTTGCGAGTGGCAACAAGAGCAGGGAACGTGCAACGCCGTAAGCAGGGCCAGACACCAGGCCAAGCTGGGCCAAACCACCCTCCGTGGCACGGAGGCGAGGATGGTTCGGGTTCGGGTTCGGGGGGCAGAGGACAATGCCACAAGAAGAAGCAGCTGCTGTTAGTTGGCTCGCAGGCATCATTCGCATTTTTCTCTTTTGCGTACTTGTCTCGGCGCGTCACCATCGTCCTCGTCCTCGTACCAAATCCCTATCCTTGTGCTGAATCCCCTTCATCTCCTTCACAGGGCCGTGCCCCTTTTGAGCTCGTCGGGCTGCGAGGAAACCCGGAGCCAAAATACAAAGTCCCACAGAACGTGATTCATTCATGGTGTCTCAGAAATCAAGTGCAGAAGCCAGCGACTCGCTCTGGTTTGTCTGCTGAGTTCAATCCCCGAACGGCTTCTAGGTGAATCGCTCTATAAAAATTATTCCCTTGAATAGACCGAGAAATTTTACTTCGTAATTGGTTCCTGCACGAGTTCTAAGTATTCGTCGCTTCGCTATTCCACTTTGAGCTGGAAACCAAGGCAAGATGCTGAACAGGTCGCTACCTCTAGCCAAATCCAATCATCATTTAATATCCATCAATTTAATGCAATCAAGAAGGCCCGCCAGAAAATAAATGCCATAAAAGGAGGCGAATCCGACTTGTTTACATCTGACTTTGTTCTATGACACTGAGTCATGTTCGCCGGAGGCGACGGGAGGCGAAGGCGGGGAAGCGGAATTCGGTCCAAGGTTCTCTATGAATCTTCGAAGTGATGACATCACATAGTCGAGAACTCATGTGCAAATATGTATGTATTTTAATTAAGTGAGTTTATGCTGAGCTTGGCGAACGCAGGAGTACGACGATTTCATGTCGTAGTTGTGCACATACAAGTCAGATGTAAACCTGACTGAGGCATGATAGAAGGCCCCCTCATTCCTGTAAAACTGTATTTCGCCTGCCTAACCCTTTGCCAAGGCAACCCCTGACAAACAAGAAACTCATCAACACCACTTAAATTGACCTCTGACAGCGGAGTGCACGACCTCTCATGCCTGGTGTCCATCAAGCTGAATCGATTTTTATTTTCGGGAGTGCTTGAAGGTCTTCCTTCCACCCAGCCGAACTAGATGCACCATTCCGTCAAGCAAACAAGCGAATCCGAGGCCCATTAGTGTCCTAGGGAGCAACCAGGCCAACCTACCGCAATTCGAAATCCAACTGAACGACATCGGTCTATGCATATAATATCCATGCGAACTAATCGCCTATGTGGGCCATCGCGTGCTCGAAGAGAGTTAATTGTGCGGCGAATAGAATTTCATAATCAAAAACTACTGGCAGTGCCAAATTTACGAACGACTCCCTTTTGCGCCATAAACTGACAAACCGACAAACCGACAGCGGAATGGAAGTTTCGCCTGCCCCAGGATGACTCACTGTGCGTTTCTCTAGCGAGTCCTGCGACCTTCCTCAGGACATCTGAACGAATCAACTACCAGCAGTATTTTTCATATCCTGCTATCTGGCTATCCCCTTTGCCGCCTCCGCATCTTATACAGTTTAACTGCTCCTTGAGCAGTTGTTTGTTTTCGTGTGGGGTTCCCTGGCCCAGATGTTTGCGTGCGGCGTCGAATAAGTTTGCCACCCATTTTGGCCCAGCTCTGCAGCAGAGAGGTCGAAGAGGCCAGGAGGCGTCAACCGGGCAAACGCCAAGTTGGCGCCATTTCAATGCCGCCAGGCTTCAGTGGGACCCAACTTCGGTGTTTATGTCGACTGTCAGATGTTTTGAGGACACACGAAATACAAATGTGTATTTACTTTTACAACCTCGTACTAGAAGAAAAGTTTTTAATTTCCTCTATTAAAAAAGAGATAAGATACATGTTCACAGCTTGACATCGTAATTTTGTCACTAAAATTTAAGTAATGAGGTGCAATTATTAGATTGAAAGAGGTACATATGTATGTATATACACAAGAGAATCAAATATTAGGACAAAGGTGTTGATTGGAGATGATATCACACTGTGTTTAAACAAGCGCAAAAACAATTCAATGCAAAAGCCATTGAAACTCGTTTCGAAAAAATGTAAATTTGCTAGAACAAATAAATGCCAAGAATCGCTGATCAAACTAAACCGAATCAGAAACATCAAACAACTTTTTGTGGATGGCAGACGAATGGCAACGAGATTCGGAAATAGAGAACGAATAGAAGCCTTTTTTTCTTTGGCCAACTGAAGTTTGAAACTTAAAGTTAAGGGCCTTTAAGACCGGGTTCAACAAACGCTCCCCCAAACGTGGAGCCGGCTCAAGCGAATTTGCAGGGTATTCAACTCGATTAACATTGAAAATCGATTTTCCCCTCGGGGGGAACACGGAAACCCTCAGCGCTCTACGGCGTCCAAATGCCATGTTCTGCGGAACCCCATTTGCCCAACGAACCCCCGTCCGTGTGCTTATTAGGTCGAACGTGCCCTGTCACGAGACTCCGGGCCAGGAAACTGTCTGTGCCACGGTTTCCGGCCGGTCCCAGTAGCGACTCCGACTCCAGCCTGGCCAACCGTCACTTGAGCCGGCAGCTCTCTGGCGGTTCGATGGCGCAATAAAAGCCTTTGATTATGTCCTCCCGGTATCCTTTGGGAGCCGGCGAGACCTTTCCCCCCATTCGGTGTACCTTTTTGTCTGTTGCGCGTCTGGTCTTTTATTATTTACAGCCTCCCGAAAACGCAGATAGAGAGCACTATCCCACCGAGGCGAGCCTTTGAAGATTGTGCCAGTAGAATTTACGAGGGTTTACTTTTTTTTACCATCGCCGGAAAAGCAAGGGGCGCTTCTGGCTGCGGTCTCAGCACTCATCAAAAATTCATCATCAGCTGGAAATTATTGGTCTTCGTGCAGAACTTAAGGCAGATGGGGCTCGCTCTCACCTTTCATTAAAATTGTGAGTCCGAGAAATTCAATAGAAAACCGACGAGTGAATGCCAGAAGGTAATTATCAGTGCTGGCTGACCCAGATGTCTCGGGTATTTCGATAGCTGCCGAGAAATGGCTGCAATGGAGGCTCACCTGGATCAATAACTCCTTGGTGCACCGTTAGCTCGCTATCCAATGCTCCAACCTGCAATCGCTCGAAATCCTGGAAACGAGAAACCAATGACAAATCGTGAGTCCAGTTATTGATTGGTCACCCGCGGTAGTAATCGAAGTCGGTTAGCGGTACGGTTCACAGTTAATTCCTTGGCGAAGGCAATTTGAATTCGCTATTGCGCTCTAATTTCGACACATACACACGCACACTCACTCACACATGCACGAACGCTGGCAAACTGGTCACGAATGACGTCACTGCCAAGGATGCTGCAGGACGCTGTCGCCCTTTGTTATTGAAACTTTATTTTACTGTTTCCAATGCATTCACTGTTTTAAGTAGAAAAAATTGTTTCCCAGTATTGAACGGTTTCCAGAAGTCCGCCAGCCAATTTCAGTTTATTAACAAATCGCGACTGGCGCGCCAACCATTCAGCTTGCGCTGTTTAAACTCGAAGTAGACTTACGAATCAACGCGAACCACTCGTTTCGAATAAAAAAATCTAACTGACGGTAGGGCTGTTGAAAACCATGGTGGAAAAAGTATAAGGTTGTCTCGTCGGGTTCGTCAGTCTGTGAGTGCGAGTGCGAGTGAATGGGTATTTCCCGTAAGTGCGAAGGTGACAGGTATAGACAGTGTTGTTTAACCCTTATGCGGTGCATGTGGCTTAAAATGGCCTTAGTCAATCTCCTCACCATCGGATATTATATTTGAATGTTTGTCGAGCCTGTCCGCTAGAGGTCCATTTTTAAGTCTGGTTAACAGAAACATTACAATGGGAAATTTTTCCCAAGCAAGTACATTTTCTGAGTGATCCCGAGAGAGCCCCCCGATCGTTAACAGACTGAACACGAAATACGGTAGAGTTATTTAATATTTTTTTTTGCCTGTTATCTAACAGAAATGTAGAGACGCAAAAGAGTTTCCTAGCTGGGCTTTCAACCAGTTGGTTCGTGAGTAACATTGCCGCACAACTTGATTTTTTAGGTATTCTCGTTACTTTCCCATAATTTTGGGGAAAATAATTTTCCCCATCTGGGAACACTGCCGATAGTGAAACATCGAAACTATCGTTTGTGACATCGACGCTGTTGCAGCTCTAGATTTTAGTTCAAAAAAATAAGTTGGAGCGAAAAGACGTGCGTTGGATCAACGGTCGAAGTCTCTGTGAGTGACTGTGTGTGAGTGAGCTGTGAGCTGGAAGTGCAGCTGTCGCTAAAAGAAATGAAAAGCGCACAGTTTGCGTACATAAGGTCGCTGCAAGCGGGAAAAGATCGAATGCAGCTGAAAGGCCGAAAACAGCGAGTTGCACGTAGAAATACTTGTCGGCACAAAGACTCAACGCCCAAAAGTCGCCGGCGACGTGACGCCAACGCCGGCAGAGCGCCGCTCGCAAGAAATGCAGCAATTGCAGGACCGATTTCAGCTGAATTTGCACAAACGCGGTGCTGACGCGGTGAAATGGGAGCATAAGAAACCGAAAAACAACATTTATGTGCGAAATATGCGAAAACTTCGCTCCCAGCGCGATGTGTGTGTGCGTGTGTGTGTCGGTGCTGCAGAACGAAGAGAGTGTGAGAGGGAGAGCAAAGAGAGAGAAGGATGATGGCCGCGCTTATACCTGCTCCGAAAACTGAAGCGGAGTCGAAATTGGAGTGGCTGCAATCCGAAAATGAGGCTCCGAAAGTGTTTGGCTAGCTGCAGTTTTCGGAAATGCAAACTGGTTAATTGCTACGTAACGCTATTTTCCGCTTAATCCCCTATCCCCACCTACTGCTCCTCCGCCCCTACTCGCCCACGGCCGACGCTGGCTTAAGAAAATGTGTGGCCATATTTTTTCTTCTCCGCTCCGTCTTTCTTTCGCGCTCTCCCTTTTAAAACTCTCGCCGCGCGCTGTTCTCGCCGCCTCCGTTTTGTGCCGCACTTCGAAGATAAAGAACGCGCGAGATAAATGCGAAATATTGTATCTGGCCACGAGCGCAACAACGGTACTCATTTGTTCTCATCGATTTGTTTTGTCCGACAGAAAAGTGCGTTCAAGCCAAAGCCGCTGATTATTTACCACGCAAAACAGCCGCCAGACAAGGAATTACTAGACACTCGCCGCAGGAACCTAAACAGAGGGAGCCAGCGAAAAGCGCCGCCAAAATGTCGGAAGAAGTAGATCGCAACGATCCGGAGCTCAAGTACCTTTCGGTGGAGCGCAACCAGTTCAACGATCCGGCCACACAGGCCGAGTGGACACAGAAGCGTTTGGTGTGGGTGCCACACGAGAACCAGGTGAGTCCGTCGGCCCCTACCTGTAGAGCCCGGTCCTCAGCGGAGATCCGCTTAAGCCTGCGCAAACCGCGGCTTTTTCCAGCCGGGCTGATTCAGTGTGAGAACCGCACCCGAAACGCCGACTTACCTGGAACAAAACCTATTGATAGCCCCCGCCCATAAGCGTGAGAGCAACAGGAATAGCTACAGCTGCGGTCAAAATAATAGCAAAGGGAATTCTTTTTATATTTTTGTACAAATTAATTTCTAAAATCATTAATTTAATAAAAAAAAACATTTGATATGAAAATGTTACTTACTAAACATGAAAATCGTGACAGAAATAATTTACTCGAAGAATTAATATATTTTTGGTCGCAGTTGTACGTACATGTTTTTTAATCATTTCGTTTCGAGTAGTTTTCGTTCCCCGGCTTTGGCTCCTTATCACCAGCACCTTTCCGAGCCATTCGACTCACTCATCAATCGAGCATGAATCACGCTCCATTGTTCCGATTATTTTTATTTTTAACCGGGCCAACTTCTTTGAATTTTTCATTACTTTCGCACCGCGGTGATAAAATTGAGTAAACATCCGTCGATGCTGAATCATTCGTTTCTCCTGCGGTGACGCTAAAATCACCTCGCCGCATTAGTATGCCCGATTTAACGGTTTACTTGGTCAAATCCGCGAGCATTTGCCGCGAAGAAGCTTCGCCTGGCCAGCTAACCATTTGCATGCAGACGCTCTCTGACTCACTGATTCACCATCGAGGGAGAGTGGTAGCAGGAATGGTCTCGGCGAGAGCGGGCCAAAACAAGTTTTTAATCTGGCCGGTATTCGTGTGTTCGATTTGCGTGTATGGGGCACCCGACCCTCAAACATACTTTCAGCCAATCAAGCGAGGAATCGAGCGGGGTCGAAAAATCTGATCTGAAAATTCGGTCGGACTGGAAGATAGGGAACTGAATTGTTTTGCTAATTTTGTTTGTTCTTTTGTTCTCTTCGTCTGCTTAAAACTATTTCATTCAGGTGTCATTCAACTGCATACCTGAGAGTTAATTCCAAGACCATAAACCTAAACAGATAAAATTAGCACCCGCCGTTTTCTCCCTTGGCGCAGTCTGTAATTGCTTTATTTACCAGAGATAATTCCGGGCACAGAATGGTAGCACTTTTGGGTGACTTCATCCAACAAAGGAAGCAACAAAAACAAAGGCCAAAACTTCACATTTTTGAGTAATTACGCGATCACTTAAACAGACATTTACTTTACAATGGAATCTCACAAAAAGGCAGCGGCAAAGATAAAGCCAAGAAATAAACATGAAAATAACGAAACAAGCGCAAACGCTCGATTGTCATGAGTTGTTTGTCTTACGCTGGGACACACCACATGAGACGGCCGAGAAGCGTAGAGAATTTGAATATAGCACAAAGTGTTGCTTCGCTGAAACGTCCAGCAGATACAGTACAGCTACGGGTAACGGGAACGGACCTGGCTGAAAGGGTATTCGCCAATTGTGTCAACACTCGGTTCGGCCAAGAAGCTAGCTTCGTTTCGTTCTCAGCAACTGTTCCAACTTTGCACAATGTAAGGGAATTCGCCGAACAATGGCAGCGTACGTGCTGCTGTCCGAATCCAGATAATTACTTGTAGATACACAAGGAGCCCTTTTGTTAGTGGGTAGCTTTCGTTTATTTGTTTACTGATCAGCGATATTTCCCTGGTCATGTGGTTACTTTTCGGTGCTGTGATTCACCGCTGTGTTCATCGAAGAGTGGCGTTACAAATATTGGGATACGGAAGCAGTTTTTATGTTTACAAAAAGTTCTATAAAATTCTTCTTACATAATCTCACTGAATCTACGCTAATGAATATTTTCTTTTCGTCTGCCCCCTTCCTCAGTTTCAATCTGTTTCCATCCCCCAAAACAATTTCGAGACTTCTCCATGTTGTTAGCCAAATTAAAGTCGGCTTAACCTTCGTCATGCCCAAAGAATCGAATCGATTGTGACGAACGCCGATCATCAAGGGGTCTCTGCACACCCACACATGCGCCCGGTATCGTTTGTTGATATTTTCGAGCGTGTCTGTGTGCTGCTTGTATTTATAACCAACAGAAACCACTTTGGAGTTTGTTTGTGACCACTCCCACTCCGCTCCCCGCCAGCGCTCTACTGTGCTCTGGGTTCTGGAGGAGATGCCTTCGCCGCGCGAGTGTGAGTGTTTGGCTGGCGGTTACCGCAACGACAAACGTAGCCAGCTTTCGACTCTCGTCCGTCCGGTTTACGGTCAATGAACCTGCGCCTCGTATCTCGAATCACGTATGTGTAATATTCGTCTCTTTCCCCGCCCTCCCCAGCACACATGCATATGCGCTGATCGATTAAACGAAGGAATAAAATAAAAGTAACAAATTATAATGGGCCCATCCATCCGACGTTGTTCTTGTTCGCATTTGGATTGCGGTGGAGGGAGGGATGGCGACTCGGTGGGGGATCCGATCTATTATTCGCTTCGTATTTACGCTTTCCGACTAGTGTAAACAAAAGAAGTTGGCGAAAGCCTTAGGCTGCCAAAGAGTGAATAATGGGTACAGCGCTGCTCGCTGATCCTCCGGCAAGTTCAAGGTGGCCTTTGGGCAGCCACAAAAAAGTCATCCCGGAACGGCGGCTCCTGCACTTGACTTATCCACGCCTCCCCAACTTCCTTCGAATTCCTCGTCCCTGATCATCATCATCGTCATCTCCGTTCGCCGTTCGTCGTTTGCCGTTCGCTTTGTTTGTAGGTGTTGTTTTTTATTTTCTTTGGCTTCGCTCCACCGATCGCCCGGAATGCTTGAGATGCCGTTGAGCGAGAATCCGAGACTGATGACCTCATATGGCCCAACTCTTGCCACCGCCTCTCGGTGCCTGCCTTGGGCTAATTTCCCTGGCTCGATAACTCCAATTCATCTCTTGCAGGGCATTCCAAGATCGTGATTCATGAACCGACAGTTACAGCATTTCGATCTGCCGTATTTTTGCCTCTCTGCCGTTGTCGCAGCGCAAAGCCTTGTATCTGGTGTGTCCAAACTGTCAAAC